AGCCTTTAATAGAATTCTTTATTGGCCAAGAGTGATTGGACAAACAAGGAATTTGTCTTTGGTTCATATGCTCTCAGTGTACATAAAAAGACAAGATACACTCGTCAAGAATCACAAGGCACAACACCCAGTGACAGTCATACGGTACAATAAGCAATCAAATCATACTAGAAAACAATCAATATCAATATAAATTGCAAGGATACAAGCAACAAAGTTACAGTCATGCAGTCACAAGTCTCAGCTAAAGATAGCTGAGGGGAGGGTCTCCCATCTGAGTTATTCTGCTGTGTCCCAAAGCCAGCCTGGGATCAGATGGATAATTAGGCTTTCTTGGCTATGTGATTTCAACCACTCTGGAATTGAACTCACAGACAGGGCACCCTTCCTTGGGTGAGGCCTGTTTGTGTCAAAAGTCTCAGACGTATATACCCAGGATGCTTTCATCATAATAAAGTTGAATTGTTAAATATGTGAACAACTATGTTCTCTATGCTAAAGGCACCCCCTGCCTGCCTGCCTATCTAATATCTATCTTCTATCTAATAACTATTGTCTGTCTGTTTGTCAGTCTCTCTCTCCCTCCCTCCCTATCTTTCTATCTATTTTATTCTTTGAGAACTGCATTTTGTATTTCTTACTACATGTTTTCTCAGGAATAAACTTTGAAAGTCTCTTTTTAAGTGTTATTGTTTTCAGTTAAATGGACTTTTATGCTATTGGGATTAATATGTTGCAATATGTGATGAGATCTTTAAAAATATTACAGAATAGAATAGAGAATAAAAGAATTGGAAGGGACCTTGGAAGTCTTTTAGTTGAACCCCCTGCTCAAGCAGGAGACCCTATAATTGTCCAATCTCTTCTTAAAGCCCCCCAGTGATGGGAGGATTAAAACAAATCAATTTTTTCTCAAACTGACTAAATGTTTCCACTCCCCCCACCCAGACAAAGCAAAGGGAAGCTTTCAAACTAAGTGCAGACTAGTTGTAGGATTACCCCTCTAGTGCTCTAATCATAAAGTAGAAGCAGAAGAAACAACAGGTAGCACCTTTAAGTCACCACAGTTTTAGTGAGAAATCAGTAGAACAGGGACATATTTTGCTCTGCTTTTTTTCAGGCCCAAATTATGTGGAAAAGAAATCTGAAATATTGGAATAAGTAGTGGGGAACCTGCCTCTGACAATTAACATATGGGACAGAATAGGTGCATAGAAAATTTAGTTCGGGAACATTATGAGAAAGTTAAACTTGTGCATTTCATGTTTTTCCCCCCTCAGTGGAATTCTATGTAAAATAAATTACTACAAATGTCATAATTTACGGAAAGGGCTTTAGTTATGGGCTTTCATTACTTTGATTGAAAATCTTTTGCAATGTCATTGATAAAATTTATATATCAATAACAATTCTCAATTGTGCCAAAAAGTAGTGGCTCACTCAAAACATGATTGAGGAGCAAGTAAGGAAGAACCACTTCATAATGTATCTAGAAAGGCCCTGGGACTTCATGGGGACTCTATAGATAGTAAGTAATTAATGGATGATTGGGGCTCTCCACAGAAATCTTCTATGTAATTCTTTATAGTTTAAGGTGCACACAAACCAGTTCTGAAATGGAATTCTTCTCTGGCAAAAAAACCCTTTCACTTCCTCTTCTTTATCGATGTGTCATTTGGTCAGTAACACCTTCCCCAAGACGTTGACCAAATATTCAACAAATGTCAGTACATTTTAATGAAAAGCTTGACAAAATTGCTTATGTAAATTTGTATTCTAGAGATTGAATTTCAACCTCAATTAAATATTTTAAACAGTATTAGTTTCAGTGAAAGTTTTAATATAGGTTTAACACACTTCTGAGGTTCCTTAAAATATTGGGGGCTTTTCCTGCTCCTCATCCTCAAAAGAACTTAACTCTTGACTTGAGCTCTGTATCATAAGAGCTCTGAGAAACATAGGCCTAAATATATTATTGTGGTGTATTTCTAAACAATAGAAACACCCGTGTCTAGGCTGTGCCACTTCAAGCTGTAACAATGAGGGAAACCTCCCTTCCACATCAAAAGACTCTCAGAAACCAGCGTGAGCCGGGCTAGGCAGCTCTTCTCCCACCTGCCAGCTTTTCTTTTTGCTACTATGTATTCCACAGCGAAGCAGATCAGTCAAGTGAGTCCCATCTGCAGACTGAAGTACTGTTGGCCAAACAATAGCTGCGATTTACTGTTGTTGGGATGTTGCAGAAAAGTTGTTTTAGTCCAAAAACACCAACGGCTTACGGGCGAAACCAATGCGGACCTGCATTCTAGGCGCTTCAGGCTGATTCGCCCCATTAGCTGGTCAGCCATTTTTTTTAGCCGCGCACCTGGAATTCGGGCTGCGGGAGGTGCTTGGAGAGCGCGCGCGACTGTTTTCCACACTCCTAGCTCCTCTCGGCCATTTTAGTGCCACCTCTTCTTATTTTGGGCCCCGCTCCTTTTCGATGAAGTATTGATAATACTTCGGTGAAGTATTAATATACAGAGGCGTGATCTTAAGCTTGGAGAGGGGAGGCCCCCTTTTCACTTTTTGCATAAGCGGGGGCAAATTACGGCAGGCGGCTTGCTTTGAGAAGGAAACGCGGTGCTTGCAGGGCGCCCTGACCTCCGCACCTCTCTCGTCTTGCAAGCTGAGCACGGTCTCGTCTCTCACAACCGCCAGCAGCGTGGGCCTTGCCTTGGCGGTGTTTTCCCTAACCCAAGAGCTGTGTCTCTACGGTGGGTCCTTGCTATCACCAGCGCTAGGTCTCCCGGCCTCGCTCTCTCTCAAGATTGCCCCTTGGAATTCGTGGCAACTTCGGGAAGGAACTCATCTTCTTTGGTTCATGCTGATAAACCAGGGCAGGACAAGGGGAATCTCTTACGGGTCCTATATCACCCGGTTTTGTTCTATGCCTATGAATCGGTGTGAAACCCCTCCACCTACGAGCGCTGAAGGAGCTCTCCGTGATCCCAGGGGAGGGGACAAAACGGAAGGAACCACCTTTCCCACTGAGCTTCAGCTCAGACCGGGAGCCCAGCGTTCGCCTCCCTTCGCTTCAGGGTCAACTTGTCAAACAAGAAACAAAAGGGAATGTCCGCTTTAAGGTCCGTCTGATTTAGATCGCGTAGATAGTTAACATCTCTCCAGCCACTAGATCTCGCTCAAGGAATCACGGACCGTTTTCCAGCTCTTCAGCTGCAAGTTTCAGGAAGTCCAGCTATTTAATGGAAACTCGTTCTTTTTCTCTTAGGACATTGTTCACCGGTTGTAGCTGGACTTCTGCCGCGACAGTCAGAGGTCTTTTGCATCCTCTACCCAGCTTTCTTCATCAGTGGTTTAATGCACCTCTCAGCCCTCTCTTTAATAAAAAGAACCGTCTTGTCCAGATTATGGGCAACCTTGTGAGTCTTGTAAAGCACGTGTCTTCAACTCCTGGTTGGGGGCCAATATTTTCAGGCCAATGTTTGCTCAGGACGATACATTTATCGTTATTTGTTTATTAAATTTGTGTATTAAATTGGTTTTATTTATTATTTGTTTGCTTATTGTTACTGGCCTGATTGGATGTGTGTGTGGGTGTGGTTCCCAGTCAGTCTGGTTCTCCCAACTACAAGGGAGAAAGAGGATTCCCAGGGACTTGGTACAATGATACAATTATCTGCGATGAGCAGAGGTCTCTTTCCACTTAGAAACTTCAATAGTTGAGGACGTCTTTACCGACAAGTAGCCCTCTAGCACAACGAAGCTCCGAGATCAACTCTGTTGTAGACAGGAAGCAATATTGATCTTTGGCAGGATTCCCTTGGTGACAGTCTTGCTCCCTGCCCGGGACCCTCTTGCCTTTCTCCATAAACCGAGGTCTGAGGGACTGAGCCAGCCTTTCCTATACATTATTCTGTTGCCAGTGCCACCCCTTCGGTTTCTCGAGGCCTTGTCCGCATTCTTGGGTCTTCTTGGGCCCCGGGCAGTTCCTGTATCCCAGTTTGAAGTTTTCCAGATGTGTAGAACGCAGTTCCCATCGTGCCGAGGCTCCTGGAGCGGAAGAGTCTCTCGTACTTTTAAAACATATTTTTATCTACCTTCCCCGCTTTTTCAAATGCTTACTTCTTGAAAAGAAGTTGGGATGGCTTCCCATCTTGTAGTCAACTAATTCGAGCAGGTCCTTGTAGTTCAGCACGCCACACCTTTTACTTTCTGTGTGCGTGCAGTCTCTTTTTGAATGTTCAGCGCGCTTAGCTGTCCGCGTATCAGCTACCTCAACGAGAACCTTATAAGGAAGAGTGGCCTTAGTATCGCAAACTATCACCCCCCTCGTTCGCAGTGTTTTCCTTTTAACTGCCACGTTGTATTGGAAACCCAAAGGAGTGGTTCACCCCCTTTATGGAGACATCGCTGGCCTTCCAGATCAGAATGGCCAACGCTCTGTTGGATACCCTCTTAAGCATCTCCCACCGGTGCGGGAACGGTGAAAGAAAGAAACCCTTCCAGTCGGGAGCCCGATATCGCTGGGGAGGGGGGCGAAGGCTGAAGCTAAAGGTCTTTGGCAACACTCGCCAATGGGAGTCCCCTCTCGCCACACCTTGTTGGACTGTCTTCCCCGGGCGCGGGAATGAAGAGCTGTTGTGAGGGGCTCTGCCAATCTTTTCAGACTTTGAGAATGGAAATTCGGGGAACCCCTCCCTCGTTGGAGAGGGCGCCAGGCAAAGGATCCAGGACTGAGGGAGCGCGAGGGGGGGCTGGCGGCTGGGGGCAGCGTTGTGGCTCCGCCCCCGTGGTATCTGTCGTAAACCTGGCGCCGCCGGTCTAAAATAAACGCTAGCTAGAGAGAAGGGGAAGGGAGGGCTGGCGCGACGCCGCCACCTCCCCCCCTCTTCTTCCTCCTCCTCCTGCCGGGTTCCCGCGCAGCGGCGACGGCGCTCAGCCCCCTTTTTCTCTGGACTCAACAGCAGCGTCCGCCGGGCGATCAGGAAGGGAGCCCAGGGGCTGCCCGGCGAGCCATGTCGCTCAGCCCCAAGCACACGACTCCTTTCTCCGTCTCCGACATCCTGAGTCCCATGGAGGAGACCTACAAGAAGTTCGGCGCCATGGAGGGTAGCCTGGGTGCACCTTTGGGCGTGGGAGTGGGCGCCGCCGCCTACCGCCAGACCTCAAGTTCAGCCCTCCCGTCCCAGCAGCAGCATCCCATGGCAGGCCACAATACTGCCGCCTATCACCCCATGGCCCACGCTGGGGTCTCGCAGTTCGCTCACGGTTCAGTGGCTGGCTATTGCAACGGCGGGCTGGGCAACGTGGGCGACCTGGCGTCCTATCCAGACAGCGTGCGCAGCAGCACAGCAGCCTCCGGCTGGTATGGAGCCAACCCGGATCCCCGGTACCCCACGAGTAAGCGGGGAGGGGCGAGAGAGGGAGGGACTGGATCAGCTGGGGTGGGGGTTCTCTTTGCCGGGGGGTGGAGGTGTGTGCTCTGAAGGGCGTCCCATATGAAGCCCTCTTTGGGATAATGTTCTTCCTCAAGTGTTTTTTTCCCAGACTTGGACGAGAAAATCCCGAGTTTGGGGACCAATTTGAGTGGGGAAAAGGAGAATTGTTGCATGTGTTCAGAGAATCCCAGGGCCGAAAAGAGGGTCCTCTTCTGTCTTAGAGGGGAACCGCTAATATTAAAGTTATGTTAAAATGCCACCGGTGATTATGACCGCTGGTCTCTGTCTTCAGGGTCGCCCCTTCTCTGCTTCTTGGCCTTGGAGATAACTTCTTCTAACTTGTGCCCTGTGTGCTCAGTTTCCAGGCTGATGGGGCCCTCCGGGGCCATGAACATGGCCGGCATGGGAGCTCTGTCAGGAATCGCGGAGGCTGCCAAATCCATGGCCCCCGGTCTTCACGCCACTCCGCGGAGGAAAAGGAGGGTGCTTTTTTCGCAGGCCCAGGTCTATGAACTGGAGAGGCGCTTCAAGCAGCAGAAGTATCTTTCGGCGCCCGAGAGGGAGCACCTCGCCAGCCTAATCCATCTCACGCCCACCCAGGTGAAGATCTGGTTTCAGAACCACCGCTACAAGATGAAGCGGCAAGCCAAAGACAAGGCGGCTCAGCAGCTGCAACAGCAACAGCCACCGGAGGGACCCGGCCTGTGCCAGCCGCCGGCCCCAACACAAGCGGCATCTCCGAGACGCGTGGCGGTGCCCGTCTTGGTCAAGGACGGCAAGCCCTGTCCGCACAGCGCAGCCGCCTCCGCCACCGGCCAAGCTTCCGGGGCCGGTGGCGGCAGCGGGGCAGGCGGGAGCGCTGCTCAGCATCAGCACCCGCAAACGCAAGGGACCTCGCTGGGCCAAGCCCCGGACCTGGAGGAGATGTCTCCGAGCCCCCCTTCCTTGCACGGCCAAGTGAGCTCTCTGGCACAGATGGACGCGGCTGCTGTCGATTATAGCGGCGGCCTGGTCAATGCCAGCTTGCTCTACGGGCGGACGTGGTAATAAGCCCTCCTCCCCAGCGAATCCTCGAGGTGGCTCTTCTTCCTTCTAGCATCGCGTCCTGGATCGACAGCTCCCCTGGCTTCTTTCCTTCCCCTTCGGGGTTCAACCTCGGCAGAATTCTCCTTGCTAAATTGAGCATTTGCAGAGGAAAAAGGGCCTCTCTCCAGCCCACCCGCCTCCCTCAGCTGCTTTGGCCACCCGAAGCCAGTAGACACGGCGACCCACACGGGGCCTTCAATGGCCAAGTGTACAAAAAACCAGGTGGGGAACGTTGTTAGGTGCTCTGTACAGTAGGTCCCTCTCCACAGCTTCAGGGAAAGGGGAAAGGCCCCCTTTCCTCCCAGACAATCCCCGAAGTGGAGGGGGTAACTCAGATGTCGGTTGGAGCAAGGTTTCCCTGCGCACCTAGCTAAGAAAGGCAACTAAACAAGATCAACAACCGCCTCCTGAAGTGCAGCTTACTTCTGGTGAATCAAACCGAACTACAAATAATGCTAATAATAATTTTAACTGGGAACCCCTTAAGTGCAATCTCATTATTACTGATTGAGAGCTGATTGAATTGTAACTCAAGGTCGACTGGCGAACGTTATCCGCCATTTTCACAAAAGAGAAGGGGCGACATTCGCAAAGAGGAGAAGGGAGGGGAGGAGACCTACTTGTATCGTTGCACCCGGTAATGATATTTTTTTTAAAAAAACCGTTGAATCTCGGGTTCAGATTTAAGAGAGGGAAAAAATAACAAAGATGTTATTGTTAAGTATTATCTGGTAGGGATTTGGTTGTATTACTGGCAAACATCAACTGTATTGCAAACTACAATTCATTCCAATAAAAGGCAAATGGGCTAATAACGAAGATGAAATCGTCCTTAGCAAATATAATGTTGCCTCCCTGTGGATTTCTTATCAAAGGTTCAATGCGGCAAGGAGTTTTCCTGCAGAAGGAGCTTAGAAAGAGCACGAACAAACTTCTGGAAAGGGCGTCGTACCTACCTCTAATCGTTGTAAACTTTAATGCTTGTAAAAATGATTGAATTGCTAAGTGATTTCTTAATCGAAGGAAAAGGTAGTGTTGACAGGATGCAGAATCAGTAAAAAAAAATCTTTGAATTATTTAACTGGAGTGTAGAAAACGTATCAAGAAAAAAGAAGGAATTAGCCAAAATGCAAACTGTGAGAGGCTGAAGAGGAAACGGAAAACACTTTTGCATGAGTTTTTCCTCAGACTGCACTCCTAAGAAACAGATTCTATGAATTTTAAAGTACCATAGCACAAAAAGCTCAAATTGTGACAATAGTTAGGCTGCTATCTTATACTCATTTTATAGGATAAATGAATCCAGGAAGGTTTACTTTGGGGTAGTTAGGAAGACTGCTTTTGGGGAGGGGCTATTTAAAATCCCATTAAACTCTGCAGGATACAAAGCAGTCTCAATTATGTGCAAGATTACAGCCACATTGCACTTTGATCTGGCCCCGAGCAATGCTTTTACAAAATATTGTCAGTCATTACATATATATTTTATCGTTTATTTGCTTACATTTTTTAAAAAAGGTATTTCATAATCCAGTTTCTATGATTGATTTGGTTTTAATTGTCACACAATTTGTGAATAATAATTTTTGTTTGATCCAGAATAACCAACAATTTTTTATCTAGGGGAACTGCAATTCCATTTGTTTTGTTTCCATTCCATTTTAATACATGAAAAAAGGTTTGGCTGATCACTTTGATCACCTTGAAATGAATACAAATTGAATAAAGTAAAGTCTGAATCAGAATCTACTCATGATTTAGTCAGGAAAGCGATTGGTGGAATTCATGCAAATATTAGGAATATCAGGATAACTTAAATATTTTAAAACAAGAAATTCTCCTATGGAAACTTCAATTAAGGGAGACACCAAAGATCAGAATTTTCCCCATTCCCATGAAAGTCTTGGTTTCAGGTATATGATGGGCAGCCTATAATCCTTTAATAATCCAGTTTGCAAATCCTAATGGGACCATAGTCCAAAGTATTTTTGTTGCTGATTTAAATAGATTTTTCTTCTAGGTTATATCATTCAGCATAGGAATTTAAAGAAAACATCTCCAGAGCTGTTGTCCAGCTCCCATTCATTTCAAGTAAGTGAAGGAAAAATTCCCTTTGGAATGTGCCTTAGGAACATGGAGACCATGGAAACACAAGGCTAGAGGATGCGGGTGGGAGGTTTGATGAGACCTTGATTCAGATGAGCAAAAAGTCGGGGATAAATATTTTAGTTCAGAGTAGTGCTATTTACTCCCAAATATGCAGACAGCAGGAACCAGTTCCATTGAAACAACTTAGTAGAGGCCAGTGCACACCACCAAAATTTCGGATGCATTTGTTTTATATTTTGTTAAGTTTCTAAATAAAAGTATATGAGATAATATTCGCCTGAGAGGAAATTCCATTGTATTAAATGAGGTTTAACTTTGGAGTATGTATGCTTAGAATTTCACTTAAAAATAATGGATTTTAAAATATCTTTCCCTGGATTGTGTCTTTTTGAAGGATTTTGGATTGTTAACCTATTCAGAAGTAAAAGCAATGGATCACAGCAGAACTTCATTCCTTGTAATCATTCTCGGGATTGTGTAAAACTCGGGTTTGGAAACTAGTACTATTAATGGGAATTTGTAGTAGGACCAAATTATTCTAAGAGGAACTATTTTTTTGGGGAAAAGTTACATACAAAAGTCACATACAAAAGTGATCAAATGCCTTATATACTTCAACATCTTGAAGTTGGAACACCGAATATCAATTCAGGAGGAATACTGTTCATAGAATTGCACCGGATTATACACTTTGAGGTTTGTTTGAAATAAATATAGGACTGCACTATTATCTGGGTAAAACTTTCTTTGAAAAATACTTGCTTGCAAATCTTGAAAAATACTTGCTTGCAAATCACACGCATCAGTTCTAAATAGCTTTAGTCTATAGTTCCAAGTACTTCTAGGAGAAAGACTGGTTGGACTTAGTGGAATTTATTTCTGAGTAATCATGCTAAAATTGTAATCTAAATTTAATCCTCTATTTCTATATACTCCGGAGATACCCTTACTGGATGCAACAGGATCTCTTTTGAATAGACACATGTAGGATTGTGTTGTAGTCCAATTATCTTTTTCCATTGCCCTTTTGTTATTGTATTTATTATGTTGAATAAATGATGGACAAAACATAGTTTAGCTATTTACTTAAGAACACCAATGTATTTTCTTGTATAGTAAGGAAGTTGCTCACCAACTCATCTACATAAATTATGTATTAAAGATGTAAGGTCTCCTTCCCCCCTCTTTTTCTAACTATACTTTTCTTTAATATTAAAGAATAAAGACTATTAAAGGAGGAGAGAGAAGACACTTGGGGAAAAGAAACAGCAGGGAATACATGCAAGATGGTAAATATAGAGGACCTGGGACCGTAGGGAACAGATTATTTGAACCATTAACTTCAAGACAGAAATTTGCAGAATTTATGTTAACTGCTTGTTTGCCTACTTTTATGCTATTGCTTTGTATTATAATGCGCATTTGCCAAGAACTAAGTGCCTTGGAGATAGTAACTCTTGAGTAAGCATGAGATTGCAGCAAGGATTTTATTTCCTAAATATGGCTGAATTGGCTTCAAACTCAATTTTCTGTAGAACTCATTTCTAAACATTGTAATGGGGGAATTGGATTGGGCTACATATGTATCTGGGAGCCTGTTCCTTAGCATTTTATCAAGTCGGATTCAGATTGTTCCTTTGGCAAAAACAGGCGAGAAGATTGTCTCTTCTCACCTGTTTTTGCCAAAGGAAACAATCTGAATTAGCGCTCTGGTAAGGGGATGTTGCTAAAATGGTTCGAAGAGGAGTCCCATTGAACCCAATAACAGAACAGGTGAGAATATGCATTTCAGCAGACCAAAGCTTGAAATAAGTCCCCGACCCCATACATTCAGAAGAGACCTAAACTTAGGAAGGTGCGAGGATTTCAAAATTGCAAGATTTTCTCTGAAAGGAATACTGTAGTTCATTCACCCAATCTTATTTACATAGGCAGGCCGAAAATCATTGGAAAGAAGAGTTTGGCAAGAATGAGGTGCAGGTGGGCTAGGGCTGCCGGGCTCGGTGAACCTTTTGAGCAGCAAAATTTCGCAGCAGACAATAGCGTTTGAATGCTTTGAAGGTATTACTTTAAGTAGAAATTATTTTCAAGGCTTTTTCCATTTCGAGAATTTGAAGGAATCGGAGATGTCGAATAATTTTCTGGTGCCTAATATATTGGTAGACCCCAAGCCATAAAAAAGCATCTTAATTCCTACGGGTTTTTTTTTTTAAAAAAAAGAAAATTAGAACAAGTAGCTAGATGGAAAGGCAACTGAGTGATGCTTTTAAAAACAAAATCTTATTACGAAACTATTTTGTTTAAAACTAAGTTTATTCAAAATGATAATGGCTATTAAAGTAGCCCCACAATAGTCGTTTCGTACATTTTACCCTAAAAAACCCCGGAAGGCTTCTTAATGCCCAGGACGTGGACGCTGGATTGAGAGAGAGAGCTGTTTTGCGCAAAGTCCTCCTCATTTCAGCAGACCGGTATATGTTAATATGCCCGCCAATTTAACTACGTATTTGAAATCGATGAAGCCCAGAGACAGTTTCTGGGGATCGGTAAACCCCGCACTAGAACCGAAGTTCCTTATACCTTATACCGGCAGATAGGCTGCCACTACTGAAATTAGTGGTCTCTACGCCTTTCTGTGCGAGCAAGCAAGCAAGCGAAACCTCGATAGCTACCTCCCCTAAGCATTTCTTCCTAATTTGCTTTCAAACTTAAAGGCCCTTCTAATGAAAAGCAAAGCCGGCCCGTTGCGGAGAGCCGCGAGCACTTCTCCTTCTCACGAAGCCCAGGGAAAAGCTTTCCACCCATTCAGCTGCAGCATTTTTTCAGAGCGTTTGAAAGAAAAGGTTTTCTCCGGCAATTAGTGCTCGCCAGGCTTTTAAGGCGAATACAAGCCGGGCAGCCTTCGCGGAGCTCATTATCTGAAGAGGGGGATAAGTGTCTTTGGAGCGGCCCGGCGAGGAAGGGGTCTCAAGTGGGAACAAAGAACCTCCCAAAGTTCCTCTGCAGCGATGGACGCAAGTCCGCCGCAACTCTCGGGGCCACAGCGCGCGGGGGATGGGTGGGGAGAGGAGACTCCCACCGGGGGAGGCGGTAGCCTTCTTTATGGGAAGACCGCGATGGCCGCCCAGCCACTCAAGGACCGTCAGCAAAGAGGCCCTGGCGGCAGAAAGGAGGCGGAAGCCCCCCCCAAAGTTGGGCCCCTTCCCTTGCAAGCGATCTTGGTCTCGGCGGGGCTGCCGGGCCAATCGCGGCGGCGGGAAGCAGCGCGCATCTCTGGAAGGGATCGGTTTTGGCGGGAAAGCCCTGTCACCGCTGGATCGCAAATCAGGGTGTTAAGGAAGAAAGGCGGTGGGGGCTAGAGCCCATCCTGAGCCAGAAAGCGGCCAGACTCCAGACGAGAACGTCGGTTTACCTCTGGCAAAAGCCACTTCTTGTGAAAGATTATTTGGAAAGCCCACAGCTAAAGGGTAACTCGTCTTAAGGCGCGCTCTTCCGGGAGTGGCGCGGCTGCTTGCTGCTTTCCGTCGGCCGCACGTGTATAGCAAACCGTTTGCATCTTGAAATCGCCCATTCACCACATATTTAGTCCCTTTAGTCCCTTTGTACTACTCACGTAGCCGTTCTGAATGAGAGTAACTAAAGATGGGGGACTTCGGTTCTTATTAGTTTATATGTGAATGCAAAGTGCATACATTTTACTTGTTAGTCCAGCTACATAAATGAGTATTATAGATGCATGCAGAAGTCTTAGGCTGAATATTTTCATTATTGCAATATGCTATGATTTGACTTAAGATTCTCTTAAAGCTTTAGGACAGAAAAATTCTACTGGATCTTAAGCCTTGTTTGCACAGGTTTCCTAGTCTTTCTCTTAAAATCTGCTCCTTCATAGGTTTCCTGGGACGAAATTCTAGGATCAAAGAGATTCCTTGCTCTTTGAAACACTTACTTTATAGGCATCTCTCCCAGACAACCGTGTAGGTTAGCAACAAGTAAGAAATTAAATACTTGATGCCGAGTCCTGTGAATTGCTGCTATCAACCTGCATTTTTGGGGCTTTTACTTTCAAACTTAAAGGCCTTTGGCAGCTTGTGCTTCTTTTCACTCCATCCTCTACTCCCTAGCCTTCACTGTAAAACATTCCAAGTTTAGCCTTCCAAGTTGTCTAAAAGGCTATCTTATTCCAGAATGGTGGAGATTAGTAGTCATTTGTATACAATGGCCAGGACTCTTAATAGCAAAGGTGAAATGCTTATGTTATCTCAAAAATAGGAAAAACACAGAAGATAAAAACGGTCAGTGATTGTTGGAATAGTGGAGGAAATGTTTGTTCACCTATGTAGTTCATTTTTCTTAAGAACATAAATGTGTTTAAGATGCCTGTCCTGGGGATTTATCTGCCCTTGGCAGCATTCCATACTTTGAATCCCCTTTTTTTCCAGTGTTAACTTTTCAGTTAGTTTCCCAACTAACATTTAGGGTCTTTTTATTGGGTTGTTTTATAGCATTATCCAATAAAGTTGTAAACTGCTTTGACATTTGTACAAATGAGAATTGGTGAATATTTGAATTCATCCCTGGTTCTATTATTCTGATTCAACCAGTAAGTACAATATTAAAAATGTTGCCATTTTTATTGGCTCATATCTTCCATAGTGTAAGTAAATAAGCTATCCTGTAGTAAGTGCTGAAGATAGTAAACACTGATTGTGCATATAAGTTCTTAGGTTTCTTTACTCAAAGTAAGCAACATATGTTAGTCCAGAAATTATCATATAATCACCTATATATTTCACCCCTTTTCATCTCATGTTTCAAAGAGCAAGTATCTGCATTTCTAACTATTTCAGTGGAGCTGTATATACTATACATCTCCTCTGCTTCTCTTTCACAACTGCAATCAATTCTAGCAACTTTGTTGTTAAGCAAAATGTCACTAAGAGAACGAGAGAGAAAGAGATGCTGTGAAGATTGCTGATTGTGGTCTCATTCAGGTAAAATATAAAATTCTCTTGTGCAGCTTTGCCAGCATTATTCTCAACTCTGGCATGCATTGCCAGGAACAGAAATTTGATTTAAGTGTGTGCATTAGTCAGAAAATGATTTTCTTTTTACTATTGACAAATTTGCAAATACTTCCTGAGGTAGTTGCGAAACAAGGAATGGCTGCAGTTGTTTTCAAATATTTAAAATTATTCCTACAGATGAATACTATTCCAATATTACAAATTGTCAGCAATTCCTATAACACAGAATGACAATTTAATTCTAGTTCCATCCTAAATACATTTAAACTCTTAAATCAGAGAAGCAAGGGGAATGAATGGAATCTAGAGATGCTAGAATGAAATTATTTTGTCTGAATAGATTTCTTCTCAGCCAATTTTCTTTAGTTTTTTTTTTAAATCAGTAAAGTTCATTGTATCATTCCATTAAATTTTAAGAATTGAACCAAGGCCATTAAGCCCCAGGAGTCGAGTTCAATTTGAAAGAACTTTACCCCTTTAGGCCTAGAAAAATATGAAGCATTTTTTAAAATAAGGAGTTCCTTACCATTTCTGTTGGGACCTGGGTTAAAAATCTTCATTTTTAAATTAAATCTGTGCTAAGGACTAGAAGGCAAAGTGCATATTCTTCATTCAATTTCTCAATAGCTAATTTAGATGGTTATCTCAAAATATATCAAAGTATACTGCACTTGGAAGTGACACCAGTGCTCTCTTAATCCTGGACATTTGACAGCTCATTTACAGATACAAGGAAAAACTATTGAAAGGGAACATACAAATAAGCCCGAATATGCAATTTCTTTAAATTTTAAGTTTTAAACTGCAAGTTATTTTCAATGGTTTCTTGAAAAAAATGTGGGATTCAACTGTTACTGGATTTACAGTATCTTTCTCTAACATGTCCCATATAGAATTATCTTGCGCTCCTCTCTGTAGTTCTGCCAAGAAACTTTTTGTTGAAAGAAGTGTATATGTGTAACTAATAGTGTGCCTTGATGCTTTGGGTAACGTTTAGTGGACGAACAGGAATTTCAGATATTTGCAGAAACAATACCTTCTTTAGTATTGGCCATATAGCTATAGTTATTGGAATAGTAATTCATCAATATATGGGTAACCACATATTGTTCACCTTTGTATTTGTATATATACATGCAGTATAAATGTCATTAAGCAAGGTAAGATTTAGATAAACTTAAGGCTCACACGCACTGCTCTTGACTGGAGACAAAAAAGTACATAAAATTATTGTGTATAAAATTCACCAATTCATATTTTTTCATGTAAACTGATAAAATACAATCTTGATTGAGCTACACCTAAGAATTCCTATTCTTTTTAATGCTACAATATGAAATAAACAACATGATGCTATAAAAGCTGAAATATTTACTTGGGAAATTCAATAATCATTTTTTAAAGGAAGAAATTAAAATGAAGCATTTTAAAAGAAATACCAATGAAGTCTTTAACTCTTGTGCTAAAGCTTTCCAAGACAAGGTCTACAGTTACATAATTTGTATGTATGTTTCCAATGCTATTTTTCTTAACAATGCATTCTCTGGTGTGTGCGCTAATGGAAACCCTGATGTGAACAGCATTGGCAATATAATGTAATAAAGTCTCTACTCTAGGTAAAGACAGACCTGTACTCCTGCTACATCAGATCAGAACATTTGCTCCTATTCTGAAGTACAATTGTAAATCAACACAGCCATAATATCAAATCTTACTGGTAAAAAGGTACACATCTTAAAAAGAAAGCTTATCCACCCGAAAATTATCCAAGTGATCTATATGATTATAAAAACAAGAGTGGAAAGTGGCAGAAGCCTAATTCCAGTTGTATCTTCCAGACGAGGGTGGCAAAGGGTAAGGTCTTCCATAACCCTGCAAAAATAAATAATACAGTATTATTTATTAATTCCCAGCTTTTACCCAAAAGTGACACCCCCATCCAAATATTTATTATTTTATAATCCAACAAACAAAGACAAGGACATACAGATGTCTTCAGTTGATGTCAACTATTGCCGTTGCTAAGTGACATGGTCATAAAGCGCTATATCATGTGACGGCACTGCTTCATGAGGGCAATTCCAGCACTCCCAGTTGCTGTCATTAAATGAATCACTGCAGGTCAGTAAACCAGAATGTCCTGCAATCACATGGTTGTCATTTGCATCCTCCTGCAAACTTTCCCATTGACTTTGTTGAAGGCTGGCAAAGAAATTTGCAAATGGCAACCATGTGACTGCAGGACATTGTGATATAATTGTGAGATAGGAGCCAAGTGCCTGGATTGTGGACACATGACCACAGGCATGCTGCAAAGGCTAGAAGTCCAAGGACTGGTTGTAAGTACCATTCATTTACCTTCATTGCAAGTTAGAACAGTTGTTGAATGAATTGTCATGATGCAAGGACTACCTGTATGATAAGTATGTTGTTTATACAAGAGGTTTTTGATTTACAACCAAAACTGGGACTGGAGTTTGATTTAAGTTGTGGTTGTAAACCAAAGCAACCGTGTGATTGAACCTGATTTTTTTTTTTTTACCATTTTTATGGTTGTTGTTAAGTGAATCATGTCTTAAGTCTGAATTACATGGCTATGTGAATTCATTTTCTTCAATAGACTTTTTTTTGCTGGAAACTGGATTGGTTTTTTTATGGGTTTTATGTTGTGATTTTTAATGTAAGCTGCCTGGAATCACCTATGTGTGAGTTGGGTGGCCATATAAATTTGTTTAATAAATAAATAATGAAATATATTCCAGATTCCCAAAGGAAACTCAACCGGAAACTAGCAAAAAAGTTGCAAACTGCAGTCATGTGACCATGCATCCTGCCACCAGTCATACATACAAGCCAGTTGCACTGTGCCTGAAATGTAGTCTTGTGATCTGGAGGGTGGGGAGCACTGTTATCATTCCTGGAAGAACTTTACAGGCCATAAAGCACCCTTTCCAAGGCTGCTATAAGTTAATTTTAAATTCGCTGATCTTTGCTTGTCTAGTCTCATTAAATCAATCAACTCCACATTTGGAGCTTCTTTTTTTCATTTAGTTACAAATTTGTGGCAAATACAAACAAAAGCAGGATAAAGAATTTATCTTACAGTGCATGTTAAATGTAACATTCATAACATTTAGTTAGCTGCCAGATATTTAAACTGTGTTTTTGACCTTTTGCATTATTTGGAGTTTAGAATGAAAGTTTGATTCAAAATAAGCATATAAGAATGCAAAGCTGCATTGGACCAGTCTAATGTAATCTAGTATCCTGTTCTAAATGCCTATATAAAGCCTATGAATATCTTTAAAAGTCCAAACGTTCTTACTAGCTTCTTCCAGCAATAGCAATTATTAAGTTTACAGCATCTGGTTCTGGAGGCAATGTTTAGCATCATGATAAATAGCCAATAATAATCTTATCATCCTTGGTAAATTTGCCTAATCCAGATTTTAACCTGATCAACATCTACTGGTAGTGAATTCCAAAGATTAATTAAACGCAATTTAATTAATTCTCCCAACATTAACCTTATATCCTCTCTTAGATATATTTTTCTAAGTCCAAGTAAACTAAGCCTCACTGTTATATGCAGCCTTCATTAGAAGTTTTCCCCAAAAGTTGCCCATAAATCATAATTTTAGCTGTGACAGAAGAAATTATTAAATACTTGGAAAGTCATCATATTTATAACTGGTTAAGAAATCTCTACCGAATGGATAGCTTGTCAACAGTTTGCTACAATTTCAATAGGTGCTGTATTGACTATGAGATGTTCAAGGCAGAAATTGCTGATATGCTTGTACTTCCATGTAGTCATCCTGGTAATGAACACATGCAGAGGCAGAGATATCACTAGATTACTAAATTTGAATGCTAGTAATGAAGCGTTAATGGATAAAGTGAGCAGGGGGGGATCAAGATTAGAAATACATTTTTCTTTCAGACTGCAATTTTAATTATGAGATAATGATTACAAAATGAACGTAAACTATCTACAACTGGTAGTGGAAAGAATTTATCCTAAATTTAGCTACATGGATCCATATTAGGAAAACGTTATTCAAGAAATAAACGTTTAAGAACCAAATCCAGCAGGAAGGGAAAGGTTGAAGGTCTTTTATGCTGCTATTAATTTCTGGTTGCCTGCTGTTATAAATACTATTAAATTCAGTGTGAAGCGGAAGTAAAATGGTTTTCAGCTTTGTAACAAAAATGTTAAACAAGTTCATGTGCAGCTGCTGCCAACCCAGTCCAAATCAATTCTTTGCAAGATGAAGCCCTCTTCACTGAAGGTTATGAATCACAACCTACCACTCTGGTCTAGTGCAGGGTGATAGATGTTTTTCAACTTCCCAGTCTAGGAGTAATACAGAGTGACGAGCCCAAAGTCGCCTATCTGGCTTCTGTGCCTAAGGGAGGACTAGACCTGGATTCTCCTCCTCCTTAGTCCAGTACTTTAGCCACCACATCACACTTAGCATTATTGAGATTTATACAGTATTTTCCTCCAGGACATTATGGTGGAGTACCTGGCACTCCTCCATTTTTTTCCACATAATACCCTATGACAGTGATGGCTAACCTTTTTGCCATCGCGTGCCAGGAGGGGGAGGGAAGGTTTCCGCGTGCGTGCCCATACCATAATTCTATGCGCCCTGCCCTGCACATGCGCGCGCAACCCCCCCCTCCGCTTCTGCCATGTGATGGCCCAGTAGGCCCGTTTTTCTTTCTTACCTGGCTCCAGATCCTCTCTATGCATCTGGGAAGGGCGAAAACAGGGTAAATAAAATAAATAAATCTAAATGCTGCACAGGGTTCTATCCATACTCTAAAATTTATAATTTTCCATTGATACTTGCCTTGAAATAATTAGGAAAGGTTTGGTTTTCAACAAGAATGTTATCTGACTTGTGGCAATGTGTGTGTGTGATATGTAACTGGATAATCATATTCCTTCCTTATCAAAGAGAAGTACAAAGAAGTGTAATAGTTATCAGAGAGTTTCTGGTTAATCAGCATTTGTCTTATGAAGCTTACAGTCCTATTAGCATTAAAACTTTTTAGTATCAGAGTCTTTGTTTTATCCATTTGCTTACTAAGGATTGGCTGCATAGTTTTGATTTGTAGTTCCATCATCTATCTACATACTACTAAAATTCTCATTGTCATGACTTTTAACAGAGTGAAATGGTACATCATAGGGCAACAATTTTTGAACCAAGGTATCTTAAATGGGTTAACTTGCAAAATGTGACCCATATCTGGGACCTATGACTTCTGAGGAAATGAAACTTGGGGAAGCTGTGGCAGCTTCAGTGCTACTGGCTGCTGCTGTGATCATGTGATCTTCATTTTAAACATTCAGTGAGAGTTTTCCAGCCAGTCATGCGATCCCTTGTTCCTTCCCCCACATAGCAGCAGAACTTATCTATCTGCTGGAAAGGGAAAGGAAGATTTCCTATGCTTCCTGCCAGACTCCCACAGGGAAACTCAATCGGAAAGTCAGTAGGAAGTCAGAAGTTGTTCCTGCTCCCACTGCTTTTTTGCCCTCCCTTAGTCATTCTGTTTCTTTGTTTAGGTAAGGAAATATCTCTGAAATGAGGGATCAACAGGACTTGTGTTGTCTAGTAGATAAATAAAAAGCTATCCTCGGAGGCATAACAGATTTAACAAACCTGATTGAACAGATGAATAAGCTGAATACTGACACATTCTGCAATAGCTTCACCCCCATGCATGACAGCAATGGTAGGAGGAGGAAGCCAAGTCTAGAAAAACGGGGCCAAATTTATACCAGTGCTCATTTTAACATTACTGGTATACCATCCTGAGTGATCAAATTCTGTTAATAGTACTTTAAAGGCAAAGACAAAAAAGGAGGCATCTTATGCATAGTCTTTGGTATGAAATGATTACTCCTCAAAATCAGACTGCCAGTTGTAAACTGGTTCTATTACCCAAATTATTTTTCTAGTAGTTGATATTATATTTTGGAATGGCAGATTCATTCAAGTAGATTCTTAATTCATCAATCAAAAGATAATTATGAAATGATAAAGATGAAACAGTCACAGTAACCATATCTCAGTAACTAACATGACTTTAATGATAGTTAAGTTTGTCTGGCTTATTATAAAATCACTAATTCATTAGATTTTTGAAGCATCTTGTAAAATACTAAACATTTAACATACCTAATATGGCCTTATATTATATTATATACAGGAAGGTAACATCACATCCTATCATTGTGAAGAATTGAGATGTCGCTTTTCAAAGTATTTCTTATCCTATCCCTTTAGGGGGCCACACAGAAATCACACTTTTTAAAAATTACCTGTCTTCCACGTTCCCTCTGATCACTGGGCCTTTGTGGGTAATTCATGAGTCCCCCTGGACCCCCTGGACCTTGATATTGATTTTGTTGATATGGTGATCCCTGGGAATGGGGCATGCGGTTCCAGGCAAGAAGAGGAGTGGCTCCAGAATTCCTAAAAGGGGCAAAAATAGAGGTGGAGATGATATATGCTATGCAGTGTAATTATTTGTATTTATTGGAAAACAAGTTTTGCAAATAATTAAAGTTGACTGCATTTTTCAGTTCTGATTAGCGTATAGCTAATTTATTCAAACATTTTGGAGACTTTTTAGTTCATTAGAATAAGGTCACTCCTTATTAATAGAATGTGAAGTGAATACAGAAAAAATGAAATATTCTATATTATGGTATGTTTTTCATTTTCACATATAAATTAGCAACAAACATAAGGATTTAAAAATCTTTCATACACCCAGTTCTTAAAGACAATAGGAACCATCCATTATTGACTTTTTAACATGTGTCTATGCAGTGATCTGAAGCATCGATTTAGGATAAGTCACATTATCACAAAATAACATATATCAAGAATAAGCAAGTGGAATAGTAAAGCTTTATTCTCTGGACATTCAGACCACAATTAAGAATACATTCTTTCTAATTAATTGCAGGTTGTAAATGAATTCCTACTGCTGAGTAGTTTGAATCCAAGGTAGGAGTATTAGCTGTTATCTCTACGCACCTCTATTATTTTACTCGATATGTCAGGAGGTCTGATCAGAAAGAAACCTTTTTAAGTTCTATTGATGCCAGTTTCAATTGACCAGTGACCTAGCAACATAAGCACTAATTGGCATAGACAGACCAACATTTGCTCTACAGTTTATATGGGAACACAAATGCAATGTCTATTATCACTGAGAATACTATACTAAATTGCTAACAAGAAACGATTCAAGTGTCCAGATCAACAGGTGTATAAGCACAAATATGACTTATTAGAAAAACACACATATACAAACCTCAGAAAAACAGTTTAACACCAAGAACAACCTGAGATAAGAGTTAATCAGTGTGAATAAACTCAAACAATTGCTATTTGGGGTCATAATTTAATTTGTAAGAAATTACCTACATGTGGTATAAGAATGAGTTAATATTTTTTAAAGTTCGTTGTGGACCTGTATAAAACTAGATGACTAAAACTTCAAATAACTCTTTTTTGTTTGGTGAATCAAAGACAGCTTTACAACAGACTGAATCCAATGACATCACCGTGTTAGTGAATGATGAATGAAATCGATAGAACAAATTCCAAATTCTGTCTCCTGTTTTTACACAAACCATCCTGGAAGTAGGTTTGAAATGTGGGAGGAAACAAAGTTAGCTTGTAGTCTGTGTTTCCATTAAAGAACTGAGAAGTATTTTAAACTGTTCTATGCCTTTTTGCTTTTTTCACCAAGGAGAAGCCAGTTGAAGTAAAATCCTTGTGCTCTAATTCCAATATCCCAACAGTGCATGCCCATTAACAAGGGACTTTATTCTCCTGGGTCACTGATTAGCAGTGATAACTACCGGTGATATTTTCCATCGTGAGCAGGCATGGATTATTGCCCTACGAAGTGGTGAGTGCTCAGGAGCAAAGCTGTAGAATGGGTCAGATTCAGTCCAGAAAAGATGCTTCAGAATGAAATGGCAGCCCAAATACAGCATCGCATTAAAGAAGTTGCATCCGTCTCCAGGGCTGCTCAACTGTAGGGGAAGCCTCCCTAGAAATAGGTATTTCAGGCGTTGAATGAAATAGCTGTGCTCTCATGTGTTTCAAGGCAGTTCCTTCTAAGTGAATCCCAAAAACTAAACAGTCCCACTTAGTGATCTTGGAAACATGGATTGTTTCCTGACCTATGATGACTTCTTTCTAAAATATGTTTTATATAATAAATTGGTACTCGATCCAACTGAAGATCCATCAAGTTACAATTGTCTTACCTATAGCAACCAAAAGCAACAATGAATATAATCGTATTTGACCTCAGTGTATTCATAGATCTATAATTAAGCCATAAAAATGTCACCCCGCTCTGAAATAATACTGCATAGAGAAACCAAAATTTTGGAAATGTATCTATGAATTACATTATAGTACAGGTAATCCTTGCATTAAGACCATAATGGAACCTGCACATCACAGATGTTAACTTTTGACTGTCGTAAAGTAGGTTGATCATGTGACTGATCCACTTTTAAAGACTTTTTGTGGTGATTGTTAAGTGAATCACTACAATCTTTAATTGAATCCATGGTTGTTAAGTGAACACTGTGGTTATTAAGTGAACCAATAGTTCCCTATGAGCATGCTTTTGTCGAAAACTGGAAGTAAAAGTTTTATGACAGTTTGGCAAAACTGTCATAAAACGCAATCATGTGACGCCAGGACACATAAGTGTGACCTGTTTGTTAAGCACCTAAAGAATGGTCATGTGACCTTCAGAACTTAGAATCCAGGGCATAATTATTCTCCCGCCAGGTAGATCTGTCAGAACTTTGAAGACTTGGTAACTGGTCACAAATCAAGAACTACCTGTATAATAATTACTTCTAGTTTGAGTTGAATTACAGTATATGTCAGATACAGAGAATCTGTATTTCAATTTTACAAGTTTATCTACATCAGAATAGGTTCTTAGTAATTTGGATTGAATTTATTATAGCTCATAATTTTACAATATGAATTATACTGTGTTGACCAAGGTTCTTGATATTTCATTATAGCCAAAGTTTAATATTCTTAGTCCTTTAAAACAATACAATATATTCAATGATTTACAACCAGCTAATGATACACTGGAAAGCTATAATGTCCATAATATTTCTAAACCTCTTGTTAATTAATCTGTATTTTATTCTTTTTGTCTCGTTTTATGCTTGATGTATTTTCTTTAAAACATCTAATTAAAGATATTGCAACTAATTATATAAGAAGTCCAATAATAGAAATAATTTAATAAGCAGCCAAAATACCACTACTTCATGAAATGTTATGTATTATATTTCTACCCTACAATTCTTTCCTCATGTTTCCCATCCAAGTACTGACTAAACTGAAATTACTGATGTCCATCTGCTGCATCTGGGATTGTTTACGAAGTGTTTTTTTTTTTAAAGAGAAGACTATGGATATATACATTTGACCCATCAATATCATGCAGTCTCAACCTAGAGAATATACAAGAAATATCATATTTTGGAATATTCCACCCCCATTGTTCTGGAATTTCCATGTTCAAAATGGCATCCATAATAAATGGAAACAAAATGTAAAATATAATACTTGTACACTTTTATATTATTGTTTTTATCATTGAGGCATTTGTCTTCTGTTATTAACCACCACTTTCTTAAATACATTACCCCCACTATTATTTGAAAGAGTACAACATATACTTTTTCCTCTTTAAAAAAATATCTCTTTAAAAAGTTTTTGGTAGGTAGATAGGAGGGAAACTGCTGAAATAAAGATTCTGAAAATTATATAAACTAATATATGAGTTTAATATATAATTTAAAATTAATTATCCTGAGAGATACAGAGACCTCCCTGTCATGAATATATGCAATATAGTTAACATATGAACAAATAAACAAGCTCCCAAAACAAAACAATACTACTCTCTTTGTATAAAATTGAAATCTTAATCGTGTCATTTCCTCTATATTTTACCTGCTTACCCTAATTTTACTCAAGTCAAGACATATTTTTTCTTTGTTAAATATAAAAAAGCTGAAAAAAGATTAATCTTGTCACAAAGAAACTCACAATGGAAGCATCAGAGCACTAGTATTTCTTGGATTCAGTTTACTGATGAAGACATTCCAGTTTAGAAATATTATATTGCCTTATCATACAGAAAAATTTGGAATTCACTGAATATAATAAAAATTGTAATGAATTCATTGGGAAGCAAAGCAATATATTTTGTTATGACTTCTTTTCTTTTACAATGGAACAATGTGTGAAAATATGTTCAAATTAGCAATAATTTTAAACGTACAATCTTATTCTATACTATAGATATAAATTATTGATGAATTTTTCTGCAAATTCCAGGATATCTGGTTTTAAGGACACACATTCAGCTTCTCACCGAAGGACACATATACAAGACATCCCTTATTATCAAACCATGTCACATTCTCTCTGTTCCATGGTACTTATTGGACTGCAGATTCCTTAATCCTCCCCAGAGTCCCTCCTGTATTTAATTCAGTTCAGTCTTAAGTAGTTAAAGAAACTGTTTTCAGTAGCAACTAATAACTACTGACCTATAGTGACACAGCCCTACAATAGACTTGTCAGGCCTGAAAAAGCTGTACCAAAGAAGCTGATTAGGACTTCAAGAGGTCTGTAGCAAGAATCAATGGCTGGTCTGTGCTAATACTCTGGTTCTAACAGACATGATAAAAGTGGACCACCATTAGTTATGCCTCATTAAGTTCCACAATTCTTCTAAAAAGAAATTTGTTTAGCCTGCCCAGAACCTAATGCAGGTCTGAGCTGTCTGTGCTGAAATTCAGTGCTGTAAAAGTTTCAACAAAATAGGGACCAAATATGAAGAATGCTACATCCCGTCAAAGTTAAATTTCTGATATATTCATGGAAAAGGTTTTCCTTTAGAAAATTTCCGCAACAAAAAAAAACTAGACAAGAAACCATGACCATTAAGAACAAAAAAATAGGAAAGATGAAATTATAATTTACCCCAAATTTTCCAAATATCATAAAGGAAAATAGTTATTTAAAACCTAAAATATATTTTGCAGAATACATATTTCATCATACCTGTCAAATCTTTGTGGTGGTTGTTGAAATAGAGGTGTAGGAGCTTGCCAGGAATCTTGGGGCCTAAGATCTATAAACAAAACAAACAACGTAACATTAAATCAAACTAAACATTAGCATTACATTTAAATTTAAAATATTAACAGTGTAAACATTAAATACAAGCAATGGCATAATAGGGGTATCATGTGGACTGTAGAAATCTGGATAACCTCTAGAAAATTCTAACTCTTTGTTTATGCTGGTTTATAATCATAATAAATATTTGACTTGGTTTTTAACTCTTTGGAGCCTATTGCTCTTGTAGCTTTCCAATCCAGATACAACAGCCACAAATATAACAAAATAAACTCCCTACCAAAGCAACAGTGATCAATGAAAACTGTTACTTATATTTTACTTTACTTTATTTTGAATTTATATACCACCCTACTCCCGAAGGACTCAGGGCGGTGAACATCCAAAAGATAAAGCACATATAAAATTTAAAAACAATGTAAAAGCACATTATTTAACGGTAAGCAAGTCTTATTGTTAAGAACTACTACCTAAAGGTTACATTACTATATTGTATCCTGATGACAAATGACAATGATTGTTTAAATGGTTATGTTGTGGCCTATGTGGCTGGTATTGTCCACTTAATCCCTTATTGTCCATCCTGTTTTTTGTTTGGGGAAGCTATATAATAAGATAATAAGTAAACATATTTTAATCCATACTAAACAAACAAACAAACTATGCAGCAAAGGGTTAAGGTATATATTTATTATTTTATTTTATTTTATTTTATTTTATTTTATTTTTTTATTTTATTTTTTTATTTTTTTTCAGATTTCTATACCGCCCTTCTCCTTCCGGACTCAGGGCGGTGAACAGCCAAATATAAAATATTCATACACAAAAGTTAAAATAGATTTAAAATAATTAAATAAAATTTGGCCCATAATTTAAAACATTTCAATTAAAATCAATATCAAATTTTAAAACCAACCATAAAATCAGGACAGCCCGGCTAACTGAAAAAAGTAGGTTTTAAGGGCCCGACAAAAAGTCCGGAGGTCTGGGATCACTCGTATCTCTGGGGGTAGATTGTTCCAGAGGGTAGGCGCCACCACAGAGAAGGCTCTCCCCCTGGGGGTCGCCAGCCGACATTGTCTGGCCGACGGCACCCTGAGGAGGCCCTCTCTGTGGGAGCAAACTGGCCAGTGGGAGAAGGCGGTCCCGTAAGTACCCCGGCCCTAAGCCATGGAGCGCTTTAAAGGTGATCACCAACACCTTGAAGCGCACCTGGAAGTCCACCGCAAGCCAATGCAGCTCGCGCAGGAGAGGAGTCACATGGGAGCGCCCCGTCACTCCCATAATCCCCCACGCGGCCGCATTCTGCACCAGTTGGAGCCTCCGGGTGCACCCCAAGGGGAGCCCCATGTAGAGAGCGTTACAATAGTCCAGACGAGAAGTGACAAGTGCTTGAGTGACCGTGCGTAGGGAGTCCCGATCCAGAAAGGGGCACAACTGGCGTATCAGGCGAACCTGATAGAAAGCCCCCCTGGCCACGGCTGTCATATGCTCTTCTAAAGACAGCCGTGCGTCCAGGACGACGCCCAAGTTGCGGGCCCTTTCCGTGGGGGCCAATGTTTCGCCCCCAATAACCAGTGATGGCACCAGCTGGCTATACCGGGACGCCGGCAGCCACAGCTACTCGGTCTTGGAAGGGTTGAGTCGAAGCCTGTTTCTCCCCATCCAGACCCGCACGGCCTCCAGGCACTGGGACATCACTTCCAAGGCATCGTTGGGATGATCTGGGGTGGAGAGGTACAGCTGAGTATCATCATTTACATGAACTATTGCTAATAACACAAAGCATTTCAGCTATTCCAACGCCTAGCCACTATCTTCTTAAACTTTTCTTTTACAAGTAGTCCTCGACTTACAATCTTTTGTATAGTAACCATTCAGAGCTACAACGGCACTGAAAAAAGTGACTTATGACCATTTGCACTCTTACAACCACTGTAGCATCCCCATGGTCATATGAACAAAATTCACATGCTTGGCAACCAGTTCATATTTATAACAGCTGCAGTGTTCCAGGCTCATGTGATCCCCTTTTTGACCTTCTGACAAGCAAAGTCAACGGGGAAGCCAGATTCACTTAACAATTGTGTTGCTAATTTAACAACAGCAGTGATACACTTAACAACTTTGGCAAGAAAGGTCATAAAATGGAGCAAAATTCACTTAACAAATATCTTGCTTACCAACATAAATTTTGGGCTCAATTATGGCCATAAGTTGAGAACTACCTGTACTACAAATATACAACAAAATTATATGAGAAGAATATCACATTAACAAGCTGGGCTATTAAATGTATTTATGACAGTTACACTGTCCTGGGGGGGTGTCATATAATCACCATTTGTAACCTTCCCAGATGGCGTCTGATAAACAAAGTCAACGGGGGATGCCAGATTTGCTTAATGACCGCACAATTCACTTAACAAGTGCAGTTATTTGCTGAACAACGGTGGCCAAAAAGGTCATAAAATGAGGTAAATCTCACTTAACTGCCTTGTTTAACAATGGAAATTTTGGGAGTCAGTTGTGGTTGTAAGTCAAGGACTACTTTATTACACCCATTAAATTGTTAATATTCAAGGACCTTGGGGCCTAGTGATTTTTACAATGTCACACTGTCTTTGTTAATTGAAACTTTAAAAACATGGAATCTCTGGAAGAAAACCTGAGCTTCTATATTCTAGAAGGCTTATATCTGAATGATCTGACCTGAACAAAAAGGCTTTTATGGAAGTACTTGAGAGAAGTGCATGCAGAGCAGAGATGACTGCAACTTATCTTTGCAGGATGAAATGGAGTCTAGTTCAATTTTCAATAATAGCAATTCCCACCTTGTGTATTATTTGATCAAAATAATTTATGCTCAACAGGCAAAACAATTTACCTTTGTAGAGTATTTCTCATTACTTCCTTGTAGATATTTGAAAATCAGATTTAAGTTTACTTATATGGTAATTAATAGCATCTTCATAAGGAAAACATGGCAGAGCAATGACTATCACACTCACAAGGCATTTCATTTCTAGAATTTATTCCAAAATTGATCCCCAATTCTAAACAAAATCCATTTTCGGGAAGGAAAAAAAGGAAAAAAATAAAAATAAAAAAACAAAAGCTGTCCCATCCATTTTCGTAATGCAGCCCTCAGAATACTATACAAAGCATCAGAAGTTGCATATCCTAATAGAGTACATTTTCTTCTGAAAATATCTAGTATGAAATATACAATTCCACATTAAAAGACAACACTTAAATATAGTTCCCAGTTGAAAAAATATATAATGAGAAAATAATGATAATAATGGAAAATAATTAATACCTAATTCATTACAGCTGGAAAAGAAAATAGAAGGAAACATAAAAGTGAGAAATGCAGACCCATAATACAGCTCATGGTAAAAAAAATGGACCTAAGGAATTCATTGGCGCATAAAATGTAAGCAATTCCTTCAACTGTGCTGAGATTTAAACTGCTCTTTCTAGTAGCAGCTCAAGAGACAACTTGTGCAATCAGTATGGCAATCAAAGATTTCATGTTTACCAATTTAAAAATGCTCTGCCCACCCCCACCCCTGCTTGATTAATAGAAAGATGGTTAATTGACAAGTTTCTGACTGAGATGAAAGTAATACAATCATACTCAAGATAGCAAAAACCAAGCCTGTATTCACATAGTGCTTCCAGACTCCACTTGACTCTTAGAAGCTATCAGCATATAATTATTCATCAACTGAAAATCGGCACATCAATATCAAATCATGGAATGCTACCAACCTTCATTGCTAACCGAGACAGCCGAAGCTGAAATGACTACATTACTTTGCCATATTTTAATACTGATTCACTTATAAAAACACATTATGGCTTTTAAAAAAAGAAAACCAAATGTGAAGTGGAATTGAATCTTTTTTACAAATAGGTTTTGAGCTGCATCTTGACAAGCCAGTAAAATCAACAAATATCTTTTAACATTTCTCAAATAAACATTCCCTTCCCAAAGATACATGAACAAATATTGTATAGGTATATAATTCCGGTTTTCAATAGCGTTACTAGGAATTGTAGAGTTTAAGACTAATCACTGCAAATTTGGTTGTCTAGAATACACTTGCTTATTTTTATTGACATTTCTTTACAGAATGGCCGATCTGCTGCCCTAAAGCCTTTTTTCAGTTTACCCACAGCCCCAAGGACTACAATGCTGACTTTCATTGGCATGATTTCCAAAACCAAATTTCATTTGTTGTAAAGTATATAAAATTTGAGAATGATCTGAAAGGGTGGACTCTTCTTCATTCCATTTAACACCACTCTCCCACCTGCCATGGAAAATTGTGCGCAGGAAAGTTATGTAAGGTTCAGACTGAGATACAATATACTTATATTGCTCTCAAAGGGAAGCAACAAAAATGCATAAAATAATTAAGTAAAATAATAATAATAATAATAATAATAATAATAATAATAATAATAATAATAGCTTGAACTGCATCTGTGTCTTCGCTGGACCTGTTTTTGGATTAGGCAGAAGAGGAAGGAGCGCTAGGGGCATTTAGTCCTGAAGGGTGACTGCAGCAGTGCTGTAGCCAAGAGCTCTTCTCTCTCTGAGGCAGATCTAGCAAGCCCACTGATTTCTTGCATGCACCCACTGATAACCTCTTAGATTCTGAGGTTCAGCCCTCCCCTTTCCCCCCACCACTCCAATCCTAAACAGAGACCAGCTTGAAAGGTACAATAGATAGCTAACCATCACAGATCAGGCAGACTGGCGAAAAAGCAGACTGGCAGGAGAATCAAGTTGAAGGAATCCTGTATCCCAGCTAAGCATCTGCATGAAGGCTCAGTTTGGCTTGTCTTACTTATTGGCTTTCTTCTCTGGGACAAAATGCTGAGAACAACTTTTCAAGTCCTGGCATTTTTGTGTTCACCTTGTTGTGTCATGTGATGTCTGGATTTTGCCTCACCATGTCTCTTTTCTTTTTCTTTCAATTTGTTGCTTGTTTATTGGATTCCCGGACTCAACCTCTGCCAAGGGTGTGATTGCATTTGTACTTGTTGTCTTAAGATCCTGGTAAAAAAGGATTCTTTTCCTCTGAAAGTTCTACTTAAGCTTTGCTACTGCTGCACTAAGCAAAAATCCAGCTTGTTATCTTGGTTAGCAGTCCATAGTGCTGACACAGAAAAGTCAGTTGCAGGGCATGACAAAAAACATGCATCTTGTTGTTTCAGTAGTCCAACCCGAGTAAGCACTAATCTGAACCTGATCAGCATACTTTCCATACATGCTTATCCCAAAACATGAAACTCAGACCTGAAGCAACAGAAATATTTGGACAACTCTTAGCCAAATCACAATCGCTTAGACAAGGGGTATCAAATTCAAGACCCGCAGGCCGAATCTGGCCCGTGGGGTGCTTAGAACTGGCCCGTGGGGCTGCCCTGGAAATAGCAAAGAACCAGCCTGTGATGCCTCTGCCAGCAAAAGGTGGCCCTCCTGAGTTCCAATTTCACTGGCAGAGGGTTGCAGGATGTCGTTGCAGCCAAAAACAGAGCTTGGGAGCCCGTTTTTGCTGGCAGAGCTCTCAGGCCACCACAGGCGCCCCGACGAGTGATGTCATGCCAATCACGCCCCCTCTAGATCAAACACGATCCTGATGCAGTCCTCAATGAAATTGAGTTTGACACCTGGCTTAGACCAATAGTCAAGAAGTAAACACTACCCCAATCAAAGAACTACCAATACAGACAAATAAGGTAATAGTTAATAACAGCCAAACAAGGAACCATCAAGAATACTCCCGGCAACACTGACAGGGCAAGCCAAAAATATATAAAAATAAGAGCACAAACCCTTCTGTTTTTTAGTACTGATGATGTTACCTAGTTTGGTAATGAAATGTCTGCAATGAAACCAGCAAGTTCAGAGAGCACCAAGGACCTCACATTAGCTTATTTTGTCCCATTCTATGATCTTTCATGGAACTGTAAGTTTCCTTTCAAGGTATCAGCAGCTATCAAGAATGAGAGGGAGGTACTGTTGCATCATCAAGTAGGATGAAATATAAGATCATGTTTACTGTAGAACCATTCTAGAACAAGAATATTATAGTTCTTTTCATGTCTTATGGAGACAAAATAAATTTCAGGAGGAAGACCTTGTTGGTACTTCTTTATCTCATATATATTTTCCTGGGAACATAGTTTCTTTAGGGAAGCACCAAAGATGTAGACACAATCCCTCTGAAATATTAAATACCCCAAACACCAAAAGGGCTAGGTTCATACAACAGCTGCCATTAAAAAACCTTGACTAATATTAATCAAGTTTAGCATGCTGAGTGAATGCAACCAAATGAATTCAGTGAACATAGCCAATTTCTTGTGAAAATTATTTCCCTATTAATGGGGAGAGATATGTAGGCCACCAGATCCATTTTCTGATAGCATCTATATTTACTCAAAATTTGCTATGTGCCCACTGGTAACAAAAAGGTGCAATGCCACTTCTAAATTTGGCTGGGTTAGATTACCACCCTTATTTAAAATATGGAGTTGGAAAACATAAAATCTGGGGCCACATATGAATTTGTGCTTCAACTGAATGGGATAATTCTCAGATAATCTACTCATCCCTAACAGAAGAGAAGCTCTTCTATGAATAAATAGCTTAAACAGACTCAAGAACAAAAAGCTACTATTATGTCTATGACATCAGCAAAAATGTTTTATTCAACAAAGAAAATGACAAAGAAGGCAAATGAAAAAAAAAAAACTTACTTGACAGCAATTTGGGAATCTGATGCTGTGGTCTGCCTAGCAATGGTCTATACGTGTTTCCTTGATTGTAAGCCCCAGGGGGGCCAATATTACTGTATACTCCACTTCCTGATTGTCCTCTGTCCCTTGACATTGCATGTCTATAATGTAGGGAAGAAAAACAAAAGCAAGCATTAATTTTCTAGGAAATAAATGAATCCAAAGGAAACTCACCTCCACATTATTCCATGAAGCAGGAGGCCTGCGTTTCAGAACAGCAAAAATGTACATTCCTAAAGCTCTGGTCAAACAGAGATATTATGGACATAGAAATATATTTATTTTGAGTCATGTAGAACTGATATTGTGATGGATTAGAACCAGGAAGATCCAGTCCAGTTTTAACTATGAATTCTCACTGGATGATTTTTGGCCAGTCCTCCCTCTCAGCTCCTACCTCACGGATTTGCTGTTGTTGGGATAAAATGAATGGAGACCCTGTGCCTTGAGCATAGTAAAGGCAGGATATAAATCTAATCATAGACATATGCATTATGCATGTCCATCACAAGGGGAAACCAATCTTATGTAAGCAGCTTTCTGCACATTAAAATATATGCACACTGATTTTATAAAGTCTTCCAGAGTAACTGGAAGAAAATAAGATTATGTAAATACAGTATAATAATCCATATAACTAAGATTATATATGACTCTACTTAGGGGAGAAAGAATTCATGATTCCATTTGTCCTATTGAATGAAAAAAGACTACAGAGCACACTAAAGTCTAAACCTTGATTTAAGTTACTTTACTAACTTATAAAAAATATAACAATAGGTATTTCAAAGGATAGTGAATTTTGGGGGCATGATTCATCACTCATTTGTTTCTGTTTTTGCCTTCAAGTTATCCATGATGGTTGTAAATCATGGTTCTTTTCATGGAATAGGTTCACATATCATGCAAACAAACTCTGACACATAAATACAGTATCATCTTGGGAGCATTTTGCCATTAATAGGAATAAGTAAATAAGCACATTATAAAGAGCCATATAACAAATTTCCTAGAAAACAACAGGGTGGGGGCTTGCTTTTCACACATACACATCAAGCAGCCCGATAAAAATCTTAGGAAACCAAAGAAAAAACAAGGCAAGAGCAGAGTTAGTGCTAAAATATTTCAAATTTGAGAATATTTGGGGGGATTCAAAGAATATGCTTATTTTTCAAAGAGAAAATCAAAGTTTTTTGTTTTGTAGAAATATGAGAACCTTATTAGACCAAATTAAGGATCTTTTTTTTTTTTATATAGAAACTTTATTGAAGTTTTTTACAAACAAAACAGAAATAAAAAAGATAGAAAAAAAAAGAGGAACAAAACATTCAGGCAAAGACATAAAACATATAAATATAATAACATTTTCAGTTACTATCAGATGTACAGTGTTTTAATTATTTACATAAATAATACTTGGTGATATTTCAGCTCACTTTTAATCAATATTTTGCACACCTTTAGGTCTTCCTTTCATTTTATCATGCAACCACTTATACCACCTTTCCCACACCAAATAATAAACTATCTTCTCATCATTTAATTCATAGGTTAATTTAGTCATCTCTGCGCACTCGAGTATTTTCTTAATTGTAAGCTCTTCTGGTGGTTGAGTTTTCTCTTTCCAGTACTGTGCATATGCCAATCTGGCGGCTGTAATTATATGGATCATTAAATGTATCATTTCCTTTCTATATGGCTTCTTTATTATTCCCAGGAGGAAAATCTCTGGTGTTAATTCAATATCTTCATCTATTATCTCATTTAACCACCTCCTAATTTTGTTCCAGTATCCTTTCGCTTCCTGGCATGTCCACCACATGTGAAAGAAGGTGCCTTGACCATGGCCACATTTCCAACAGTTGGGGTGTATATTGGGATATATTTTTGCTAGTCTGGCCGGGGCTAAATACCATCTATGGAACATTTTGTAATGATTTTCCTTGTATGTCACCGCTCTGGTCAATTTAAGATTCCTGTTCCATGCCTCCTCCCATTCTCCAAAATTTATATCACGCCCTGTGTTTTTCTCCCATGCAATTATTTGGTTCTTTGTGACATCTTCAAACTTATCGTCGCCTAGTAAGTAATTGTATAGTTTTGCCAAAATCTTTTTATTTGGTCCCAACAGGACTTTATCTAATCCATTTGGTCCGAATTCTAAACCGTATTGTTCTTTATCTCTCTGGTATCTGGATTTCACTTGTAAGTAAGACCACCAGTCTAGGATTATTCCTTGCTCCCGTAAGGTGTCATTTGATTTAAGCCTCCCTCCTTCGTCTAAAATATCTTTATATCTGCCCATTTTCTCCCTCTCCCATCTATTGGGGTGGGTCATGGCCTCCATCGTTGAGAGCCAATTTGGGTTTTTTTTGTAATATTTATGCCTGATCTGGGTCCATGTTTGTATCAGGGAGTCTCTGATTTTATGTCTATGAAAATGTGTCTTCCTTTTCTTCTCCATGTCCCAAATGTGGGCGTGCCACCCTTTTTGCAAGTCATGACCTTCTAGGGTAAGTATCCTCTCATTTTCCAAGGTGATCCAATCTCTTATCCAAACTAGCTTAGCTGCCCTGTAGTATGTTTGCCAGTCCGGGAGTCCAAATCCGCCTATATCTCTTTTGCCCCTTAAAATTTTGATGGAAAATCTCGGTTTTTTCCCTTCCCATATAAATTCTCTGATAATTTTGTCTAGTTCTAGAAAGAAATTTTTATCTAAATGTATCGGTATATTTTGGAATAAGAATAATATTCTAGGGAGGATGTTCATCTTAATTGTGGCTATCTTGCCCAATAATGATAATCTTATTTTTTTCCATCTGTCTAGGTCTTGTTTCATTTTTCTGATTAGGGGGGTATAATTATCGTCTTTCAGGGTCGAACATCTTGATGTAATCCAAATTCCTAGGTATTTAATTTTTTTGGCAACCTGTAATCCTAATACTTCTTCTATCTCGTTTTTCTGGCTCTCTGTTGTGTTCTTGGTCAATACTTTGGTTTTAGTTTTATTCAATATGAAACCTGCCACCTCTCCATATTTACTTAGTTCCTCTAATACTTTTAGTCCCGATTCTATGGGGTCTTCGAGGATTAGAGCTACGTCGTCCGCAAATGCTTGTGTCTTATAGGTCTCCTTCCTGATCTTCAATCCTTTTGTTTCCTCATTGGTTCTGATTTTCCGTAGAAGAACTTCTAGGGCCAAAATAAACAATAGTGGGGATAGGGGACAACTTGCCTTACTCCCTTACTAATTTGGAATGTTTTGGTCCTATCCCCATTCACCAAAATACTCGCCTTTTGGTTATTATAAATAGATTTGATCATCATTTCAAAATTTGTTCCGAATTTCATAATCTCAATTTGTTTAGTCATAAATTTCCACTTTAAATTGTCAAATGCCTTTTGAGCGTCAACAAAAATCAGGGCCATCTGTTTCTCAGGGTGTTCTTCATAGTACTCTAGAGTGTCTAGCACGATTCTCAAATTGTCCCTAATTTGTCTCCCTGGAAGAAATCCATTCTGGTCTTTATATATCCAATTATTTAAAATCTTTTTCATTCTTTCTGCCATTATACCCATGAATAATTTGTAGTCAGTATTTAGGAGCGAAATTGGTCTATAATTTTGAATTTGTTTTGGGTCGGCACCTTCTTTCGGCACAAGTGTAATATGCGCCTCTTTCCATGACTCTGGAATTTTATAATCTACCAGTGCATCATTAAAAATTTCTACTAATTTTGGTTGGAGTGTTTCTTCTAATTTTTTATATATTTCCCCTGGGAATCCGTCGGGTCCTGGGGCTTTGTTATTTTTCAATTTGGAAAGAGCTACTTTTAATTCTTCAATTGTAATCTTTCTATTAAGCATTTCTTTCTCATCATCAGTTATTTGTGGGAGCTCTGCATTTGTCAAATATTGTTCTATTTTATCATCCGGTACCTCCTCTTCTTTGTATAGGGATTCATAGTATTCTCTCACCCTATCCAGTTTTTCTTCCTCATTTGTCAATATTTTACCCTTAGAGTCTTCTAGGGTATGAATTATTCCCCTTTCGTTTTCCTTTTTTAATTTATAGGCCAGCCACCTGCCCAATTTGTTAGTATTCTCAAAAAGATATTGTTTCGTTCTTTTCATTCTTTGTGCCAGCTCTTCTTGCTCCATGATATTTACTTTATGCTTCCACATCATCCAATTTTCTTTGGCTGTTTCATCTTCTGGGTTATCTTGAAGTTTTCTTTCTGATTCACCTATATGATTTAAATATTCTTCCAAGGTCTTCCTTTCTTCTTTATTTTTGTGTGCGGCATATGAAATCACAACTCCTCTCAGATAGGCCTTCATTGTGTCCCAAACTATTGTGCGAGGTGTGCCTTTGTTTTCATTTTCCTTAAAGAAAAAATTTATTTCATCTTTGATTTTTTGTATACAGTCTCTATCGCCCAGTAGTTTAGCATTGAACCTCCACCTCCGTTGGTGTTTTCTCTGAACAGGCTTCCATCTGATTTCTAGTGGATTGTGGTCTGCCCAATCGTTTGGATTGATTACCGCTATTCCAATTTCTAACCCCAAATTTCTGCTGACCCATGCCATGTCAATTCTGGACCACGACTTTTGTGCATTTGAAAAGAAGGTGTATTGCCTATCGTTTGGGTGCAAGGTACGCCAAATATCAATTAGGTCTAGTTCATCAACTAACTCAAAGAAAGCTCTTTGTCCTTTTATTTTTTTTAACTTTATTGCTCTTATGATCCTTCTCCGAATCCACAATGCCATTAAAATCCCCTATCATACAGATTTCATTATATGCCATTTTCACTAATTGTTCATGAAGTTTCTTGAAAAATTCTCCCTGTTTTTTATTTGGGGCATAAATACCCACTAATAGTACCTTGGAATTCCCTCTCTTAATTTCGATCATGAGGATTCTACCCTTTGTATCTTTAAATTTTAGTTCTGCTTCAATTCCTTTTTTAACATAGATTACCACCCCCCTCTTCTTTTTCTCTGCCAACGAATCAAATGTTTGACCAAATTTTTTATATTCTAAACATTTACTCTCTTCTTTTTTTATGTGCACCTCTTGCAAACACATTATATCAACATTTTGTTTACCTAGTTTTGTTAATATTCTTTTCCTCTTTTTATAGTCATTTAGACCATTAACATTTACAGATATTAGTTTCAAGTCATTCATCGCTATACCCCTATCTAGTTGTTGGTTCTTGTTTGTTTCTTACGGCTCTTACTGGTCTTGCTTTCTTCTCTTTGGCTTCTTCTTCTTCTTCTGTCTTCTCCTCTACAGTTGCTTCGTTTGTGTTCTGTTGGTGTAGGGCTTCCTCCTCCACTGCTGCTGTTTCTAATTCTTCTTTGCTCCCCTGCTCTTCTTCCACACCTCTCAGCTGGTCAAGGAAATCTTGTGCTGTACTCAGGTTTTCTATTTTAATTTTTCTTCCTTGCCAGGTTATTAGCATCCCTTCTGGGAGAAGCCACCTAAATAATATCTTTCTTTTATTCAACTGTATGGCCAAAAATCTATATCCTTTTCTCATCTCCCGAACCCTTCTTGGTATCTGTTTTAGGATTATTATTTCTTTTCCTCGGTACGTTATCTGTTCGTCTCTTGTCATATTGTATAAGATATCTTTAACTTTTTTCCTTGCGAAGCGAATATGTACTTCTCTAGGAAGCTTATTCCTTCTTGCATAGTTAGTCTGGACCCTGTATACGTCATCCAACTCCCTAATTATCGCCTGTTTGTCTTGATGAAGTGCGTCAGCTATCAGCTCCGCCATCTTTTCCCCTAGGTCTTCCTCTCTATCCTCGACAACGTTCTGAAATCGCAAATAGAAGGAAGCCCGGTCCATCTCCAATTGAATTATTGAATCTTCTAGCTCTTTATTTTGACTTGTCAATGTTTGATCCACAGTATCCAATTTCTTTTCAGTTTGGTCAATTCTTGTTTCGGCTTTTTGAATTCGCTGTTCATTATTAACTATTGATGTTTGGATTTCATTCATTTTCTGGTCCAATGCATGTATGTCTGATTTTAATTCAACATGATTATTTAACAGTTTTTCCTGCATTGCCATCATCGTTTCTTGAATCAGGGTTAGTGATGCTTGCAAGGTTTGCATTGCCAGGCTTTCTGTTGATTTTTGTGTCGCCGGAGAAGTTGTCGCTATGGTAGGATTTGAGGGAGTCTTTTTTCCTGTTTTCCCCACTGTGTATGACATACTTGTCATTTCTTTCAGAATTTTTTTTTGTTCTCTAATTATCCTATCGATATTATTCCAAATTCTCATTCGCCAGTTAGCGCCTCTGTTATCTCCTTTTTTATAAATATTTATATATCTATAATTCTATATCTAATTTTTCCTTCTAAATTTATAACCAGATTTAGCTAATTTTCCGATAGAACAATCAATATCAATATCTATGGGGTGATTCAAGTTTGTCACAATACCTTATACTCAATGTACTATTTAAATATATTAAATATTAGCTTAGTAGATATAAGTTAAACAATTCAATGATATGCAATCAATATATCAATTAATCAACAATTCACGCTCAATGTATCAATGTAGCAATTAATTTGGCTAAATATTGTGCTTTTAAATGCTTAAAATACTATAAATACTATAAGTGTAAAATTTTTAAATACTTGATTTTAAATACAATTATAATTTTAAATACTATAGAAATAATATAAATACTGTAAATACTGTAAATGCTAAGCAGCGGAATATATATAGAAAAATTTAAGATGTCATAATTTGAGGGTATATTATATATATCTAGTCCAAGCAAAAACAATTTATCAAGATATTTACAATTTTAACAGTCAGAATACTGAGGACAGAATATCTAGAGGTTTAAGAACCTTTTTTTTCAAATTTCCCTCCTTGGGATATGCTCTAGTCTTTTTTTTTTTTTTTTTGCTCAGTCTCTGTTCTTCTGCAAGCTTAGGACATTCCTCCGAGTTCAGCACTCTATCGTGTTTCTTGCTGCTAGACTGTCCACTGCTAGACAGTTTATTCCTCTGTCAAGTCACTCTAATGGCTGAGCTTCCTGTTCGTTACAAAAAAAAGAAGCCAGACTCGATCCACCCAATTGCAGCCTCCGCTAAGTCTAGTTTTAGTCACAGTAAAAAGGGGAAATAAGTGCTGGTTTTGAATTTCTCACCGATCCTCACTGGGCACGCACACTGTCGGTGGAAATTTTCTGTCTTATTTCAGTGCCGGCTTGTCGGGCTCTCTCTCTGTCAAGGAACTCCGAAAACTTTCAATCGCCGCTTCTCTCGTTAGTGGGACTCTCCACCCGACTTCACCGAACCCTTTCCTGATGATCTCTTTCCGCGATGCTGGGAAGGTGTGTATTGATCAGCACTGCAACATCCGATCTTCCTTGCTTCCAATCTGGTTGCTGGTTACCGCGGCTTCGTGTCGGCCATTAAATTGGCCGACTCACACGTGCTGGATTTGACAGAGCCGCCCGGTCTTGCGATCAGCGTTTTGCCCTCCGCTTTCACGCTCACCCGGCTCGCTCTCTCGTCCGTGGGGCTCTCCGGGCTCCACGCCCCTCAAGGGGACCCCAAAACACGGTGACTAATGGTATTGAGGAGCAGCGGTAACTCACTCAACGCCATATCGCCGCGGGTCACCAACCGGAAGTCCCAAATTAAGGATCTATCTAGTCTATTCTATACCAATAGTGGCTAAATCTTGCTTATTAATAGACGTAACTTTCTCCATGTAGTTTTCCGCCATGATGGGTACTTATAATTTTTCAATACTGAAGATTACATTACTAATTGTTATTGATATTCTTTCTCCCATGAAATTTGTTTAATTCCTAATGTAAAATCATGGTGATGGCGTAGTGGTTAGTATTGCAGACTAACCCACAGCCTGGAGTTTGATCCTGATCTGCTCAAGGTTGATTCAGCCTTCCATCCTTCTGAGGTTGGTAAAATGAGGACACAGATTGTTGGGGGCAATATGCTGACATTATAAACTGCTCAGAGAGTGCTGTAAAGCAGTATGGAACAGTATATAAGTCTCAGGGCTATTGCTAAAATCACCCAAAATGATTACTACAGCTACATCTTGTGGACCTATTTTTCACTAAAAATAACACAAAACACCAAAAACATTCATATTTTTACCATTTACTCAACATAAAATGTTCTAACACTCTTAATCTACTCACCAAAATGCATCAAGTTATTTCAATACATAAACATCTCTGTATGGTTTCCTTGCTAAATACAGATAGTCCTCGGTTTACAATTGAGCCCAAAATTTCTGTTACTAAGTGAGACATTTGTTAAATGAGTTTTGCCTCATTTTACAAAATTTCTTGCCACTGATGTTAAATGAAACCATTGCAGTTAGGAAATTAGTAACACGGTTGTTAAGTGAATCTGGCTTCCCCATTAACTTTGCTTGTCACAAGATCGCAAAATGGGATCACATGACCCTGGGACATTGCAATGATCATAAATATGAGTCAGTTGCCAAGCGTCTGAATTTTGATCTTTTGACCATGGGGATGTTGAAATGGTCATAAGAGTGAAAAGTGGCTATAAGTCTCACTTTTTTCAGTGTCATAGTAAAGGTTGAATGGTCACTAAACAAGCTGTTGTAAATTGAGGACTACCTGTATGAGTAAATAAATGTAGATGCATAATACTAATTAATGATCAATAAAGCTCATAACTACTTACCCTAATGTTCTGAATGCTGACTGGTCCAAGTGAACCTGTCTCCTATCACGATTAAAGCCAAGCTGTGGCTTCCAAGACCTGCCATCATTATTAGATTTCTCCCAGTCACCTGGCTTCAGAACAGCTGCAGGTTTTCTGATTGTTAAGACAAAATTATTTAGTATAATATGTGTCTGGACAATGGAAGAGACCAGAGTTATCTGGTCCAAACTTCAACATACTATAGTTATCTACATTCTATTATATAGTAAATGGTTCAGAAATATTTTCAAAAAGACATACTTACTTTGCTCCAGATAATACAACTGCCTTAAAAATATAGTCGTCTTGGTATTGTGGATCTTTAAAGTTGATACTGGGAACAAAATTTTTTTGAAACAATTGTGAAGTTTTAATAAGACCAATAGCTCAGCTCTATGAACAGTTCTCATTATTTCATTCCTTTTTAAGATAAACATTTAACCAAATTAATAAGAAATCAAGTCAGGCCAGTCAAAGCAGAGACAAATGTGTCCTATCAATCTGCTTTACTTGCTCCTTATTTTGCAAGCAAATCCAAGTTGTTTATCAGTGGACAACATCTCAAATAAGGTGTGTAAAATGCCATAGACTAATATTTAATTCCATGCAGATGCTTTCTCTGATTTTTCATTCAATTGCATGCAGAGAAATTTTACAGCACATACATAGTCTTCATCTTAGAGATCTTCTCATAAGATACTACTGTCAATTATATTGGCAGACCCAACAGATACAAGGATCTAAAATGGACCTATTTCTTAAGCTTATTTCCCAAGGATTCTGACCTTAAAACAGATGGGCTGGTGAAATAAGAAAAATCTATTACAGATTTCTTTTAAAGCAAAAATGTGAAAGGAATATGTAGAAACACAAACAAGAATATAATTTAAGGAATCCACCAGGATCAATCTTAGAATATTTTAGGTCAAATATTGGTTCATAAAAATGCGCACATTTTGAAAAATTTAGGGGGGAAATGCCATCCTTTAAAAATGCCAACATCTTTGCAAATCGAATATGAGTCATCAAATAGCAGGTAATCTAGTTAGTACATGCATTTTTCAGGTGATCCAGAAGTACTATCTTTTGTGTGTGTGTGGGTAAAACAGGGATTGGCTACCCATGGCACACAACTCCATTTTTTAATATTATCTTCTAAATGTGTCACAATTTGGAGATATAATCTTCTGCTATTTAAGAACCTTTCCTCAGCCCCTCACCAAAAGCCTGGAAAAATAGGGATGCTATAAAGCAGTGGTCCCCAACCCCTGGTCCGCGGACCGGTGCCGGGCCGTGGAGTACCTGGCACCGGGCCGCGCAGCGGCCGGGGGCCATGATCGCTGCAGCGCAAAGGCTCCTGGGCCGTGTGCAAAAGCTCCTGGGCCGTGCGCAAAGGCTCAATGTGTCGTCGCGAACAACGCCCCCCACCCCTGCGCGCGCTCAGCGGGCCACGGTAAAATTATCAAAGGCTGATTGGTCCGCGGCGATAAAAAGGTTGGGGACCACTGCTATAAAGGATTAGGTAAGTCCAAGAGAAGGAACTAATTCCCATCATAAAAAGTTCTTGGGTGAGCACAGCAATAAGACTTGGTTTATATTTTATGGATCTAATAATTTGAAATTAATGAAGCATGCCATTTGAGTCAAAAGGTAAAAAGCCTCAAAAAATTAATTAGCTCTCTGATATACCCTCTCAAACTTCAGAACACATCTGTGGAGGATTGGTAACATATGCCTTTAAACTTATTTTAATGTTTGCATGTTTCATTTAATATACACTCTTTTTATTTGTTTTTATATACTTACAATATAATCTGAATAAAATAAAACAAGTGGGTTTCTTTGTCTTGTCATTTACCAATCCTTCAAAATACAGGATAAACTGAGACTATATTATATAGTCTATATTTTGGGAGATTGCAGGAAAATGCTGTAACAGATGTGCCTGTTTGTGTGAGAGCACCATTTACTGCAGCATCAGGGCAGATAAAAAAAAGTACCAACATATGGTCCACACTAGCAGAAAGGTTGTTCAATCCATTAAAAAAAACATAATTATAGTATCCTATAATCAGTTCAGAATGAGAGTTGGACTTAATACAGAGGGTGTTTTTGGTCACTTGAGGTTGTGCCTGGCAGGAAAGAATTAACTCCTCTTGTTCTAGAGAAGATGGAACAATTATCACTGTAACAATGTACAATTTAGATTAAAAAAATTCAGGCAACTGAAAAAGTAAGAATAACGGTGGAAGACAGGATGCCCTATTAAAAGTGGGAACTATACAAACATATTATCTTTCTGCCTCTGTTTGCTATTCCAGCAGACTTATTATTAGAATATTTTTTTCTTTTGCATATGATAGAGAATGGGGAATTCTACAGCAAATTCCCTAATTTTGGCAAAAAAAAAATTAAAAAAGAAAATGAGATTATAATAATCACTGAGGGCTGTATGGCCACAAATTACTTTGGGGGAGAAGTACTGGTAATCCTCAATTTGTGAGCCAAAATTCTGGACATGATTGAATCCAGAATTTTGGTTATAAGTTGTTGCCGTTATAAGTCGAATCATCATGTGACCAGATTTGAGTTTAGGAACATGAACTGAGAAGCAATGGAATCTGTTGAGAGTTGGGAAATCATTTAGTATCCTGGTTGAGATTATTTGCTTTGTTCACCACCCTTCTGATTTAGAAGGACAAGACAGCAAATGCTACATGGGGCAAGTATAGTATAAGCAAGAACAACCCACTAGGTTTACATGCACCCTTGAACTGCTCTGTGGAATTGCTCTGGCCATCTACAATTTTCACTGCCTTTTCTTCCCAAAAGCTGGAAGGGAAAAGCCAGGATCTTCTTTCATATCAAAGGCAGCCCAAAGTATAGCTATTCTGACACCTCTGAATGCATAAGAGGGAACCCAGCTTCTAGTGTCTACCTAACATTCTTCATGAGAACAGCCTGTTGGCAGCCTGATCCCTTGGCAATCTGATCCTGGCAGCCATTTTTCTTCCCACCAAAGGATTACTGCGGGAGGCAAGCAAAGACTAAAGGGTTATTTTGTCTGAATAAACTTTGTTTAAGACTTGTCATCTCAAAGAAGAAAGGAATTGTTTTTTCCTATGGATTCAGAAAAACATTGTAGAGCCTTGGTAGCACAGTGGACTAATGCACTGTTATTAACATCTGATGCTTGCAATTACTGCAAGTTCAAATCCCACCAGGCTCAAGGTTGACTCAGCCTTCCATCCTTTCAAAGGTAGGTAAAATGAGGACCCAGATTGTGGGGGCAATAAATTGACTTTGTATAAATATACAAAAGTATGAAGGCTATTGCTTAACACATTGTAAGCCGCCCTGAGTCTCCGGAGAAGGGCGGCATATAAATTAAAGCAAAAAAAAAAAAATGTTTTTGCAATTAAAATGGAAGGCACACACTTCAGTCCCACAATAGATTTCCTTTGACAGAGGATGATAGAAAAAAATTACCAAATCATTCAGGAGGCAACGATCTATTTCTACATGAGTCACAGAATTGTGTTTGTCTCCTGACATGAACTAAATAATGCCAGAGAAGTGAATGATCTATGGATTACAATTAACGAACTCTTGTATAGATTCTCTTAGAATCATTCATGTTATTTCATCGGATTCACTAGTGTAATCTTATGGGGAATACAGAATGTAAATAAATATGCAGCAGGATTATGAAGTTCTAGATGATAAGATAAAGACAGAGATAGGTCTCTAATCACCATCCACATATGAGACTAGCAAAGGAATTTATGGAAGTGAGATCATAATTACTGAACAGAAGGCAAATTATATTCTAAGGTTTAACATTTCAGTTGATTGTGAACCAAAAACACCAAAAGCCTGTAATATAAGGGGATCACCTCTATTTTCTTTTCTACCTATCTGTGACACAGTTAGATGATAAACCAGGATTGTAAAAGATGGTACACTATAATCTGAATTTATAATTTACCTTATGGCAGAATTCTGTGTCAGATCACGCAGCAGCGGTACAGGAGATTGCACTGATCTAATGGTTAAGGGAAAAGGTAAAAACTGTTCATTTCAACATAAAAAACCCTCATGATTGTAGAGAATGGTGGAACACAAATATAAATTGTCAATGGCCATAATCCAGAACATTTGCCTTTTGTGTAAAAGGATATTTAAGTGGTCTAAGTAACCAACACAAAATGTACAAATATTTTAACATTCCTGAGATAAAATTCTCAGGCAGCATGGTTTTAAGTGTGCACTGCTACAGAAAGATTAAAAGCAACAGCAATTCGCCTCAATTCAAGCAAGGAAAAAGAGGGAATTAATAATGAAATTAATGTTTCATAATGTCAGGTCTGTGATATGTCATTTTAAGAAACTAGTGCATAAAGTGGAATAATCAACATTTATTTTTAAACCAGGACAGGAAAAGATAGAATTTAATAAAAACAGAGCATTTAGTACCAGAACTTCATATCAATTCAAGTTAGCTATTTCTTCCTCTATTATTCTTTAGCAAACCTAAAGTCCTATCTTCAATCTTCTTCTTCTCCTTCTTCTTCTCCTCCTCCTAGTGTATTGCCGCAAGTGCAGGGTCTGCTTTAAATCCTATCTTCAATCCCATGCTCATAGTCTCATTTAGTGTATCATTGTTCTATTTTCCCATTAAACCTTCTCAGCAAATTTTCTAAACCACACTTTCTCAATACATATTATAAATAATTTTCTTGTATTATGGCTTAATGACAGCTTTTTTCTATTTTATCTTTTGAATTTCCTGCTTTTGTTTAAAAATTACATTGTTTATATATACTCACTATTATTCAGGAATTAATGTAATTCTTTATACCGTACTTTTCGGAGTATAAGACGCACTGCCCCCCAAAAGAGGGTGGAAATGTTAGTGCATCTTATACACAGAATACAGCCACTTTTGGCCTCCCGAAACCCTGCCCCATGTGTCCAGTTTTTGCCAAAAACAGGCCTGTTTTTCGCAAAAACGGGATGCACAGAGGGTTTGGGAGGCCTGCAGAGTGCTCCTGGAGGTTGGGGAGGGCAAAAATGTGATATGTGGGGGGTTTAGGCCAAAAAGGGGGCCATTTTTCACAAAAATGGAATGCAAAGATGGTTTGGGAGGCTTCTAAGGGCTGGGGAGGGCAAAACTGTGACAAGTGGAGGGTTTGGGAGGCCAAAAACAGGATGCGCAGAGGGTTTGGGAGGCCTGCAGAGTGCTCCTAGGGGCTGGGGAGGGTAAAATGCGACGTGGGGGATTTAGGAGGGTCCATTTTTCAGAAAAACAGGATGCGCAGAGGGTTTGGGAGGCCTGCAGAGTGCTCCTAGGGGCTGGGGAGGGTAAAATGCGACGTGGGGGATTTAGGAGGGTCCATTTTTCAGAAAAACAGGATGCGCAGAGGGTTTGGGAGGCCTGCAGAGTGCTCCTAGGGGCTGGGGAGGGTAAAATGCGACGTGGGGGATTTAGGAGGGTCCATTTTTCAGAAAAACAGGATGCGCAGAGGGTTTGGGAGGCCTGCAGAGTGCTCCTAGGGGCTGTCGCCTTTGGGCTGCTGAGCACTGGCCTGCATGCCTATTCAGTACTGCGGCCATCGGGCTTACAGCTATGCTGAGTCCAGCACTCTTCAGGCCCTGGCGGGCGCTACAGCTCTCTTATTGGCTCTATGTGGGGCAGCATAGACTGAGAAAAGGAGGACAGGCAGGAAAAATGTTGCCTCCAGCTGCCTCTTCATCATGGTGAAACTCCTCTTTGAAAGGAAGATCTGCAGGTGGGGGGGGCAGATTACCACATTTACAGAAGATGGCGGCCTGAGTGGCATCCACAAAGCATGGCCATGGGATGGCCTGCTGCGACCCTTCAGGAAGCTGGCACAAGGGGCCGCTCCCCGCCTCATAGCGGTACATGGGGGGGGGGGGGGAATAAGACCTTCCTGAAAAGAAGCCCTATTTGTTTTTTCGGGGGGGTCAAAAGAAAATAAGACCCAGTCTTATTTTTGGGGAAACACGGTATTTTTCCCAAGGGAATGAAATTTGGGAAAGTTACGACTGCTTCAGTGTTACCGGACTGCTGCGGTCATATTTTTAATGTTCAATGACAATTTCCAGGCCACTCATCCACTCCCTTCCCCCCTTCCCAGCTGCAGCTACTTGCCTGCCTGCTAGGGAGGGAGAGAGGGAGGGAGGGAGGGAGAGAGGAAGGAAGGAAGGAAGGAAGGAAGGAAGGAAGGAAGGAAGGAAGGAAGGAAGGGCTCTTGTCACCCACCCACTCAGGCAACAATTAAGAGACTCATGTCAAACTGCCTATCACATTCTCAGGATAAATCCCAAACTCTCCCTAAAACCCTGCTGAGCCCATCCGTTTGATGGGGGGGGGGGGACTAGTCAAATAAATCCTATGAAAGCGAGCAGTACTACCAAGCCAGAAAGCTATCAGAAGGCACTCTAATTATTGGAAGTATTGATGCTAAAATCCTTCATTCCCTTAACACATTTTGTCCTGAAATAAAAATCAGCTCTAACATGCATCTCTTGTTATGTGTCAAGCCTTCAAATAATTTGGGTTAGGTTCATGATTGCCATAAACTCTTGACGTATCTGGATACCACACTGCTCCTGAGTAGACTGAAGTCCCAAAGAATAAGAGGATTTGCTGCCAACCTGGAAACAAAACCAGCTCCATCAGCAACAGACTATTGGAAGATCGTTAAAACTCTATTTTTCCATAGGCTTTTGGCTGGTCAATATGATGTTGCCAAGGTTGCATTCTTATATCTTTATATATATTATATAATATACTGTCGCACAATTGTTGTGAACTGCCAAGAGTTTCAAAATGTAGAGAATCAATCAATCCCTTTGGTGATTTCCCACATGGGATATTTGGGGTTTTGGGAGGGATGATCTTTTACATCTTTATTTTCACAAATTGAACATTGGAGCTTACCTGAATGTTCGATCTATGTGCGCTGCAGGAGAGTCCAAGCAATGGGTTCAAGTTTAGCCTGGTTGGCCAGAGACTGAGTTGAATTTGCCTAGCCACACCTCTTTCTCCCATGAGCCTTCAGTGTTTTGACGAAGAGGTCTGTAGAAGACGTAGCAAGATGATAGAAGAATGTCCACTATAAGTAAGTGTTGGATGCTGGACCGCTACAGTAGGGCGGGGTTGGACTCTCCTGCAGCGCACACAGATCGAACATTCAGGTAAGCTCCAATGTTCAATCTCCTGTGCACTGCTTGGAGAGTCCAAGCAATGGGATATACCCAAGCTAAGTATCCCTAGGGCGGGAATCCAAGTGGTCCAGGTGTCGTTCTCCTGGTAGAACCTGCTGCAGGACTCTTCTGCCAAACGAAGCCTTGGCCGAGGCAAAAACGTCCAACTTGTAATTTCTGATAAAGGTAGTGGGAGAAGCCCAAGTTGCAGCCCTGCAGATCTCCAATATGGAAGCCTGAGTAGCCCAGGCTACCGTGGTGGCAGCGCTACAAGTTGAATGCGCAGTGATGTTTCTAGGCACTGGAGTAGATTGGTGTTTATAAGCCATTGCGATGCAAGCTTTGATCCATCTCGCAATTGTAGATGGGGTAACTTTCTTCCCCATGGCAGTAGGCTGGAATGATACAAATAGTGATTCAGACTGCCTGAATGATGCGGTCCTGTCAATATAATTGCGGAGTGCCCTACAAACGTCGAGCGTGTGCCAACGTCGTTCTCTAGGATGTGTTGGGTCAGGGCAAAAGTTAGGTAAAACCACCTCCTGTGCCCTGTGAAACCAAGAGTTGACTTTTGGTACGAAAGTCGGGTCCAACCTGAGGACCACCCTGTCGGAGTAAAAGATGCATAGATCTCCACGTACCGACAGTGCCGCCAGTTCGGAGATCCTTCTCGCAGATGTGATTGCTATCAAGAAGGCGACCTTGAAGGTAAGTATTCTGAGGCTGGCGGATCCTAAGGGCTCGAACGGAGCAGACGTAAGTGCTTGCAGAACAAGAGGCCGAGGCTCTCTGCTTCGGACATCAGGTCCTTGGACCGGGTGCCTCCCTGCCTGTTCACGTGCGCCTTGGCGGTCACATTGTCGGTTAACAGCAACACGTGACGGTTGGTTAGCGAGAGGTGGAAATGACGGAGAACTAGGTGGGCAGCTCTGAGTTCCAACCAATTTATGTCGTGTAATAGATCCTGTGGAGACCATCTGCCCTGTGCCATCTGGGAACCCAGGTGAGCCCCCCAGCCGAATAGACTGGCATCTGAAGTTAGTGTTAGACGTGGCGGTTCCTTGAAGAGACAGCCTTTCTCTAGGGAAGGTGACGTCCACCAGTTCAGGGAGTGGAGAACCTTTGGAGGCATTCTGACTCTTGTTGTGGAGTGACTGATGCCTGCTCGTTGGCTCGGTAGGAGGAACCATTGTAAGGTTCGGGAATGTAACCTCGCCCAAGGAACAATGGCCAGACATGAAATCATTTTCCCTAGTAACTGGGACAATACTGAAATGTTAAACCTTAGAATATAATTTGCAAGTAGGCTTCCTTTAGATCTATGGATGTAAGCAGATCCCCCTGTGATGCAATTTAGAATAGAGGTTAAGGATTGCATCTTGAATCTCTTGTATTTGATGTGTTTGTTGAGTCTTTTTAGATCTAGTATTCCCCTGCAACCCCCCGATTTCTTGGGGACCAGAAAGAGGATCGAGTAGAAACCGAGACCCTTCTGCGAGACAGGCACCGGTTCTATTGCCTGGATGGAGAGTAGATGAAGGATCTCGGCTTCCATCAGAGACCTCCTGGTGCAAAAGATGAATCTCCTTGGAGGAAGGGATGAAAACTCCAATGTGAGACCGAGCCGGACAGTTTGCAGAGCCCAGGCGTCGGTTGTGATGAGCTCCCATTGGGCTGAGAACCTCAAGAGGCAGCCTCCAATGGGAACGTGTGACTGGGAGTCATTTGGACCTGCGGTAAGGTCTACTGCCGGCCCCTTGAAAGGGTCTCCTAGACTGGGGTTGTCTAGACCTGTCTCTGAACTGAGCCCTATCCTGGGATCAGTCTGAAGTTGGAGGGTAAGTCCTCTGATAGGTTGGGGCGGAGTAACCGCCCTCCGCCCCACGAAGGACTGCCTGCGATAATATGGAGAGTATCTCCTGTCTGTCCTCCTGTGAGACAGGGGAAGTACCTTCCTTTTATCCTTGGTCTCTACCAAAATGGGATCTAAAACATCACCAAAAAGATTATTGCCCTGAAAAGGAGCAGACGCCAATTTCCATTTGGATTTCATATCGGCTTGCCAATGGTGAAGCCATACTAATCATCTGGAAGTCACATTAGAGGCCAGGGCCCTGGAAGTGAACTTAGCCGCATTAAGGGTTGCATCAGCAGAGTATTCTGCTGCAGCAATTAACTTGTTGATGTCCTGGTGTAACCTGACATCTCCCTGGGGAGCTCTTGCCTGCATTTGATGCAGCCACAGGAGGGAGGTTCTATTAAAGAAGGAAGCTGCCGTGGCTGATCTGATCGCCCAGGCAGCTGCTTGATGTGTCTTACAAACTGACATCTCAGCTTTCCTATCCTCAGTCTTCAGCCCTTCTGCAGAGTCTGAGGGGAGAATATTGGAAGATGCTAGGTTGGCAAAGGGAGTATCTATTGTAGGCAACTTAAGCAAGTCCTCTACCTCCTGTTCTACAGTGTACAACTTTTTGTCTAATCCGCTGGGATTAGACAAGGACCCAGGTTGAAGCCATTGCTTCTTAATAATGTCTATGAATAATCTGGGAGAAGGAACAGCGTCCTGGGTAGTGACCGGTTCTGTAAATAATCGAGCATGGGGATCATGCTCAGCCGAGCGGTCAGATGCCCCAGCCACAACCCCTAGATTGGCCGTGGTTTTGGCCTTGTATAACAAGGTCTTGAACATGCTAGGGTTGAAAAGGCCAGTGAAGGCTGGTTTGTCTGGAGATCTGCCTTCATCTTCAGAAAGATCATGATCTGCGAATTCTTCCTCCTCCCCAGCATAAGACCATTCACGGCCCTGAGAATCATGAGGCGAGTGAGGGGCCTGGGAATAAACCCTATTCTGGTGGGCCTGGTGTACATTGGGAGTGGTACCAGCTGAGTCTGCCCCTTCTAAGCAGGGCAGAGTCAATGCCCTGGGCAATGGTCTGAGCTAACATCTGGCAGAGTTCCTGGGAAAGAACAGGGGCCTGGCTTACCTCAGGGCGGAGCCCCACCGCTGTAGGGGTTAAAGTAGCTGAGGGAGCTGACCTCCTAGGTACTGGAATGACTCCCTGATCAGATGAGTCCTGTTCTGATATGGGAATAACCTCCACAGCACTCTCAATTAATTCAGTTGGAGGATCTGTGGTAATATCTGGAGACCAATTCAATCTATCTTCGTTTGAAGCAGAAGGAGGTGTATCCTGAATTGAAGGGATATTAGGTTCTGGGTGAACAATGACAAGACCTAGGCCTGAGGAGGCTTCTGCCTGCTTTTTTGCCTTTGCAAATTGTTTCTCTAAGGCTTTTTGCCTTCTTTCTGCATCCTTATCAACAGCTGTGGAAGAAGGGGCCTTGGATCTGGTGGAAGGCCCAGGCTGAGCCCCAATTGCCTTACTGTGATCTGAAGACTTAGCTCTCTTAGAAGCAGAGGAATGGGATGCAGTACTTTTGGAGTGAGAGGAGCTGCGATCCGCCATCTTGGAATGACAAGCAAAAAAGGCAATTCAATCAGAGGATCTTACTAGGACAATGATTATAATAATGATATTATTCCTCACTCCAGTAGTTGTAAATATGGTGCCAATTTTCCACTGCTGTTAGGTATTAAGCATGAGACTGATCAATGACCAGCTCTAATAACGCTATGAGAGAAAGGCAGCAGTAATCAATGGTGCGGGAGAGACACAACAATCCCCAAACCATAAAGGCAATAGCAGTAAATCAGCCAGCAATGCTAGGCCCAATCGCCAAAACTCACGTGGCTCCTTGCTGTGTTTCCGATAAACAAGGACTGCTAATTAAGATCCCTTGAAGGTTTCTGAAAAGTTTGAGGCTTTTGCTCCGTTTCTGAGCTGCTAGAAGCCAAATTTGCCTTTAAAAGGATTGCCTCCGCTGTGCTGTTAATGGTGGCAATTAGGAGAGGCCCCTGAGGCAAGAGATTAGCTCTGGAGCTAATTAGCTCCACGGAGCTCCCGGCTGCAGCTGGAAAACACCTCAGGCTGTTGGTGGTAATTTTAAAGAGAAAAGGGAGAAAGAGGCTTCTTTCTGTGGCTGGCAGAGTATTTTAAATAATTTTTCTAAGACAGAGAAATTTAAAGCAAGTCTCTTTAGGCCGACTGAGTTGAAACACTGAAGACTCATGGGAGAAAGAGGCTTGGCTAGGCAAATTCAACTCAGTCTCTGGCCAACCAGGCTAAACTTTAACCCATTGCTTGGACTCTCCAAGCAGCGCACAGGAGATGTATATATTTCTTTCCAACTTTCACATCTACAGATGATCTTCCTCATTATTCTCCTTCTAATATGACTAGATTTTTAAAAATTCCTTGACAATGAATAAAACAAATCAGTCTTATCATATATGAAATAAATTAACCATGAGCAATTTGTCAGCAAACTAACTGCAGTATAAGTTGTACTTACTCATCTGGAAGGATGGGATATTCATTCAAGGTGAGCTCTCCCTGTATTCCATGACACAGTTCAGGGGGTATATCTACTGGCTATTGAGGAGTAAATAAATCCAGATTAACTTAACCAAAATAGCTCCAATGACAATTATGCAGTTGAAACATACTTCATTGCATACATCTAACAAATATGAGAAGACATACCTCTTTTTCATTAGACTTATACTGTTCAAGAATGAAGTCATGAAGCTGATGATGTTTCCCAACAAAAAGGATATCACCACCAAGACTATTTCTTCTGGCTAGAAAAGGAAATAAAGTTATAATACTTCGTTATGAAATGTCTAAAAGGAGTAGACAGTGGGAATCATTTGCAAGGACTTCTGATTTTACACAGGAGTTATGTGAATCGTACATCACATTTCGAAAGAAAATTTTATATTACTTTTATTCAGGAGAAACTTAACATTTCTCTCCTGCACTCTTCATCACTTATGACTACTTGTCAATCTGAATAACAGTTTATGTAATAAAGATACTTGGATGCTTGTAAGAATTCCTAAAGACCAGGTCCATGTTCTGCTGTTTTTCTTCATCATCTAAGTATTTGACATGAAGAGCTATAGAAGGGTACTATAACATTCCACAAGTCTGCATACAGATTTTATCATTATTTGTGACTGAAGGGTGAATATAAATAGTTCTCATGTCATAGAAAACTGACAAATTGCATTTTTATATTGAAATTGTTAGGCAGAAAGAATCAGGACCATACATTAAGTTCCAGTTAAGAAGATTTATTGCTCAAGCCAATTCAGAAGAATCTAATCAAATAATAGTCAGCACTTAATTGGTGCTGGATAAGAGTCAATGAAATTCAAAGAGGGCTGGACTTGGAATGTTTGTGGATACCTAACAATTCTAGGCTGAGTCCCCTCGACTTCACCTCTAACTCTTCTTCTCTTACAATTTGTAGAATTATTGTATTGAATAACTTAATTCCCCATAGCATTTGAGTTGAGTATTTGATCTAAACGTAATCAAAATGTGATTCAAAATGATTCTAACAAAAAGAATATTGAACTTAAAATGTAATGTGGGTGGGTAATGAGATATTTTTGTACTATAAATAATTAGAAGGACCAAGATTGGAATAGTATAAGATGGCACACATATTTACTGTCTAATTACTTGAGAATGAAACAGAAATTAATGTCTTCTATTTATATATAAATATCACTATATGCACCAAAGACAAATTCCTTGTGTGATCAGTCACACTTGGCCAATGAAGAATTCTATTCTATTCTATTCTATTCACTACCAAAATGTTCTATCTAAAACCATTTTACAATCCTGCAATTCTTACTTTCTTCAGAAGTGAGGTTGGGATACACCTGTGTCAAAGCAGCTCTTAGACGGCGTTCATCAACAAAAGGCAACAGAGCAACCCCTAGGAAAATAAGCAATTGGAACTTACATTTATCTCTAACAATATCAAGGAGAAAGTTTTAAAAGATACTTGGGCAAACCAAATTATAACACTGGATTTCAAGAACAGATAATTAAGTATATATTTTAGCTCTTCCACCAAAATCATGGACTTGAAAATTTTAACTTAAGGTCATTGACTTTCCCTGAAGGTGGGGAAAAAAGGAAAAGAAAATTCATGCACTTACCAACTTTTGTTAATTTTACACTTACTGTATATCCACCATTTCCCTTCCCAGAAATGTTAGAATAATTTTCAATGTTTTTTTAAGAGCCGTGGTAGCGCTGTAATTAGAATGCAATACTGCAAGCTAACTCAACTACTCACTCCAGGAATAAGATTCTGAGTGGTTCAAGGTTGACTCAGCCTTCCATCCTTCAGAGGTGGGTAAAATGAGGAGCCAGATTGTTGGGGCAATATGCTGACTCTGTAAACCGCTTAGAGAGGGTTGTAAAGCACTGTGAAGCTGTATATAAGTCTAAGTGCTATTAATGGGACTAAACTGGCATTTATCTCTGAAACAGATTTTTTTGAAATTTTAGTTTTATGTGAATAGTCTATAGAGCTAAGAAAAAAAGTAACACACAATCTAAGCAAATGTAACAAATGTTCAGTACCATCTGGAGCGATCTTAAACTACATTTCACTATGAAGAACAAACCTCTTAAATTTGGATTATGGTCATGACTGAAGTTAAGATGAAGTTAAGATACACATTATCAATATGTGTTGATTATAATAAGTGCAAAAAGACAGCTTCCAGTTTTACCTATTACAAATACTGAATTGCTAAACATCCTAATAAAAATAAAAAGAAATTGCAAAATTAAGTAATTTATTTTAGAGTGACATTCAATAGGTTAATTTATCAGTCGAAGAGCACTACAGCCAAGCGTATTTCCTGGCTTTTTCCAGAGGAAAAAAGGGATTGAGGAGAGGCAAAATGCAACTGAGGAAGAAGACAGCTGTGCAAGTAGAGTCCTCTTGCACGACCCTGGACAGAACATATAAAACATAGCACTTCACACTGGTTTTTCTATTATAAAAACTATTCAACGTTATTATTAAGTATCTAAAATGTTAAACTTTATTTTAGTCACAGCAATAAATTCCATCTAGATACTACTGAAATTACTATGTATCACAACTCATTTAATCTTGATCAGGTTAGTATTTTTTACAAATTCATTAAGGAAAACAGCACATAGAAATCAGTTTAGCAACTGATAGCAAACCTGTAAATGGAATGTTTTTCCTGTTTTCTTAAAATTATTCCCAAGACTAATCATACAAATATTGACTTCATGATGAAATAGTTACCTTGCCAAGCAAATTTTTTCCCATTCAGATCAATAGCGAAGTCCTCAGGATAGAAGTCAATTATACTTGAATCCTGTTTTAATAAAGTATTATTACAGTGATTTAGAAATCTGCAGTGTTGGATGAAGGCACTATTTTTTTCTGAAACGTAATTCAAAGAGCATTTTGTTTAAAGAAATGAGTTTACAAGCTATTCTAAAACAACAATTTAAATTTAAAAAGTACATTTTCAAGGTGTAAAATTTACACTTTTTAACTTTAAGCCCTGAATCTGAGTCATTAAACCAGGTGCAAAAGCATATGTATGCAACCAGCAAAGTCTTGCTTCCTATGTTCCACTCCCTCTTCCTCCTCCCAAATTCCCACCCTGCTTCATGACAAAATAAAATAAACCTTCTAAGTGCTTGATAATTTGAGCACACAAGTATACGTTAGAACTCACAAAAGTAGCACCTATGGAACATATCTACAAGAGCATGCAAATAGCAGGGGTAAGGCTGGTTTTTGTTTCTCGGCAGGAAAATGCTGAGAAACTCAGAGCTTGATCCAAAGAGAGCTCAACTTTCAATTTCTCTTATCCATTCAAAGCAAGAGGGAGGGGCATGATCAAGGAGAGAACATGCCCATTGGCTAGTTACTCTTCTTTCACTTTCATTCTATTCAAGCCTAATCATCCCTTCAACTATAAACCAGAGACTGAAAAATCATGAATCTTTCTTGCCCCCTACAGTCAAAACGGAATCTCTTTTTCCAGCCAGGAACTGCCACAGAAACTATTAAAAATCAATAGTTCAGGCATGAATGTTAATGTCATTAAAGTTCATTTTTATATCCTTCTGTTTTCTATCCAATGTTCCAACAAAATTCCCAATACACAAGCAAAGTTTTCTTTCCTTATTCATTCCTTGATTTAATTACTATAGACCTCATAAACAAAGTTCTTGTTTAAAAATTTAAATATTTAAAAAGTGGAGATAAAACGTGATATTTTCCTTCTTCCCTCGGCTAGGGCTAATATTCTGGATTGCTTCAGTAATTGTGTGCTGTGGTCAAATAGAACCACAAAAAGAAAACAGTTAATAGCTATCAGTAAACCCTGAAAAGTTATTGAAAGGCTACAGCCAACTTTTCTCTGTCACTCTCATTTTGCTTATGAACAAAATTTAGCACAAAAATGTATTTTCAAGGGTGGTTAAATAGAAGTAAAATTAAGGTATCATTATCAGAATAAATCCATATAGTTTAAAAGAGTAGTCAAGGTAGAAATCCATTTATTTCATTGGATAGTGGAGAAATAAATTAATTACTACATACAGTACTTAAATGTGGCAGCCATTTTGTGAATATCTAAACCACAAATGCTACTTTATATTGGAACACATTTTATACTGATCTTCCTCATACTTTTTCAGAACTCTAAAGGTCTGTCCTAAATACTGCCTACTGTGGCCAGCCTTTCAAGCAGTTGCATCAATTCAATGAAATTTTTATCATTAACCATAACATTCCTTTGTTATGGATAACGAATTTCACAGTTGGAATCTAATATAAATCAAACTAAATTTGGAGTGAGCTGAAACATTTAAGACCACACAAGTTCCAACTGAAAGATCTACGGTATAACAGACAGTTAAATAAATAATATATCTGGTTTTCAGACAACTGGTGAAGTAGTTGAGAGAATATTAACATGAATATTCAAACAAATAAAGACCCTTTAATTTTCTTACTGGATCAGTCATAAGTTTCCGCCATGTTGGTGGGAGGAAATTACCGCTGGCAGCTGGGAAGACACCCATCAGTTGTTCCAGAGGTCTGAACTGTAAAAAGGAAGGTAGAGAGTAGTAACTGTTTAAATATTTAAATCTTTAGTTACTAAGATGAATTATAAATAGAAGTAATTAAACTTACTGGGTTGGTTCCTTTCTCAAAATCTGAGACCATGTCTGCAATACCTTCAAAATCTGAAGCAAATGGTGCATAGTGGAAAGGATAATACCATTTCCAGGAAGCGCACCCCTAGTTGGGAAAATGAAAGAAGAATTTAAATTAAAGAAGATTCAGGAATCTTCTCTATGCATTTAACTATTAAATAATAATAAACTTTAATTATTCTAGTCTAGGGGTCGGCAACTCGTGGCTCTGGAGCCGCATGCGGCTCTTTGGGCCCTCTGCCATGGCTCCCTGTCCCATCACTGGTTGGTCCCACCCTTTGCCCCTCTTATTTCCTTTTTTGAATACAGCCCGAAGTGGCAGGAAGCGAAGGCTGCCTTACGTGCAAATGTGGCGCGAAGGCGGGTACAGGGCAGCTTCACTCCTGCACTCTCCTCCCCCCGTGAGCCAGGAGCGTGCGCACGTGCGGGGAGACCCTCCTCAAGCTAGCGCCAAGGCACAGCAAAGGTACGTGCAGGGAGGGCTGCAGCTCGCTTAGGAGGACGCGGCTTCTCTCCTGCACTAATGATCCGGCCATCGCCAGATCTCCTCCTCCCACTCTCGTGATGCTCTGGCTGTGGCTGAGCCGGGAGCGTGCGCACGCACAGGGAAACCTTCCTCAAGGAAGCACCAAAGCTCAGGAAAGGTGTGCGCGGGGCGTGCAGTGGCTCACTTAAGGAGGGTCTCCCCATGTGTGCGCATGCTCCCGGCTCAACCACAGCTGGCTAGGATATCATGAGAGTGGGAGGAGGAGAAGAGTGCAGGACCGAAGCTTCCCTGTTCCTGCCTCTGTGCCACATTTGCATTAGTGCAGGAGAGAAACCATGTCCTGTTAACACCCTCCTAAGCGAGCGGCCGTCCACCCTGCATGCGCCTTTGCTGCACTTTGGCACTCGCTTGGGGAGGGTCTCCTTGTGTGTGTGCATGCTCCCGGCTGAACCATGGCTGGCCAGGACATCACGAGGAGGGGGAGGAGGAGGATGGTTGCCGGAAGGGAGGGGGGAAACACACACATATACAGAGGGAGGGGAAGAGAGAGAGACACACATACAGTGATACATAGAGAGGGGTGAGAGAGGAGAAGAGAGGGAGAGGGACAGAGGGAGAGAGACACTGGGGGGGGAGAGGGGGAGATATGGAAGGGGGAGAGAGACAGAATGGTTTTGTGGCTGGGTAGGCATGGTTAGGGGGAAATGTGACTGGGTGGGAGTGAGTGATAAAAATATGTATGCTCAAAAATAACCTTTAAAGTTCTGATCAACATAGCAAATGGGTAAAATTACACTTAGCAATTTCAAACAATTAACATGTATATGGATAGCTGTTATACTAAAATGTAAATGTTGTTTATCCTATACTTATACAACATAATTAAAAACCTAATAACAATTATTTAGCCAATTTGTCTAGGCCGGGTGTCAGCAACCTGTCGCTCCGGAGCCGCATGTGGCTCTTTTGTCCCTCTGCTGTAACTCCGTCAGGTGATCCCACCACTGGCTGGCCCCACCCCTCACTCTTCCCTCCCAGTCAGTCCTCGCCTGGCCTGAGAAGGGGTGGAGAGCAGGTCATGCATCTCCCCGAGCGACCAAGGTATGCGCAGCACCAACAAGGGCTGGAAGAAGCACCCGTGAGACCCAGCAAGAGATGAGGTGCCAGAGAATCAGAATCAGAGAGAGAAAGAGAGACAGAGAGAGAGAGAGTGGAAGAAGAAGGAAGGGAGGGAGGGAGGGAGGGAGAGAAAGAAAGAAAGAAAGGTGAGAACGAGCAAGCGCAGGATCAAATTCTGGGATTCAAAGGAGTCTTTGAGGGTTGGATGCCGAGAGGCACAGATTTCCTCCACCTTCTCCGTTTCCACCCTGCACTGAAGTGAACCAAATGGGCTGGGGTCTCCCTCCCCGCTAAGTAGCCCCACTAAGCCTGCTTGCAAACTCCGCCAAGCGTGGCTCCAAAAGTTTGGCTCGCGTGTCCCTCCTGGCTCCGTCCCACCTGCCATGGAGCCTGCCTCCACCTGGATGGCTGAGCCGGACGGTGTGGCATCTGCCTTCCCTCCCGGAGCAGGTGGGGGTGGGCACCCACCGGCCTTGGCCCACTTCTCACTGCCGCTGTCTGGCCCCCCTTCGCCTGGGAAGGACTGTGCAGCAGCCTCGCCAGCTGGCCGGGTATATAGTGGTGCCGGCAGTTGGGAGCCTTCCTGGGGCTCAGCGAGGAGACCCCACAGGCGCTCCCTGCAGGGCGCAGCAGCCGGAGCCCCTTCACGGCATCTCTGCCTACCTGCATATAGAAGTTGGCCATCACAGCAGCGGGGAATGTGCACACCCTGTCTGCTCTGGTCTTGCCGGCCAGAGGCCGGGCTCCGCACCGCTGCCTCCCAGCCGTAGCGCTACATTTATTTGCTTGCTCTCCATCTCTGAGGAGGGAGCTGCTTTCAGGCTGCCCAGGTCCCTGCTGCGGGGGGACAGAGGGAGAGGGAAGGGGGGTGTCTCCCCTACAGGATCCAGGTTGGAGTTGCCTTATTTTGCATGGATCTCCACTGCTTGGCTTTGCCTGCCGGCCTCCACTCCTCCTCCACAGCCCAAGTTGTTGGATTCACACGACACATGAAGCTGGGCAGGAGAGCACGAATAGCTATAGATGATAGATAGATAGATGGACAGAAAGAGAGAGAAAGAGAGAGTGTGACAGAGAGAGAGAGAGAAGAGAGAGACAGAGAGAGAGATATCCATTTTCCACATAAAAGAACACACCTGGAGCCACAAAACCTGGGTAGGCGTGGCTGGGGTGGTGGTCATGTGACTGGGTGGGAGTGAGTGAAGTTGAGTTAGCCACTCCCATCCAGGTTTTGTGACTCCCGGTGTTTTCTGCGGGAAATGGGTCCAAATGGCTCTTTGAGTGTTTAAGATTGCAGACTCAAAATACCTTAAGACCGCCTTTATTAGAGTCAGACCTCTTGGGAGAGAATTTTAGTTACAGATGAATTAACAGAACCACTTTGTTTCTGCACTCGTTAATGTTTTTATTCAAATCTTTTTTCCCCCATTGGAACCGACAAACATATTATTGGGTATCTTATTGTATCTGGCCATATGGCTTAATAAACAATTTGATTTGCTGCATAAATCAATTTATTAAGATGCTGATCAAAAGCTATGGTTGAACTGGCATTACATGTTTGCAATGGAAATATCAAGATATAAAGGCAAAAAAGTATGTTTCCCTCAAGTGAAGTTTCATTCCTACTGACTCCATGTATTTTTTTTGACCACCATAAAGAAGTTGTTTGTCATTGCCAAGTAGGTGGAAGTTTGATGATAGAAAATCCTCTATAATGACATATTGGGGGAATAAATATAAAATTCCAAAGGTCAGCACCTGATAATAGTATCGGAGAACCCAGCAAAGCCCTTCCACATAAGACTGTACAACTTTACGACGAAACTTCTTATCGTTGATATCAACATCAAATTTGTTCTTGTAATAGCGCTGTTTCCAGCCAGCTTCCCATAACCTTCATAAAAACAATAGTGAATCTACATAATGTGCAATTCAGTTTATCAAATGGTTTCAACAAAAAAAGGAGAACAGGCTTTACTAACAGTGTGTGGTTTAAATCATGCTCCCATGTAATTGTAGCCCTTGATGACTGTAGCCCTTGAATTATGACAGCAGTTGGGACCAGAATTTCTGTTGTCAAGAGATGCAGTAGTAAAGTGAGATATCATGCAACTATATCACTTAGGGTCATTAAGCAGGAAGAGATGGGAGTCCCAAACAAGAAGTGGGGAGGGGATTGAGGGGGACTGCAGGCAGGTGCTAGGGAAGTGCAGAAATGGAGAGACCACACAGGGGGTGGGGTATTGTGGCTATATGCACACTACAGAGTATAAGGGGTGTGGGGTAGCTATTGAGTATGAAATCTTTCATACTTTGTAGTGGGGCTTTACAGGAGAAAAAGTGGTGGGAGAAAGTGATGGGAGCTACCTGCAACCTTCCCTGTTGACTTTCCCATTGACTTTGTGGGAAGCTGGCAGAGAAGGTTGCAAATAATAATTGGGTGACTGCAGGATGCTGTAGCCTTACCAAACACCCAAATCATGATCATGTGACCAAAGGGATGGTGCGATGGCTGGAACGTCAAGGATTGGTTGTAAATACTACTTGTTCATCACCATGGTAACTTTGAACAGGTGCTGAACTAGTGGTCATAATTCAAGGACTACATGTAAATTACTACTTAAATATACTCTTTTACCAGTTTTCTCTAAACTATGACTCAAACTCATTCATCTATGATATTAAGATTGGTGTATCAATCTCTATACTGCAGCAGCTCATACCCCATAAAAGACACCCTGAGAGATAGACCAGATAAAGAAATAGACTCCACAGAAGTCTAAAAACTATTTTTATTTAGATTGGCCATAGTAAACATAATATTACAAGACTGATTTACTTCCCCTCCTCCCTCTTATATTCATGTGATTTAGGGGGTATCTATCTGTGACATGTATGTAATCCTACCATACTTTGGACTTAAGCAACGTTTCCCTTTTTGTTGTCTAGAAATGGATCTATCCTCTATCCATCAACATCATCCTCTTTACTCTCCACAAACATAGACTGCTTTTTAGTTTGGTTTCATTTTAATACACTTGGCATGTAGGAAAGAACAGGCGAAGTTAAAGTTATGGAGTTTTCTTAATAAGAACCAGTCTTTTAGTCCTAACTGGTAGTCACTTTCCCAGATCTTAGGTTTAGTATCTTGAAAAATTGATCCTGAGAACCTTTTAAATGGAAGTACTGAGAACTTCTTTCTAAATGTAAGAAGCCTGGAGTGTACATAATATATTCTTCACTAACAGACAATAACCCATCACTAAACTAAATCATCTGATTATAGAACTTTAAGAGTTAAACCATTCCATTTTTGCTAGTAGAATGAGATTCTGTTCACAGAGACTGAGCTGAATATTGAACCTCTAGCCAATCTGGTATTTAGTCTCAAAGGGAGTAGCAGCTTTTAGGAAGAAAACCAGCATGCATACTAATGGAAACACTTAAATTTAACAGCCACAGCCTACACATCTCACTGGAATTTACCGTGTATCCCAACTCTCCACATTAATTATTGGTGGATAAAAAGATCATGGAAAAGCATTAGAAGGTGTGGCAGATGCAAGGTAAATAGTATTAATGAGACATTCTCCCTTTTGACAATGCACTAACAAAGTATGAAATGTGGCACCTGACATTATCTTCAGGCTCTGGTTCACTGTCACTGTCCTCTATTTTTCGCTTAATTCCTCCTGCTGGGGATGGCGTACCATCAGATGTGAAGCTCAAATTAGGAGAAACTGAAGGAGTCTGGGGATATAGTTAGCGTGCAGAGAATTAGTGGAAAGGTCTCATTACATTTACAAAAAATAAAATTAATGACTTTGCAAAAAAAAATATATATATATGCATCTACTTTACTTAACTATAGATATAGGAATTCAAAAGAACAATATAGAAACTAGTTCTATGCTACCAAGGGGATCTGAAATATACTCAGACAGCAACATTTCATGACAAGTAATAAACCATTTTTAAATTGACAAACTTTCAAAAGAGGATTCTGATATAACAATAGCTCCTGATACTACTCAAAAGAAAAGGAAAACCATCCTATTAATTATTCTATTCTCCCCACACACCCATCTTTTTTTAGTAGTCATATCGATGTATTTTCTTTGTTCTTTTTCCTTGTTTATTTTATTGTACTATTATTTTACTTTTACTTTGTTTAAACTTTTCATTTTTTCGTTTTTATAACTGTCAGCTGCCTAGAGTAGCCCCATGGCAAGATAGGCAACAAATAAATTTAATAATGAACTCATTATTGTTTTAGTACATATTAAAAGTATATATTTAAATTAAAACCATAATGAGTGTATATACCATTCTACTTCATGTTCACAGGGAAATATATGCTAGGATCTAAGATAAATCAAGGCGTGTGTGTGTGTACGTACATCAAATAGAACAAAAGTTTCTAAAGTGCATTCAATTAAAATCTTAACTCTGCTTAATGAAGATAACTGGATACAACCCAATTTAAGAATTCAGAGTTCACATATTTAACAGACAATATATTATCCATAAAATCCTTCCCTCTGCACCAATTCATTTTGTACAAGTAGTTGTTAAATGGACTGCATCATAGTTTTACTCATTATTTTGAGCTGCGAACATTAGAGGCAAAGTCAGGAAATGGGATTAAATTTATTTTCTTTCAAGGCTTTTTCATTATCTGGAAAGATTAACTGCTAACATTAAAGTGTTTAGGCAAAAAGTGGAGTTTTTTGTAATCAATTATTAACTTTTCTCAGACTGAAGGGATCCAGAGAGAGTATATGACTTCTAATCTCGCTAGTCTGACTCTGGATTGAACCCATGGTTGCAACAAAGTGAGGATATGATGGAGTCAAAGTAGTAAAGGAAAGGTGAATGTATATAAGTTTGGGCTTTGTAGAAACTGAGCCATCGTTAAATTTTCCATTTGTTACCTTATCTATATTTATTTTAAAAATAATCACTTACAGTGTTTTGTCTGTCCTGCATTCTCATTTCATAGGCTGTGTGTCTTGGATTACTAATTGGTTGATGGCTTGACCTGTTTCCTCTTCCTAAAGGTTGTGGGGTGTATTGTCCACCAAGCATAGTATGTTGTTCCCTCTGAAATGAGCAGAATATAAATATAAACATTGAGCATCAGCTGTGAGAGCAAACACTACATACAGGTATGAATAGCTGTGTTTATATTACACAGGATATTAATTTACAAATGAATATGCAATACTTAAACATCCATACTGGCATATTCTATTTGGCTCATTAATAGAGTATGGCACTGACTGAGATAGAAGTGCCCCTCCGCCAGTAGAGAGTGTTTGGCTAGAGTTCAGAAAAATATGTTCATGAAATAATTTATCTTAACTGATTATAAAATTACAACTTAAAATCTATTAAGGAAAACTGAGCGGCATTACTTCAGTTTAAAACTATGGTCAAAATATAATGATGTCTTATTTTTATTTGGGATCTTTATAGAACACATGTCAATTAATATGCTCAAATTGTTAATATATAGCAGTAAAATAAAAAAATAATTAGTATGATCATTATTAGGAACACTAGAATAATATACTGGTGATTCTTGAACAGAAAACTTCAGACAGTTATCAGAACAACAGTAAAATTATGTTATATTACAATTAGCTTGGCAGTTCCAAATTTATTTAAGAAATACAAATAAAATTTTATGTATTTAATTAATTAACAGCATCAGTCAAAGCATATTTTGAATACATGTATGCTTAACCTTGCAGAACTATTAGTGCCAATGATGACTATGGTGGCTGGAATAGATAAAAGGGCACCAATTGTAAACGAATGATTCAATAATTATGAGACATTTTGCATCAATCATAAAAGCTATCTCCTGAATTAAGCTGTCCTTTACTGAATGGTATACAGTACATGAAAAAGTGGTAGGACTGAAATAGAAGTGTCAAGGTAATGGAGAGATAACAGGAATTCTCAATTATTTTCAAGCAGTAAGCAATTTAAAATTATTATCAAAGGGTAGCAAACATTGGGAAAAAGATGCAGATTTGCAGAAAAGGAATATTGTGAATTCTATCAAATCAATTTGATTGCAAGTTTATCCATAATTAGTCCAATGGAAATTCTGAGAAAATATACAGAGCATTGTGTTTTTGTGCCTGATTTAATTTAGGATCTAAGGACCACATACTGAATATGTTTGTGCATCCAAATAATATTTACATACAACGAATGTTGTATGCCTTAGAAAATACCTAGTAGTTTGCAGTCCAGATTTGAGAATTAGGATTCAATAAAAAGGGGTAAAAATCTTGTGAAATGAATATAAGCACTTGGGTATTTGCAGCAGCTCTTTGCATTTCAGCCTTGAAAAACTGCTACAACATTCTATTTGTATTTCTAATATAACTTTAAGACATTTCCTTTCTCTATTCCAAGGTAGCTGCTACTAAATTGTTCCATTGTTTTAAATAAAAACATTATAAATAAATAGGAATAGATTTATATTCACCTTCATTCTTTTTCTTTTTTCTTTTTGCCTTCTTTTGAAATTTTCCTGTGTGCCCCATAAAATATGGAAAGTGTACATTAACATTTATTAGGAAACTAAAACAATTAAATATATATAGTTCATTTTTGCTAAAAAATCATTTTGCAGATTCCTTTTCCTGCTTCAAGGTAAATTTATCTTCTAAACTAATCTGGAATCCTATTAAACTATGGAATCCTATTAAAGTACATATACATAAAATGTCAATTACCTAATTCACAGATTTTACAAAGTGGGTCATATTCAGATCTAACTTTTCTGGGTGTAGTAAACAAACTACGCATATATGTTTGGTATATTATATCAGCCAGAGGTTTTAGAAATGAGCAAAAATGTCCACCAATTGCAGTCATGTGCCCACGAGACATTGCAATTGGTTGTACATATGAGCTGGTTGACATGAACCCAAATTGCAAACACATGATCAAATATAGATGTAAGCCATGTTTTCCTAAGCTGTTGTAACTTTGAAGCACTGTTAAATGAACAGTCATAAGTCAAGAATTATTTGTAATGTAGAATGGAAAAACCATATGTATTCATTTTTTTAAAATGTTAAAGAAAAACACACCAAAATAAGAGTTTCATAATAGCCCTTTCACCTCATCATCTTTCCGCTTCTTAAAAATGCTATCTTCAACTTCTCCAACAGCCAACATTATCATCTGTACTCTCTCCAAGTTGACATAACCATTTTCGGTAAGATAACCCTGTAAATTGTAGAATACAATTGTAAGTAACCTTTCTCCTTCTTATGTTACTACATGAAGTGTTTGGAGGAATCACTTACTCCAGTTTTGTGCACAACATTTTTATATATGTTCACCAGGCGATCGATTGCTCCTTCCCTGCAATACAAGAATAAAACCATTTCACCCATTTCTTGGATGGTCTCACTATAAGGATTATATTCAAATTGTTATCCTAGTGACGGTATGACATCTACTGGCAGAACGAATTCTTCCTCCCTCCTCCATGCCACAATCTCTAAATCTACTCTGTAGGGTTGGGAGATTTTGGAAACAGATTTGGGGCACATAGAGTGAGGAAAGCAAAGAAAAATTCTACTGCATATGAAGATATATGCTTGTATAACACTAAATTTAGCAGAGTTTAAACCAGTATTTAACTATTAATATGTGAAGTTACTATTGACTGCCATTCCCTACTTCTATAATATTTACTGAATCTAGAAAAGATAGGAACATGGAAAATATTTAATTTATGCATGAGGCTCTTTAAATTTCCTATGTACAAGATAAAAGCCAACATGCCTATACAAATGATTAAAGAGCATGCTGCTAATTTAAGGAAATGAACCAAGGTTCATGAGAAATAGTGAGCACAGTCTCAAAAAAGCTATATATATCATGCACCATAATTAAGCAAAGCAAAATAGCAAGATATTTGAAACTCATGCTTTTCAAAGCCTTATAAAGATCACTGGATTTGGAGCAGCAATTCTATTATCAGCTAGATCCAAATGAGTGAACTGAAACCCAAGGGAGCTTTGGACTTGTGTTTCTCAAACTGCACTCTCCATTACACAAGAACTTGCAAATCTAATAAGCAAGAATAATTAATAATGCCCTTTGTTTAAGTGCAATAATCAATACCTAACAACATTTAAGTGTTTCTAGATATAAAGTTGTTTCTCTTACCTGATCTCTAATGAGGGTAAATGAGGGAGAAAATCATTTCCCACAAAGAAACACATGAAAACCCAGTCATCGATGCTTCTTTCAACATCAAAAGTGAAAGGCAAGCTGGCCATTGTTAGCTCTCTTTCCAAATACTAGAATTTTTTTAAAGAGAGTGAGTGAGAGACACACAAAAATGAAGCATTTTCTCAAGCATTAACAGAAATCAAATGTCAGATGTCTAAGTGGGGATATTGTGAATGTGCGTCTGAGAACATAGGAAATGTCTTTTCCTTTCCACCAAGCAAGCGCAGTCCATCTCTTAATCAGAAGACTAGAAGCACAAACAATCATGTTTCCCATCAACCTGAATCTCTATAGGTCTCCTTCACTGGCAAATATTTACTACAAATCTATTTCTGATGTTCTGAATTCCTCTCCAATAACCTCACATATTTAGTATGTCTCCATTTCCCAACTCTTTCTTTTAGTAGCATAGAGGTTTATTTATTTTTGCATCCATCCTTTCAGGCTTCATTTGCACTAAAACACTGACCAGCCAGCATTTGTTTTCAACATGTGACTTAAAAAAGGCTACGAAAAGAATCCTAAGCAGCATTTCCATCCTACAAAAATGTCCATTCTAGACATTTTTTTTCACTATGGTATGCAACTTTACAGACAAGACAAGACTTGGGAGAGAACATGTTTATCTTTAAAGGTTCAGGTAGTTCACAACTTACGACCATTAATTCAGTGAACATTTGAAGTTGTGGTGATACTGAACAAAGGGATGTATGACTGTTCCCAAATTTATTGCTGATGCGGTGCCTCCCTACTCTGGGGTCACCTGGTCAAAACTCTGGTGCTTGGCCAGCCATCCACTCTTACAAATGCAGCAATGCTTCCACTCCCCATCTCTCCTTCATTTCTGCTTTCTCTCCCCATTTCTCCTTCATCTCTGCTTTCTCCCCTCCTGCAGCTCCCATCAACCTAGCTGATCTTCACCATCTCTTTGTTTTCTTCCCAAGGTCATGCACAACAATTTCCTCAGGACACCTGGGAAAGAAGGCCTCATGTGGGAAGGAGCCACCTCTCAAAGGGCCATGGTGGGCAGGTCAGCAGTGGAAGAAGAAAGGCAAAGGCCAGCTGAGGCAATGAAGCACAAGGCTACAAGAGCCTTGGAAGTGTAGGGTGGCAAAGGCAATTGGAGCTAGTTCTGGGGTTGGGTGGCTAGGGCTTCCTGGGGTGCTGTGGCTTCTGGCCACTTTTGGGGCTTCCCAGATGCTACAATTTTGCATTGTCCTGTTGGGCCAGGATTCTGTGGCTGAGGCTTTAAGGGACAACTGTGGCTTTGTGCTGTGGTTCTGGGGCTTTTTGTGACCACAGAGCCACGGCACTCCAAGAAGTCCCTGAGCTACAATGTGGAAAACAACCAGAGCTGTGCAGTTCTGGGACACCTGGCTACCCCACAAGACAGGGTGCAGGGTGATCAAAAGAGATGGTGGGGAGATAGGCAAGCATGGGCAGTGGAAGGTATTCCCTTACTTTCCTGAGGCTTGGGGCTGAGACAGACCAAGCCCAAAATGGATTGGATTGGGATAGTTCTTCAGCTGGTGTCCAGTGGCATTTGCTTAACGATGGCAATGGAGAGTGCCAGTGCTAAGCAATGTGATTACATGACATTGCACTTTACAACTGCATCATTTAGCAACAAAAATTCTGGTCCAAATTGGTGTTGTAAGTTGAGGACAACCTGTAAAGAATCAGAATGAGGAAGATGCAGGAGCTAGCAAATGGAAGACTTAAGGGAGCCAAAGCTAATGCACAGGCAGCAGCAGGCCTGATCTAAGAGATATAAAAGGGCTACTGTGAAAGAGGATTAAAGGTAAATCAACTGTGGCAGAACTGGATTTATTGGCTGAAAGGTTGCATGATTTTTTCCTTCCTTTATTCTAGGTATAAAATAAGTATAATTGAAAATTTTACTGTCACAACTCTAACATTATACGCTTAAGCAGTTTATACATTAGTGATGGTAATATCTCTCTCTTTATCTTTCTCTGTCTCTCTCTCTCTCTCACACACACAAGCTTTTTACCCTGCTGGCACAATATCTTAAACAGAACTAGTTTGCCGTAGTGTTTCAGATATCAGGCTAGAAACTGTAAGACTATGAGTTCTAGTCCTGCCTTAAACACAAAGCCATCTGGATAACCTTGAGCATCTCTCGCAGGCTTGGAAGGAGGCAATAGCAAACCACTTCCAAAATCTTTCCAAGAAAATTGCAGGGATTTGTTCAGGCAGTCACTAGAAGTTAAAAACTGACTCAAAGGTGCACACACATACACACATGGTATCTCAAGTGTGGAGGGTTATTATACTGTCTCTTGTTCACTCAGGGGACCATGCATTTATTTAACATGTACATTGTATGAACAAATAATATAACACTTGCTTCTGTTTTTTCCTTTTCTGTCCCTTACTCTGGTCAGCTGTCAAATGCTTTCCTTCTCATACCTCTCTCAAGTTCTCTCAGCTTCCCACCAACTGTCCTTACAAAGAAGTGTTCAGTTAACCTTTCCCTTTAGTAGAATTCAAGTAATTGGTCATTTCCTCGTGACAGAGGAGCATCTTGCCTTATAGGCACCTTTAGCTGCTTAGTGGGGAAAATGTTGACAATGAACAAAAACAAGAAGGCCAAGACATCTGGCTTCTCTTAGCTGACTGTCAGAATTAAATTCTTGGCTACCATGGCAACCCTGTTTGCTGACTGCTGCATAACATCTCTGTGCATGTTTACTTAGAAGTATCTCAGTGTGTGCGATGGATCTCGAGACCCATTGTACAGCCTAGCTGTCTTTGTTCAAAATATATCCTAATATTACTTACTTCTCTCAAAACACATAAGCGAATAAATATAAATTCTTGTTCCATACCAGGAGGACAATCTGCAAACTGATCGTGCTGCAAAGATGAAAAATGACATACCATTTACACTAAGATTCATTTTAAAATTGTTTGTATTGACAGTATTGCCCTAAAGTAAACCTAATAAAAATTCCTTTAAATTAACTAGCATTTAGGAAGTGAGTTTTGGACTGTGGTTTCCATTATAAATTTAAGTGAAATCTTTTTTAATAGTACAAAGTTTATTTTAAAAAATCCCTTCTCTGTTCAATAAAATTTATTCTTAAAGTAAATCTGTTTAGGAATACAGGTAGTCCTCAACTTAAAAGCACAATTGGGATTACAATTTCTGTTGCTAAGCAGGACGGTTAAGTGAGCCATGCCAGATTTTACCACCTTTTTTGCCATGGTTAATCACTGCAGCTGTTAAGTGAATTACATGGTTATTAAGTGAATGCAGCTCCCCCCATCTTAATTTACTTTGCTTGTCAGAAGCATGCTGGGAAGGTCGCAAATCACAATTACATGACCCTGGGACACAGCAACCATCGTAAATACATGCTGGTTGTCAAGTGCCCAAAGTTTGACTACGTGACTGAGGGGATGCTGCGATGTGGTTAAGTGTGAGGACCAATTATCAGTCCCTTTTGTTCAGTGCCACTATAACTTCGAACTCTGGCTAAAAGAATGGTTGTAAGTTGAGGACTACTGGTACACAGCTAGTCTTCTAACACTGATCCACCCTTTGTTTATTCTGGTCTCACCATATTTATGAAAGTTTTGCATTTATGCAAAGGTAGTTCTTCCTCATGATCTATCAATCCAAGATAAACTCTGTTTTTAGTAGGTTTACTTCAGAGTAATACTATATTCGAACAGAAAACAAATAATGGCTTAGCATTAATTATGGCTTGCTGATAGCAACAATTGCAGCCTGTTTTCCCTCACCTTTTCAGTTTATTCACAGGCATCATCCCAACTACCCAGTAGTACAAAAAAGCAGGATAACTTTATCATATCATCCAGTCTACCTATCTTGGTTGGCTTAAGAAACAGCATGGAAGTTTTTTGGAATGGTCCACATAGCCATACAGGTACACTTCCCTTGTTCCTTAAACATGTCTGATTAGGAGCTTCCTAATTATGTTGCTTTATTTTTGCCTGATATCAGAAAGAGCAATTGCAATTTATAAATTATTATATTTGTTATTGCTTCCCCACTTTGTAGTTACCTATTATATTAGAGACTGATTAAAAAACAAAATTCTTAATCCTAATTTTCTAGAGTACAGTATAAATTCCTTGAACACAGCTGATTTTCTATCACTGGAAACTGGCCTAATGATCAGGGGCTCTGGGAAGTTTTTAATTTAATAATTTCCACAGCCTGAAAAATTCTGAAAAGTTCTGCTCTAGTGACTAGATAAACAAACTGGGATGCCAAGATCAGTTATAATAGTTCCCTGGTGGCAGATGTCTGTTAGCTTAATAATAATAAGGAGCCTTGGTGGCGCATCAGACTAAAGCACTGTTAAGTAACACCAGCTGCCTGCAATTACTGCAAGTTCAAATCTCACCAGGCCCAAGGTTGACTCAACCTTCCATCCTTTCGAGGTAGGTAAAAATGAGGACCCAGTTTGTGGGGGCAATAAGCTTTGTATAAAAAAGAACACCGCTTTGGGGGGGGCGCGCGAAAGCCCTACTAAACAGGTATATACAAAAGTATGAAGGCTATTGTTTAACGCATTGTAAGCTGCCCTAAGTCTCCGGAAAAGGGTGGCATATAAACCGAACCAATAAATAAATACAATAAATAAATTTTAATATGTGCTAAGCCAGGGGTGTCAAACTCGATTTCATTGAGGCCCACATCAGGGTTGTGTTTGACCTCAAAGGGTCGGGATGCATGTGTGTGTGGCCAGGGATGGGCGTGGCCGGGGTGGTATGGCCATGGTGGACGTTTGACATATTTGCGTTTGATTGATGACTCTTTTTTTTATCTGGACTATTGTTTCTGTGCTAGTTGTTTTTCTGTTTTTCTGTTTTCTTTTAAATATTGGTATCTGCCTAGAGTTGGGTAGTCATTTACATTGAAATAAATAGTAACAAAATACAGGAGAGAGAACAGATTACAAAATTCTAATACATTTGATGTGATCCAACATTATTATTGTCTCATACTTGCTAATATATAAGTTAAAGTTAAATAAAATCAGGATGCTATTTCTTCTTGAATGCATTTGAGATTTAGCTGTTGAGCTTAGACTCTTGAACGAATTTAGCTTTTTAGTCCTCCATCTATCCATGTTCCTGAATTAGTTTGAATGCATTTTCCTATATGTGCTTCTGTCTGAATGTTCTATAATAGGGGTGTTAAACTCAATTTCATTGAGGGCCACATCAGGGTAGTTTTTGACCTCAGAGGGGTCGGGTGGTGGTGATTGTGATGGTATATGGCTGGGGGTGGGCGTGGTCATGGTGGGGGTGGCCATGGTGGCCATTTGAAATAGGCTCAAGATGCATTTTTCCCCTTCTTTCTTTACACAGTTCTTTACTATAACCATTTATAGTATGGCCCGTTTTTAACCTCCCCAGTCTCCTGCAGCAGTCTGACGGCTGAAAACTGGCCACACTGAGGTCCTGCGCAGCCTGTTTTCAGCCGGCAGAGTGCTGCAGGAGGTCGTAGAGGCCGAAAATGGGCCACAGGGCCCTGCCCTCAGCCCCTCTGCGGCCCTTTTTGGCTGGCAGAGGTAAATATTTGATATTTCCAGGCCAGCCCGCAGGCCAGATTTAAGCATTTAACACCCCTGTGCTAAGCTGATACTAGCTAATAGCCTTGAGATTTATTTAACAACAGAGGGAAAGTGGTGAAAAAAGCAGGACCAAAATCAGTCTTTCCTATTCCCTTTGATAGTTTCTAATTTTTCATTATGTGGACATAAAAATCAATATACTTGTCAGACTGAAACAGGGTGTGACAGTAGATGAATTCAGAAAAAAAGTCCCTCTTCCCTAGCAAGGCTTTTATTTCTCTATTCACCTGATATTTTTTTTTTAAAGGGGGGAAGGATTATGAAATATATCCCAATACTTACCTAATTCAATACTTGAATTAGGAACAGTTAATAATGATAGAACTTCAGGTTAAGAAAATGTGATTGAATGTAATTTAATGTAGTAAATGACATGCTCTGAACCTTGGTTGTTCTTTTCTCTCCAAGATGACATCCACAGTACATATATTTTTGTTTCATCATTTCCACTGTAAATATCTTATGCTGCATATTGATTTTATTACTTTTGCATAAATTTAATTATTGCTTTATTTTATTGTTCATTTTTATGGTAGCTAAACTGTGCACTGGTGGAGAATACATTATAAAGAAATAAAATGGTTTGTTATCTAATACTAGGATAATATTTTACTCTACTCTTCATTAAAAATGAAGAGATGCCATATTTCTGGAGATCAGCAACTTTTAGTAAAAATTAAAAATATTTAAAATACATTCAATAGATGCATAATAACGATCTGAATGAACTGTACTTTCACACCAACACTTACAAAGGATATTAAAGTTATTTCATTTATTTCCAATGTTCCCTCTAATTTCCAGTTTTGCAAAATGAAAAAAAAAGTGAAAATATGTCTTTCCATTGCTTCAGATATTCTGAAATTTCTATACCTCTAGATCAAAGTTATATTATTTACTTGTAATCCTTGAGATATTATGAAAATATAACTAGGTCCCTTTCCTAACAAAACAGTGGCAATAGTCCTAAGTAGTTTGGGCAAAACAAAAAGAGGATGGAATGGAAGAGTGAACGATGAAGTCAAACCACGTGCAAGCAAAGGGATTACCTGTTGTCTATGAGACTTTGCTGGGGCACAGGAACAAACTAAAAATTAGTCACCAATGCTGGATTCAGACATAATTGGAAAAATAGTAACATATGAATCATTGTAACAAACTAGGACTTATACATTATCTTTAAACCTTGGTTTCAAATGGAACTTTGCTGCCAAAAAATGAATCAAATTTATTGCCTGGAGTAGATTTATTTATCTCATCTCTTTCAAAGAGGGGATTCAGATCTTCAAGCAAAGGATATTAAATTAAATGAATCCCATCATAACCCAAGGTAATAAATACTGCTATGTGTCTCTTTCCTTACAAATGCTGCCATCCCACGATATATGTAAGATAAAGTAACTATTTATCAAAGGTAAGCATCATGGTTAAGCAAGAAACTATATAAAGCAGTTCTCAACTTTTCATTTTGAATAGCACGCCAATGGTAATGAAAAGAAGTTAAGTAAATTCAACCTACCTCCCCTTGTTTTTCCCTTGGTAGGCCTTGACAGTCCTTAATTTCATGTCCAAATTGGTTACAAAGACCACATGGTTTAGGTTTATTAGGCTTAAATTCTTCTCTGATTATAGTAAAATTTGGTTCATGAGTAGCTAATCCAAGCATAATAAGGTCAGCTACAAAAGAAACAGAACAAACACCAACCATTAATAAGGCCTCAGTTCTGATAAGCCACCAAAGCTCTGGAGCGACTAAGAATAGGATACAGGCTTGGTACATTCCCAACTTTCATGCCCAATTTATCAGAATTAGCAAATTGTTAGAATTAAATGCACTCAGAAGAATGTGTAGTAAGTAGAAAATGGAGGGAAGCCATGTACTAGAAGTACAGGAAGAAAATGTTCATCTGAACTTACATAATATAAGTGGTAGTTTAATATTTAACTCAGCCAAATGAACTTTTATTTAAAATGATATCATGCACTGAACGGATTAAGAAACATTCTCCATATAGTTTTCTTTTATTACTAATACAGAAAAGCCAAGAGATAGACTTACCATCAGCACCACATAAACAGTGGTGAGTATTTGGATCATGGTTTGGCTGGGCTAAAACACAAGGACATTGTGTCATTATAGAATTCTGATATTTCCCAGACATGATACAACAAAAAATTGTTTAAAATATTTAAAAAGATACTGTAGTATTAATAAACACATCCCTGGACTCTGAAGAAATAAGAATGGCAACAAAGAAAATGCAATCTGGAAAAAACAGTAGACTAGAAAAGTTCATTAGAAAGTATTATAGAATAAATATACATAATTAGCTCCAATTACTGCCACAATGTTAATTACTATTTTGTCATTTAATCAAGTTTATCAGTTGATTATGTGTCAGCAAATTTGTATCAACTCACAGTTGCCACAGAATTTTTCTCCATCATGGTCTGTTCCCAAGTTGGTCCTTCAGGTCTTCTATCCATTTAAGTAAAATATAGGAAGGGTTTACCATTCCCTTGCCCTGCACAGTATTGAGGCCTTTGCTGTTGTCACTAAAATGATCGTTTCTCTCCAGCATCTTCCTATATCATTGCTGCCCAATATAGATGCATGCTCATTTTATCTAGGCAGCTAGGATGACCTTTGTGCCTTAGGTAACCTTGCTGAAAATAGAGTCATGTGAAAAGGAAAGATCTCTTTGAGATCTATGGTTTTATATACTACTTTTAAGAACTGCTAAGGACCATATGATTTTTACTATGTCTCGATACATAAAACCATAGAACTGAAAGATGGTGTACTTTCTTTTTAATATGACTATATACTCTTGGCATACAGTTCCAATGTTCTTCACTACAGGTAGTCCTAGACTTATGATCACAACTGAGCTCAAAATTTATGTTGTTAAGCAAAACAGTTAAATGAGTTTTGCCCCATTTTATGACCTTTTTGCCACAGATGTTAAGTGAATCACTGCAGTTATTAAGTGAATCATAGTCATTAAGCAAATCTGGCTTCTTCCATTGGCTTGTCGGAAGACAGCTGGAAAGATTACAAATGATGATCATATGACCCTGGGACAGTGCAACTGTCATAAATACATGCCAGTTGCCAAATATCCAAATTTTGATCATGTGACCATGAGGATGCTGCAACTGTTGCAAGTGTGAAAACTGGTCATAAGTCACATGCCGTTTTAATTTTGAATGATCACTAAACAAATGGCTGTAGTTCGAGGACTACCTGTAATCCCTCCCAGAAACAGTCTCCTGCCACAGCAGGCTGATGGAAGGAAATAACCAGGGGTTTAATTTCAATATGAGAGAAGAATCAACAGTCTTATAGATCCATTTCATTTTTCATCATATAGCACCATAAGAGCTATATCAATAATTTTTAAATAAAGTAATTTTTCCAAAATATTCTATATTCTATATTTATGTAATCAAATTGATTTTGTATAGCTCCCGCATATAATTCAATGAAAACACAGTATAATCAAATCCAATAAGATAAAATATATTGAAATACATTAAAAACAAATTAACAAAACCAATACTAGCAATATATGATATTATATATGATATATAAAAAATCGGACATATCAATTTAGTTCAAAGACATTGAGAAGAAACAAAGCATATATCAATGTATCCAGCTAGCTAATTCAGTCAGCATATATTGACATGGATTTTAAATTCTGCTGCATGGTTTCTCTTGCCCTGTTCTTTCTCTAGATGCAATAACTTCCCTTTAAATAAGGTAATGATTATTGTTGAACTAAGGTTTTAAGGCATTAAAAATAAACTGCTATATAACTCAACTTTTGGGTCTCTTCAATTTAGCCTACCTTAGTGCTTTAATCAGAAAGACAGTACTTATTCCTAAATTCAACAAGTTTTTTAACACATTAGAAAAGAGTTTTGTTTTTTATTGCAAACATTTTGAGAAGATATGACGAGATATTTCATAAATGAGAGAAATTCTCTACAACTCTTCACCAAAAGAACATATTTAAGGAATGAAGCTTCCAAAAAGCCACATTTTTTAACATTTACTATCTCACTTGACAGATGTAAGTTGGTTCATATGAAATATACATCTGTTACATAAAAGTGGTCCTCAACTGTTTGTTCAGTGACCATTCAAAATATGGCAACGCTGAATGGATTTATGATACCTGCACAAACGTACGAACAATAGTGTCCCCACCATCACATGAACAAAACTGTGTGCTTGACAATCCACCCTTACAACCAACCACTGTCTCCCCCGCTTATCTCATGACCTCCCCCCACCGAAGGCACCTCAAGTTCTGCTTAACAACTACAACGGGAAAAGCAGAGATTGTGGTAGTTAAGCGAGACAATTATGTGAGCACCTCACTTAAAGATTGCCATGATTTCTGACTATACTCAGAAGGCTTCATTATGGTGATAAGTCGAGGACTTCCTGTACTGTAAAATCTGGTACACAATTTAAGTTGCTATATAGACTAATATCAAGAACGCTAAGCTTATTTTTGTATTTTTAAATTTTTATTTTATATCTTTGTTTAAGCTATACATGCACTAAACTATTACTACAATCACATGAAACCTATTGCTCTGCACATGTTCAATGAGTATTTTGACAAATCCTGTTGTATAAAACAGTAATACATTAATTCAAACTCTTCAAAGTTATCCTACTAATTCTAGTAAACTGTATATTCTCCTGTAAAAAGCATAATATCCCTACCTCTTTGCCTTCGTATGTAATCCATTATTTTGTGTTCACCCTCACCTGGAGCACTTGCATCAGATAAAATAACCTATCAATAACAAAAAGAAGCAACATAAGATATAAACTGAAATACTCAATACAGAATATCAGCACGAAAATTACTACTAATGTATATCTGGCACGATATTTTCTAAACTTTTGATGCCTTGAGTAATTTTAAAAAATGAAAAAAGGAAGAACAGTGTTCTTAATATTCTCAGAAATACAAATCACCTCAGGTATACTCAGATCTAGGACTTCCAAGGGAGGAATGGAAAATTGGAGATATCTCAGTGAAAGCAGAGCTGATGCCCACAAGAAAGACTGAAGAACCAGTGACTCATTCTTGAGTTTAGTTTCAATTCTCAACAAAAAAATTAATTATAAATTTACAAATATAAAGAGTTTGAAATAAACAGCATTATAACATTATATATAAAGGAAATTATGTACATATTCCTAAAACTGATATCTATGCTTCCTAAACTGGATATTAATAAAAAAAATGTGACATTCTATTAGTGGATTGAAATGTCATTTGATCAATTCTTAATAAAATGTATTTTCCTCCCAAAATTATACATCCTACATAATATATGAGGGGAAAGGTCCTCAACAATAGTTTAAAAGTTATTCTACCTAAAATTCATTTACATTAGGAAATACTTTGGAGTTACAGTCAAGAGAGTGAAACTTGCCGTTAAGTTTTTCCATCCCGGATCATTATTTAAACGATCAGCAATATAATAACGAAGACATTTAGCAAGATTATCCATAAATTCTGTTCCCTATAACAAGAACATAAAATAATGTTTAGAGACAAGATTGGGCAATTTTTAAAATAAATAGAATAGAATTCTTTATGGGCCAAGAGTGATTGGACACACAAGGAATTTGTATTTGGTGCATATTTAAACATATTTAATAAACACAAATGTACACTAGCTTGAGTAGGTCAAAAAACCCGAAGCTTCTGAAGTTGTGAAATCATACTGTTAATCCCTGGGTCTCTTAAAGAAAAATGAATCTTGCTTTAACCTGCCAAAACCTGTAGTGAGCATTTTAGACATAAAGAAAAATTGATCTTAATTCTCACTCTAACTTAGAAGTATGGTGTTAATATACTCTATTTGAATTGGCAGGATTGTTTTAAAATAGTTTAACTAATTTACAGACACACAGACCATTTTTATGCATTTGAACATAGTAAGATTAGCTTAGTCACAAGGTGTTGGTTATCACCTTTAAAGCACTCCATGGCATAGGGCCTAGCTATCTTTGAGACCGCCTGCTGCTACCGATGACCTCCCATCGACCCGTGCGCTCCCACAGAGAGGGCCTCCTCAGGGTGCCATCAGCCAAACAATGTAGGCTGGTGACCCCCAGGGGGAGGGCCTTCTCTGTGGGGGCACCTATCCTCTGGAATCAGTTGCCCCCAGAGATAAGGAGAATCCAAGACCTCAGTGCCTTCCGCCGTGCCCTTAAAACCCACTTTTTCCAACAAGCCGGGCTGGCTTAAGAAGAAATTTTTAAATGTTTTAATTGGTTTGTGATTTTTAATTTTTGGGCCAAATTTATATATATTTTAGCTGTTTTTTTAATATTTGTATTTCATGTTCTTAATTCTGGCTGTACATCGCCCTGAGTCCTCAGGGAGAAGGGCGGTATATAAATTGGAAATAAAATAAAATAAAATAAATAAAATAAACATGCATGAACATATACAGTGGCTCTTCTCCCATCAGAAATATGATTGTAATCCTCTCCTTTTCAGAGCACACACAAGGCTTTTATTGAATGGAACAATGCAGAGAGAATAGCTGCAAGTACATTTAAAGTTAACTATAAAATTATATTAATCAAGCCAGAAGACCCCATAACACCAGTTTGGATAATGTGAGAAATCTAAGAATAAAACTATAATCAGTTTTTAAAATGATGGTTATTTTGGTCCACAAGAAAATTATAGAAAAAACATGATCCAACATAGATGGTAAAGCAATACTTTTACTAGGACTAATAAATGACACAAAAATATGTCTAAGTATTCAGTCACCAGAATTATTCCTTATGCAAGATGTTATAAAAAGCAACCAACACCTAGCTATCAAGGACAAAAAGGGATGATCTTCCAGGTTCTGAAAACACCAAGAATTCTAATATCCAATTTTGTCTTCTGCCACAGGCAAAGTTCATATGTTTCATATGGCAGAAAACAGCAAGAAAAACTCTGGATGGCAAGAAGCAAGAATCCAAAAATTAGGTTAGTTGTGAAATCTGTATTTTAAAAGCTGTATCAAAAAGATTTGAAATTATGTCAGCTGTGGTAACATGAAAAGTGAAAAAAGAAGCCACTGGCAAATTTATGATTAAGTCATAAACTAAAGTTACTGAATAATCACCTGAATTAAAAACATTATTAACTGTCACCTTTGCAGCTGTCTTCTTTAATAAAATATTCTCAAAGTGACCATTTTATTGCTATCCTGAAATGGGGAGACGTATATGTCTCCAGCATATCAGAGATTTTAAATAGAATTTATCTATCTGTACCCCATGACTATGTTTACATTGAGTGGGTGGGGGTCCTATAGACAGAAGAATTGTCTTCTCTCAATCCATTTCACGAATCTAACATTTTCTCTTCCATAAAAATGTCATTATGCAGCGAGGTGAGCTGGTCTAGAATACTCTTACCTTTTATACTCTTGGATCTCACAAAATCCTGTTTCCAGATTTATAAGATATGTCACTGCTATTAAGTTATGACATTATCCATCAGAACCATGTTTCTGGCATTATGCAAACTTAAGTTTTGAGAGTAAAAAATTAGGTTCTTATTTTAGCAACTGAATTATGGAAAAACTTTTTTTCATCCTCTCTCCTCATACAAAACCAGCCCAAAGTTAAACTTGGGAATACTTTTCTCAAAAGCATTATTTTCTTTTGGATGACTTTGCCTTTTCATGTTGTTCTTAGGAAACATATGGCAAGGGAAGGAGAGAAATGCACATACGAAGAATTTTAATTATATTAAAGGTAAAGTTAAAGGTTCCCCTTGCACATATGTGCTAGTCCTTCCCGATTCTAGGGAGCAGTGCTCATCTCCCTTTCAAAACCGAAGAGCCAATGCTGTCCGAAGACGTCTCCATGGTTATGTGGCCGGCATGACTAAATGCCAAAGGAGAGTGGAACACTGTTACCTTCCCACCAAAGGTGGTTCTTATTTTTCTATTTGCATTTTTTATGTGTTTTCGAACTGCTAGGTTGGAAGAAGCTGGATCAAGTAACGGGAGCTCACCCTGTTACGCAGCACTAGGGATTCAAACTGCTGAACTGCCGACCTTTCGACCGCATTCCTTTTTTAATTATATATATATTTATATATTTTTTATATATTTTAAAGTTATAATTGCACACTTAATTGAGAGATAGAGAAAAAACAGCGCATGCACTTAGAGATATATCTTTTGACATTTTACTCTTCCATTTATGTCTTGCTACAAGTTCCTACTTAGACTTGACACCGCTACTACTGCAATCAAAGTAGCATCCTGAACTCTTAAGGTTTTTCCTAATTAGTTCTGTAATGTAGCATTTTAGATGGCACCTTCACCTTCTGCAAATGCCAACAGTCTTCACAAAAATAATTGCTAGATCTTAACCTGTAATCAGAGTCTGAGATGACAGTTAGAAATCCAAAGCCAAGCAGTATTTAATCAACCAATAGACTGTGACCAAAGCTATGTCAAGTCTCAGTTTGGGAGATAATAGTAGTTCTACTTACTGGAGTTATGCAATTGCTGTCAAATCTTTCCTTAATTTCTTCTGGAGGTAGAAAGCCACCTTTAAAAAAACATGTAACAGATCTGAAGACTAGTCTAACAGACAAAATTATGAGATGGAAGAAGACAGACATATATTTCATATCATTAATTTTTAACCCATAGCATTTTACTTTACTGATAACTATATTCTGGAATTCACAAGCTCTGATGACCATCTACCATAATGGTTCTAATCCATAAAAAATTCTTTACTATTTGGTGGATTTTCTCTTAAGACAAGTTGTCAAAGGATTCCAGTCATGGCATTTTAAGTGTAAATTAGAATCTTGTGAATAAAGCTAAGACAGAAACTGTGCAAATCAATTAATCAATCATGCATTTGCATGATTATTTTTCTTTACTAGATACAAGAATAAGTAAGGACAATAAAAAGCAGGAAAGAAACCCTTCTTCAAATTACTTATTAACGAAAAATATTAGATTATCAATTTACCTTTCTCTATAATTTCTTGCCTAATTCTCTGTTTCTCTTCTGCACCCTCCATTCCTTCTTTTGATGCTCTGAATCTTCTAGATCTTTGTTGATTCATCTTTGCCCGGGGAGCCTAGAAGAATAATATTAGCATTAACAATTTAATTGACATTGTTCTTATTTTTTGTCTTCCTATTAAACTATGAAGTTTAGATTGCATCACTATATTTGAAAGTTTATATAGAAATTACACAGACACATACATTCACGCACAAGCAGCAATATTTCTAAACTGCTGCACTATGAATAATTCTGAAAAGTTGTAAAGTACTATTAAATATCAATATCAATATTTATCTGATTCAGTTAAGTGAGAAAAATGTATTTATTACTGACTTTCTCACATGCACAATCCCATAAATAAATGTGCAATAATTAAATAGGCTTTTACTGTAGTTCACTGTCCCTCAAAGTTTTACCATATATATCGAAGTACCGATATTGGCTAGTTAATATAAATGAAATAAACATTAAATTAATGTTAAAATACCATTTTTAAATGTCTACTTTGAAAAGAACTATTTCTGCTACGAAAGTCTCATACTATTTCTTTTTTTTAAAAAAACTGAATAAGTGAGCAATTTTTTTGATACTTACCACTCCATCTATTGCCATGTAGAGAAGTCGCCTTGGTCTCACAATGTTGAATAGCCTATCAATATACTCAAAAATTGCAACCATCATTTCATCTTCATTTTTGGGTGCTGGCCTGCAATGTAAGGTATCACATTAATATTTCAAATACCACAAATGCTGACTCTTTATTTAAGTAAAAATGTCACTCACTTGTCCTCAGGATGTGTACAAGGATGAATAATGCCATTCATATCCAAGTATAAATTATCAAATTCCACTTCATTGGGATTCGGTTTACTAGTGTCAACTGGAATTTTGATACCATTACATTCTTTAGCCTGCAAACAATAAATGATAGACAATTCTGAAATATTATAATCATATTTTGATCCAGAAGCAAATATTCAAGAAAACCAAGCTGTCAGACACATCAGAACCATATTCTAAGTTTCAGTTGAGATTTATTGCTCAAGACTATATTCAAAAATCTAGTCAACTAACTTTCAGTACTAAATTGGTGGTAGATAGGAGTTAACGGAATTCAAGAGGGTTGGATTTAGATTGTTTGTGGGAATATAATATGTCTGGGCTGATTACTTGCTTAACTCTACCTTAACTGTTCCTAGGCCAAGACTGAGGAAGATGTACAACCCGTAAGGCTGAGCAGGAAAATTTTATATAGTCTTCCTAGTGCAATGCAGATCCACTTTTTTCAGATCAGCTGTTTTTCATTTGATTGCAACAGGAATTGACTGATTGGTTTGCTGCCTGAACCTGATATTATGGGCTGAGGTCATGACTGGCCCAAAGTCACCGGCTTTCATGCCTAAGGCAAGACTAGAGCAGTCTTCTGGTTTGTAGCCTGGTGCCTTAACCACTAGATCAAACTGTTTCTCCTGCTAAATTATGATTTTACAACATAAAATTATTTTATACCCAGACTATGACCATTTTAAAGCAAAGCTTATATAACACAATTTTTTATATTGCATATATAATCTTTGTTCCAGAGAAGCACATTGGATGTGTACATAGAGACCCATATCCATACACTCCTAAATAGCCGCATAAACTTAGGGAGAAAAATCTGATTTAATTATTCAAATAAAAGTGCTTCATATGCACTCTTTACTTCCAGTGACATACTTCTAAAGAATTTGCATAGTATCAATAAATGGAACAGCAACACTCAGATTAGCATGTTTCTTAAATCTAAGGACAAAATTTTATGCTACTAATTCATAAATAATTCAAACTGGAACATTGTCTCCTTATTCCTCACTGAAGACATTTCTATGTGCAATCTCACGTATTTCTGTACATTAACCTAAATTATTAAATTAGTCTTTCATGGAATTGTCTGAGTTTAATAAAGAACTTTGTAGCCAAGAAAGCTGAGTATGAAACTCAACTTCAAATTACTATTGTTTTTTTGTCTATAAGCATGAATAGAAAGAAGCTCATGTTTCATCTTCCACTTCTGAGCTCCCTGCAGAGACAGGGAAGGCCGCAAAATTTAATTAGTTTAATGTGTATTAGTTTACTATTTTGCTGTAACTTTGGTTCAGCAACTAACTGGTTATTGAAGTTATTATATGTTCTCCTGTTCTAGGGTTTACATTTGAATGACAGTTATGAGTATCTGTATCCTGCAATGTGTACAAGGGCAATACTAGGAATTTTACTAATATGAACTCAGATGTTCATTCCTATTTCAGCTGAGTGGATAGTCATCAATTTGATGTTGAGGACTTTCAGAATAATCAAATACAGTCTCAACACACCATTGGCTTAATAAAAAGACCTGCTTGATTTTGATTTTATCAGCCAGGCGGTAGAAAGTGGTTTCTAAACCAGTTTTTATGTCAGCTTCATTTTCATGATTATGAAGCTGGATTTCAGCTTTCTCATTCAAATTCTGTCAATACAGGAAATCTACTATTACAATGTTCCCAGATAAAGCCTAGGTGATAATCTATTTTAAAGTCTAATAAAAGGAATTTCACTACTTTATACAGAAGTCCGTTCAACTATAAAACATTTCAGTTCATCAGAATGGGTTTGATAAGGTTAAGCAGAGTATGTATCTTGTAATCTGATTTCATTTATTTAAATCCTAACATATAATTCAACCTTTGCTCATATCCTAACTTCTAAAGCAACAAATTTTTCAATGTTAACTCCAGGGGTGAGAGATCTATTTTTAATTCTCGAAAAATAATTGATTGCCCATTATGCTGAATATTGACATTTCGCAAGCAGCTGATGGTATTATAACCAATACATTTATACTGAAGTTCCTTGAGTTAACCTTGCTATTAGGGCAATGAAAAAAATTAAAAGACAAAATTTATATGGGACAAAGACTTATGATGAAATTAACCAAACACAAGAGTTCTTTACTGAGTCTATGTTATAGTGGTGAAGATGATTTTTTTCTCCATATGTATTGTGTGCTTTCAGTGTTATTCAACAAACCTTTTCAAATGTTCTGAAGCCTTCCAAATAATCATAAAATACATATACTTGGAACCCTTAGTAGCATGATATGTTTGCTGATTGCCTAGATGTTTCATCTTTGCTTGTTTGGGCAAATTTCTTTAACAAAAAGATAATGAGTAGTGGGTATAGGATATAGTATATATTGTTTATAAAAGGATTGAATGTGAGTTTATTTAAAAGAAGGCAGCAATTAAATTGTTATTGACCCAGAGGATAGCTATAGATTAATAGCTAATATATCCTTCCTTGGAAAATACTCAAGCAGTTGGTAAATGACAAGCTTCAGCATAAATAGACACTTTTATCTACATTCATTTCAATTGACACAGAACTCTAAGATGATTCTGGGGAAGGTTATCATGTTAACGTAATATGTTAATATTCTCAGAACTATCAACATCTTCAAAGAAATAAAATTCACAAGGAAAGAAAACAACACACTACCCTTCCTGAATATCCCTATTAGCAGAGGCAACAATGGTAAATTAGAAATACAAGTGTATTGTAAAACTACCCATACCATCCAAATGCTCCACTACAAAGATAATAACCTAACCTTCTATAAGAGAAGCTGTGTAAGAACACTATTTAGATGCTGCATACTGCAACAACCCTGAACACCAGGAAAAGAAAAGGAAAGAAAAAGATAATCTATACATCTTCCAACAAAATGAATACCCATACAATTTTATCAAAAAATGCCTGACCACTCAACTAATTACAGCACAATCAACATAAGCTGTGAAAAGGATAATACTGCCAAAATGAAGTATAATAAAGAATGGTTGCAGGAATTGGGTAGGTCTAGTCTAGTGGAAAGGAGGACAAGAAGAAACATGATACCACAAGGTGAGAGGCTGCCACAAAGATGAGGGAACCTATTTTTCAAAGCACCAGAAAGCAACACAAGAAACAACAGATGGAAATTAATCAAGGAGACAAGCAACCTAGAACTAATGAGAACTTTCCTAATGGTGAGAACAATCAACCAGTGGAATAGCTTGCCTTCAGAGTTGTGTGCCCTATCGCTGGAGGCTTTTAAGTAGAGACTGGACAGCCATTTATCTGCTATAGGGTCTCCTGTTCCAGTAGGGGTTGGACTAGAAGACTTCCAAGGTCCCTTCCAACTCTCTTATTCTATTTCATGTTCTAGATTGTGATACATCAAAAATACCTCAAAAATCACCAGACTACTACTACATGACATCACCACAGCACACAAACCAACTTTTTTGCCCGAGGGAGGCCACTGTTCCTCAGATAGCCGGATGTGAGTCCCTCCTTGTGAAGTGGGGTTGGGGGATACAGATGGGCCTACTGATTACGTACGTACCTGGCTCCCTGCCAAGGTCCTGCCTGAGCTGCTTGACATTATAGCCGGGGTGGTGGTGGAAACCACTTATTGTTATGGGGGATTTTAACCTGCCATCTGCTGGTGAGATGTCGGAGGCAGCTCGGGAGTTCATGGCTTCCATGACGGCCATGGACCTGACCCAGGTAGTTCAAGGCCTCACCCACTTGGAGAATCACACTCTGGACTTGATTTTTGTCTCAGATCAGTGGCTGAATGATCCAAGAATAGGGCATCTAGACATCAAGCCCTTGTCATGGTCTGATCATTCTCTCCTTCACATGGACTTTCAGATCACTTCCACTCACCGCAGGGAGACGGAACCAACCAAGTGGTCCCAGGCGCCTGATGGACCCCGAGAGGTTCCTGACGGAGCTTGGGCCATTTCCTGAGACTCTGGCTCACGACTCGACTGAGGACCTGGTGGTGGCCTGGGACAGGGCAGCTACTGGGGCCTTGGACCGCGTCGTGCCTTTGCGGCCTCTGACCCGATGCCGATCTCGACTAGCTCCTTGGTTTTCCGAGGAGCTGAGAGAGATGAAGCGTCAGAAAAGACACCTGGAGAGCGATTGGAGGACAAGCCGATCTGAATCTGACCGAACACAGGTGAGATCTTATACTAAGACCTACCTAGTGGCGATAAAAGCGGCGAAGTCTAGCTACTTCTCCGCTCTTATTGCATTTGCAGAGAACCACCCAGCCGCACTGTTTAGGGTGACCCGCTCCCTACTTCAGGTGGGGGTGCAAGAAGATCCCTTACAGGGTCGAGCTGAGGATTTTGTGCAATTCCTGCATGATAAAGTCGCTCAGATTCGGGAAGGCCTGGACTCCGATTGGGTAGATCCAGGGGAGGAGACGGGGGTAGGTCCTGAGAGTGTTATCTGGGAAGAGTTTGACTCTGTGGCTCCTGAGGATGTGGACAGGATTCTGGGCAAGCTTAGCGCTGCCACATGTTTATTGGACCTGTGTCCCTCCTGGTTGGTACAGGCCTCCCGGGAGGTTACACGAGGCTGGCTCCAAGGAATTATAAATGCTTCTCTGAGTGAGGGTGTCTTTCTCACTGCCTTGAAAAACACGGTTGTGAAGCCCCTCCTCAAGAAGCCTTCCCTGGACCCGGCTGTATTAGCGAATTATCGTCCAGTCTCCAATCTTCGCTTCGTTGTAAAGGTTGTTGAGTGTGTGGTGGCACGACAACTACCCCGATACCTGGATGAAGTTGTCTATCTGGATCCATACCAGTCGGGCTTCAGGCCACTATACAGCACGGAAACGGCATTGGTCGCATTGGTTGATGATCTCTGGAGGGCTCGGGACAGAGGTTGTTCCTCTGTCCTAGTCCTATTAGATCTCTCAGCGGCTTTTGATACCATCGACCATGGTATCTTACTGCACCGGCTGGAGGGGTTAGGAATAGGGGGCACTGTGCTTCGGTGGTTCTCCTCCTTCCTCTCTGACTGTTCGCAGTTTGTGTTGGCAGGGGGTCAGAGGTCGACCTCAAGGCACCTTATTTGTGGGGTGCCGCAAGGGTCAGTCCTCTCACCCCTTCTGTTCAACATTTATGTAAAACCGCTAGGCGAGATCATCCGTGGTTTCGGGGTGAGTGTTCATCAGTATGCTGATGACACACAGCTATACATCTCCACCCCGGACCACCCCAATGGTGCCCTTACGGTGATGTCCCATTGCCTGGAGGCCGTGCGGATCTGGATGGGGAGAAACAAGCTCAGACTCAACCCCTCCAAGACCGAGTGGCTGTGGCTTCCGGCGTCCCGGTATAGTCAGCTGGTACCATCACTGACAATTGGGGATGAGACCTTACTCCCCACAGAGAGGGCTCGCAACTTGGGTGTCCTCCTGGATTCACGGCTATCTTTAGAAGAGCACATGACGGCTGTGGCCAGGGGGGCCTTTTATCAGGTTCGCCTGATCCACTAGTTGCGTCCCTTTCTGGATCAGGACGCCTTGCGCACAGTCACTCATGCCCTAGTCATCTCCCGTATGGACTACTGTAATGCTCTCTACATGGGGGTCCCCTTGAAGAGCACCCGGAGGCTCCAGCTGGTCCAGAATGTAGCCGCGCGGGTGATTATGGGCGCAGCTTGTTGTGCCCATGTAACACCTCTTCTGCGCGAGCTGCACTGGCTCCCGGTGGTCTTCCGGGTGCGATTCAAGGTGTTAGTCATCACCTTTAAAGTGCTCCATGGCTTAGGACCTGGGTACCTACGAGACCGTCTTTTGCCACCAATAGCCTCCCACTGACCAGTTTGTTCTCACAGGGAGGGACTACTCAGGGTACTGTCAGTCAAATTATGCCAACTGGTGACTCCCAGGGAGAGGGCCTTCTCTGTGAGGGCTCCAACCCTTTGGAATGAACTGCCCCCGGAGATACGGAATATCCCTGATCTCCGTGCTTTCTGCCGTGCCCTCAAGACCCTGATGTTCCAACAGGCGGGGCTAAACATATGAACATGTGAATGATTTTTTAAAATGTTATCTAATTCTGGGTTTTATTTAATTGGCCAAACTAAGAAATAATTTTAATTAGCAATTTTATGATGTTTGTGTGTCTATATTTTTCTTGGCTGTACACTGCCTTGAGTCCTACGGGAGAAAGGTGATATAGAAATATAATAAATAAATAAATAAATAAATAAATAAATAAATAAATAAATAAATAAATACATACATACATACATACATACATACATACATACATACATAACTTAAAACCCTCCAAAACATCTTAAATATACCAAAAGACCCAGCAGTCCAGAAGAAAAACAAGAAGTCACCTACAACATTTAGTATAAGGACGGTAACAATCACTATATAGGGCAAATAGGCAGAAGACTAGCACATGTGCATGCATGAAGACCAAGTAACAATCTGAAGACATTTTGAAAACTCCTTAATCTCACAACATATGGACAGAGCTAACCAAGTGGGAAACTAAGCATCCTACACCAAGCCAATTCCAAAAATGCTAGAGAACTGCTGGAAGCCTGGTATTTTGACAAATGAGCACTCAACAGGCACATAGAGATAAATGACATCTACCATTCAAGAGACAATCAAAAAGCCAAATAGGAAAAAGAAAGATCAAAACATCCCCATGGTAGCAATCAACACCCAGATAAGTAGAGATTGACACCAAGATTAATATTAGACCAACAATTAAGTAATAAACAATACCCCAGTCAAGGAACTACCAACTCAGACAAATAAGCTAACAGTAAAGAACATTCTAATCAAGAAACTATCAAGAACAGGACTGACACCAATACTGACAGGACAAGCTATTAGTACCGTGTTGGCGAACCTATGGCACGCATGCTGGAAGTGGCATGCAGAGCCATTTCTCAGGGCACGTGGAGCCATCGCCCATTGTTCTTCCGGGTTCTAGTATGCTGACCATCTGTTGTACCGGAAATTGGAAGAGCAGCTGCCATTGCACATGCGCACTCCAGGAAATTGATCTTCCTGTTTCCAGAGTGCGCATGCGCACTGGCCAGCTGGTCTGGTTTCTGGTGCGCATGCGCACGCAAAGACCAGCAACTGGCACGGGTGCCAGAAGATGCAGAGAGGGAATCCCGGCGGTCGCTTCCTAAGGGAGCAGAGCAAGGTAAGCCAGGGCTTCCCTCCCTCCTGCCTGCACGGGCTACTTGCACGGTCCCAGGCAGTCCAGACCATTGGTGGACCAGCAGCCAGTGAGGGCGGGGTGGTGGTGGGCTGCCTGCTCAGATGACCCTGTAGCCACCATCAAAGCGGGCCGAGACGCACCTCTTGGCTCGCTTCACCAGCCGCACGGGTCACTTGGGATGTGTTTTTCCTGCGCAGCCGCATTGCCCCAGAAGAGCAGCAGCGGCGGCTGCAGCTGCAGGGGGAAGGGAAGAACAACATGCTGGCTTAGGCGCATGGGGCAGCATTTGCTGGCACGGCAGGCAGCTGCCCAGCCCACAGCTCCTTCCCCGGCGTATGGCCAGAGAGCCTGGCTTGGCTGGCGGCGCAGCAGCGGGGGTCGGGTGGGGGTGCGCGCTACCTGTGGTTGGGCCCATCGCTCAACCCCCACCATGCCTGCTGCCACCCGAAAACATTATTGCCTCGATCTCTGCTGCCTGGAGATCTTCGCTGCCTCCCCAATGTAAGGCAAGGCAGCTAGCTGCTCTGCATGCCCCTTCTCCAGACAACCCAGGCGGAGGGCAGTCGGTTTCTGCTACTGGCCTAGGAGGGGCCTATTTGCAGGCTCAGTTACCGGCGAGAGCAGCTGCTGCCTCACTCGCGGGTGTGTGGTGACACGCTGCTTCCAGGCCAGTTTGGGCAGGGACCTGAGAGCCACGCAAGGACGGCTCACCTGAAAGAATATGGCAGAGCCTTGCAGCTTTTATCTTCCAGCTGGCCTCTGAGTAATGCCCCTCCTCCTCCTCCTCTCCCCTTCCCCTTCCAGCAGTGTAGTGTTTTTCCAAACACCCGGGCCAGGCCAGGCAGCAATTCCCAGGGAGGTGCCCCGATCGAGGAGGCTAAGGCTTGCATAAAGCCTTAGCTTCCCATCCCTTTCAAAATAGCCACCCGGCGCTTCTCTCGGGCACCCAGTGCTGGCAAGTTCTTCTTCCTAGAAAGGGGGGGGGGAGAGGCAGGCGCGTCGGCGGAGACAGGCTTTGGCTGCTTGTTCTGCTGCGACCCCGAACGCTTGCCTGGGCTCCTCTCTGCTGGGTGCTGGGCTTCCCGAGAAGCCCCCTGTGCCTTTGCTGCCTCGGCCGGAGCCTGATTCCATAAGCGGCCTGGGGAAGTGTGGACATCGGGACTCAGTTGGCGAAGCGGACACTGCGCAGGGGGCATAAGGCAAGGCGCTACCACCCGAAAACACTGTTGTTGTGATTTTGGCAAGCGTTTTCGGGTAGCAGATCTAGCCAAGAGGAAAGAGAAAGTGAGTCTGTGGAGAAGGAGGAGAAGGGCACGCAGCTCTGCAATGTGCATTTCCAGGGAGGAAAACATTTTTGGGCAGCAGCGTGGATTCAGAGAGGGGATCGCAGCGCTACTGGCCAAAAACGCTTCCCGAGATCATGGCAACAGTGTTTTTGTGTGGCAGCGCCTTACAATTGAAATCTGACTTAAAGCTATTTTCCCATGTTCTGTAATCTGTGGCAATATGGAAGGGGTACACTTGCTTTGTACTTGAAGAGCGCTATCATGTTTTTCTCAATAGTGGTTTTTTTTCAAGGCTTAACAGTTTTCAGATAGGATTTATTTCACAGCCTGTTTTCAAATTGAATGAATGCATCACCAACATAAAGAAGATAAATGCATTTTTAGATTGTATCAACATCAGCATATTTTCTAAATCATACCAACGGTCCTACTGTTGCCCCGTATACTGAATATAATTCTGGGATTCACACTTTAAAGATTCTAAGAAATTAGGATAACCGATAACAATAAGACTATGACATAAATCCTATCTGTTAAGCCTTGAAAAAAACATTATTGAGAAAAACATAACACTCTTCAAATAGAAAAAAAGTACACCTTCTATATTGCCACAGATTACACAACATGGAAAAATAGCTTTAAATCAGCTTTCAATTACACACTAACAAAAACATTCTAATAGTAAGATCAGACAAGCAGTAGAGAGTAGACAAGTGGGCTTGATGACATGTTTCCTTCCAACCACTAATTTTATTACTGGTTTATTACTAATTATTGTGCCAGGCTTTTATGAAAGCACGAAGAATAAGAATGTTAACCTGGTTTAACCTGGAAAGTTTATAGTGTAACACCTTAAGCAGCAGCATTTTATTAATACGCTTGAGAGTTATGAAACAAGTGTGTAGAAACTAATTATTCATATATGGACACGTGCAAAAATTAAGTGGTACATCTAGCTAACTCAGCTATCCATTCTATTTAGAGAATTGGCTTTACCAAACGGAACCAGATTCAATAAAACTAACCATCTAGCAAAACAATTGTTTCCTATGAATCGTATTTTATCGAAAAGTCCTTTAATCTCCTAGCTCCTCATCAACATGCACATAATGCAACCAACCGAAAGCGCCGTATTTAAGTCGGAAAAGCCTGTTTTGTTTGGATTCGGAAAACCAAAACATGGTGTCCATCACTGCCGTACAACGTCCCAACCACCCATTTGCAAAGCCCAACAACCAATCCCACGAGAAAGTGGAAGCGGTGGTATTACCCAGTCGTAACAACATCTCGCGAGAGCAATAACAACTCGGGAGAGATCGACCAGCTCTTCCGTTCTCCTCCCCCTCCCCCCCTTTTTTTCTTTCGGCCTAATCAACGAGGGCTCAAAAGCCGCGGCAACGCAGCGCCAGCGCCCGTCCCGCCAAACGCCCTTCCTTCCTTCCTTCCTTCCTTCCTCGCTCACCTTTTCCTCAGTGCAGGACACGATGATGGAGGGGTATTTGCGGCTCAGCCACCGGAAAAATGCCGGGACCCCCATTAGTTGCCCCGGACCCTTGGCTACGCAGACCTTTGCGTGATAAAACCGGCGACGAAAGATGTCCGGGTCACCGGGTCACCCCTAGCACGATGGGAAAAGGACGGAACTGCGCAGCGCGTAGGGTGACGTCGCCAATGACGTAACTTCTCCAACTCCCCTGCTCAAAGTGAACGGAAAAGCGGTTTCGGTTTCGAGTGGCTGCTGGTGGAGCCGGGCGGTCTTGAGGCAGAAAAAGGCGGGAGAATAAGCAGGGCTGTGTTGGGTATTCATTGATAGCTAGACAATCTAACGAGAGTGATATTGGCTGGAGGACATTTCGGGAAAAAAGCCAACATATCCGTCATTTTATTTGTGCCCCATTTTCCTTGTTCAAAAAATGGTTTTTTTCCCCTAATTTTACCAACTGGTTTACCGCTCTCTCCATACATCCGAATTTGACATGTTGAACTCCGTATTTGAAGTTAACCCACTAGATTGCACCCTTGGTCAATCCGACGTCCCGCAATTGAACTGACTTTTACCCATGATTGGAATTTTTGGTATGGAGGTTCCACGGCATCTGGCATGGAACCGGATTGTAGAAGGCTGCTGTATTGTGTGCTCATTGAAGGAATCCGATTCAGTAGTAAAGCACTTTTTTTTTTTTTTTTTTTTTTTGCATACTCAAGATCTGTATCATAATCTCTTGGAGTTGTAGAAAGTTTTGCTAGAACGATGTTGGTGGACTAGAGACCTACTAGTGAATTAACATGGTGTCCTTCCATTATTTGTTCGTGATTGTACTGGGCAGGGAGACATTGGACACACAGTGGGGACAGTCCATTAGATTAAACAGTCAAATCAAATTCATTTAATTTAAAGGAAGAATACATAACTATTCATATTCCTCCATTGTAGAGTGCATTGCAGGGCACAGAAATCTCATTTGCCTCATTTGTACATCTTATTTTGTGATGATTTATATGTTATATATACAATAAATTACCTGGCATGTTGCATATTAGTTATGATTAGTTAGGGTAACCTGAAATGTCATGTCATGTAACTACCGCGGGGGGCGGGGGGGGGGGCAGCAGATGTTGCAACTTAAGAGCCTTGTCATAAGTATCTGGGGGTGCCAGTCATAAGTGAATGGTCACTAAGCAATTGGTCATAAGTCAAGGACAATTTGTATCTTTCGTCCAGTGAAGGCAAATGGTCTAACACAGGGGTCCTCAAACTTTTTAAACGGGTTCAATACATGGTCCCTCAGACTGTTGGGCCGTATCGGCTAGGTGGTCATGTAACTAGGTGGGTGTGGCCAATTTAACAGTCCATTGAACAATGCACACAAATTAAACTTTAATTTGTTTTGCTCCTGGGGGTGTTTTATTTGCTTTTGTTTGCATGTTGCTCTTTTGGTTGCCTTTTCTTTTTACTAGATCGGTTTTTCAGTTAGGAGTCTTAGTGGTCCACTTCAGGAAACTCAGTTTTGCAGCAATTCTTCTCAGCCCCAAGGAGCTGGAGAAAATCTCTCTGTCTCTATCCCTTTATCTCTCTTTTTCCTTCTCTCTCTCCCTTCCTCTCTTTCTCTTTTTTTCTCTTTCTGGCTCTCTCTCTCTCTCCTTCTCTCTCCCTCTTTCCCTTTCTCTCTCCCTCTCCCTTTCTTTCTTTCTCTCCTTTTTTTCTTCCTTTCTCTTTTTCTCTCCCTCTTTCTCTTTCCCTCTCTCTTTCCTTGTCTCCCTCCCTCCCTCTCTCTCTCCTTCTCTGTTTTTCTCTTTCTGTCTCTCTCTCGCTCTATTCTCTATCTTCTGGAGGCGGGAAAGGTGAAAAACGGGTCGTTTTTACCTGGTTTTTTGCCTCCTATCGCCCCCCCTCCCACCTCCACAAGCATTCTGCAGGCTAAAAATGACTCATTTTTTGGCCAAAAATGGGCTGTTTTTGCCTGGTTTTTTGCCTCCTTTCACCCCTCCCACCTCCACAAGCATTCTGCAGGCTAAAACAGGCAAAAAATGGCTTTTTTTGCCCAAAAATGGCCCGTTTTTGCCTGTTTTATTGCCTCCTTTCACACACACACGCGCAGCATTTTGCAGCGTAAAAACAGGCAAAAACGGCTTGCTTTTTGGCCAAAAACGGGCTGTTTTGCCTGTTTTTTTGACTCCTTTCACCCCCCCCCACCTCCACAAGCATTCTGCAGGCTAAAAGCAGGTAAAAATGGCTTGTTTTTTTGGCCAGAAACGGCCCATTTTTGCCTGCTTTATTGCCTCCTTTCACACCCCCCCCCCACAAGCATTCTGCAGGCTAAAAACAGGCAAAAAGGCTCGTTTTTTTGGCCAGAAACGGGCCATTTTTGCCTGGTTTTTTTGGCCTCCTTTCACCCTTTCCCCACCTCCACAAGCATTCTGCAGGCTAAAAACGGCTTTTTTTTTTTGCCAAAAATGGGCTGTTTTTGCCTGTTTTTTTGCCTCCTTTCACCCCTCCCACCTCCACAAGCATTCTGCAGGCTAAAAGCAGGTAAAAATGGCTTGTTTTTTTGGCCAAAACCGGCCCATTTTTGCCTGCTTTATTGCCTCCTTTCACACACACACACCCCACAAGCATTCTGCAGGCTAAAAACAGGCAAAAGCGGCTCGTTTTTTGGCCAGAAACGGGCCATTTTTGCCTGGGTTTTTTTTGGCCTCCTTTCACCCTTTCCCCACCTCCACAAGCATTCTGCAGGCTAAAAACAGGCAAAAATGGCTCATTTTTTGGCTAGAAACAGGCCATTTTTGCCTGGTTTTTTGCCTCCTTTCACACACACACACACACACCCCACCTCCACAAGCATTCTGCAGGCCAAAATTGTTGAGCTTACCTTTCGGTTCCAGGCTGCAGGGCTACCGAAGGCAAGTCCTGCGCTCTGCTGAAGGGTGGACGGGGCGATGTGGGCAGGGCAACCTCGTGGTGCTCTGCAGGCTGGATTAATTGCTTTAGCGGGCCACAGTTTGAGGACCCATGGTCTAACATAACCCTTAATAGTTCAGTGTGATATGTTTGCAAAACACTTCAAAGACAAATGCAAGACTGCAAACTGTTATGTGACTTAATGACCAATCCTGCAAGATATATTTAGTACCACAGCTTACAATGAATTGCTGGGTTAATTTTTTTTTTTTTAACTGTGAAGATCCTGCTTGTTGCAATGATTATTTAATCTTTAAAGATAATTATTGATTTCAAAATATAAACAAAGTTTGTGAAAACAGTTTCTTCCAAGTTTTCAGTACATTTATTGGGAGTATAAAAAGACAACAAATATCTTGCATCGGCTATGATAAACTAAAGGTAAGATACATGTTTACAAATCTGATTTCTGAAATAATATGCTTTACTTCTATAGCTAAAAAAATAGCGATAGAGCTAAGCCAGAAATGTCATTATTCATACAATTGTTCATTTTATGACGTTCCCCCCAGCCCTCTTTTAATCATGCTTTTTTTTTTGCAACTATTTTCATAACTAAAAACTTCCTTCCTGATGTAAACAGTAGTGAATGGTTAAAGCTACAAATATAAACAAGAACCCAACCCCATCAGTAGCTTTTTATTTAATGCAAAATTCATAATGGTATTAATAAACATCATGGTTATTTTGACCTGAACTGAGTCCATTAGTTTGATGGCCATTCAAGTATAACAACAAACTTTTTTCAACCAAGCAAGGAACAGGTATAGAGGGAATATATAAATTAAAGGCCTACAATTTTTCAGCTCCAAAATTACTCCTCTCTCTTCTTTGTACTTCAGATTTCAAATAAATCCAGGTATAAATCTTACACTGTTACGTTTTGATGCTCTTTTAGCTTGGTTTTCAGAAGAATATTTCAATCATTCATAAACATATTGGTTGAAAGTAGGTTGAGAGGATAATTTGGTGTGAAGAAGTGGCTATGGTAAGGTGCATAAAAATGCCATCAGGACATCCATTCCAGATTGACTGTTCCTGAAACCACTTTCGTCCTGAAAAATTGCTACTGGCTTTTTATCATTTGTTTGTAAATGAGTATCAAGTCAGTCATAGAAATCACTGAATCCATCTTCTTGTGAACAATGTTCCTGAGGGCGTAGGGCTGCTTCAATATCAGAATTGCTGTCATCAGATTCTCCCCAAAAAGCTGGATTGGGAAACAGATGGGGAAAGAAATGACAAGGCATCTAGTGTCAACATAACCAATGATTTATATTATTTAGGATGTTAAAAGCCTTCAATGAATGGCAACTAGATAACAGTACAAATATTAAATACTGTATGACCTCTATTTAACTGTAATCAAAGCCAAAGAACTTCTCCTTCCATTGGTATATGGACTGGACTTGGTCCATCTGATTCATCATCCTCATTTAAGAGATTGTGCAATTGTCACCTTTATGAAACATTTTTTTCTGGCTCATCTTTTTTGAGGAAAAAGGGAAAACAAGTTTCTTGAGTGAATTAAGGTGAAAAAATGGACGAGTGGAGTTGGGCATCAGCATCATATGTAAAGAGATTTTAAAAAGCTAGAAATACAAGAGAACCTCAGATTTAGACATTAATCCTGAAGAAGCAGAAACTGCAAGAAATTTTAGGCAATGAAAATCTCTCCGGAATTACTACTATTAGCATTTGGTATACAAAAATGGTATCCACATTATGATTGACAAAGCTAGAGGTTCTTTTCCTTATGATAGATGAAGACAATCTGTGGGCCCAGGGTCACCTGCATCCTCCAGTCCTGGATCTGCACCTTCAAGAATCCCATAATTGTTGAAAACTGAAATGTGAATGATCTATGGCCACTTTATGTTTTGAACAGTCAAATAAAAGCTGGAATCAACATATTTAAGGTAATGCAATCACTATGTGAATTGTATATATTTTGCTTAGCTTCAAAAAGGCTTTTGTAGCACTAAAAATGCTGCAGAAATCACTGGACTCAAGCACCTTCCTTATAATTAATGGCTACTTAGGGAGCAAGAAACCTGTTGCTCTTCAGATGTTGGATTCAGGCCTCCATCAGTCTCAGTAATAAAGGCCTCTGGTCAAGAATAATGGAAATCCAAAAATATCTGGAGGGCTTACATCCAAATTAATAGTGTAAGGATTTACAGTATAGAGATAAACAGATGGCCCTAGGTTAATTTAGTATATTACAAAAAAAGTACTTTTCATATAATGTGTAATATGTGTGGAAGTCATTGACAAAAATATGAAACAGCAACATCTTCAGGCTATCACTATTTTCATCAAAATGATGAAAAGAGATTGCAGTGTAAGGCCAGCCATTGGGGGGAAGGCATATGGTAATGAAATGCATATAGAAAAGGAATAACAAAATAACGGAGTTGGAAAGGACTTTGGAGATCTTCTAGTTCAACCATCTGCTTAAGCAGGAAACCCTATGCCCGTGATGGTGAACCTATGGCACACATGCCACAGGTGGCACACGTAGCCATATCAGTGGGCATGCCACTTCAGCTCTGGCACGTATATGAGTGCCGGCCACCTGATTTTTGGGCCTTCTGGGCCCACCAGAAGTAGGGAAACAGGCTGTTTCCTGCCTCGGGGGGGTGGGGGTGGGGAAGGCCCGTTTTTCTTTCTCACCTAGCTCCCGATCCTCTCTATGCATCTGAAGAGAACGAAAACAGACTCCCCCCCCCCGGGAGGCCCTCCAGAGACCTGAAAGGGCCCATTTCCCAACTCCTGGTTGGACAGGAAGTGATTTTTTTTGCTGTCCCCAGCCTCCAGAGACTCCTAGAGAGGCCTCTGGAGGCTGGGTACAGCAAAAAAGTCACAGGAGCTGGGTACAGCAAAAAAGTCATGGGAGTTGGGATATGGGCCCTTTCAGGCTTCCGGAGGGCCTCCGGGGTGGGGGGGAGGCTGTTTTCACCCTCTTCAGATGCATAGAGAGGATCTGGAGCCAGGTGAGAAAGAAAAATGGGCCTACCAGCCCATTACGTGCCAGGAGCGGGAGGTGGTGGTGTTGTGCGCGCATGCGCAGGGTGGGATGCATAGAAGTATGGGTGTGGGCACGCACAAGCGTGAACCTCCCCTGCCCCCCACTCCTGGCAAGCAATGGCAAAAAGGTTAGCCATCACTGCCCTATAGCTTTTCAGACAAATGGTTGTCCAGTCTCTTCTTTAAAACGTCCAGTGTTGGAGCACCCACAACTGTAAGTTGTACCACTGATTAATTGTTCTAACTGTCAGGAAATCTCTCCTTCTAGGTTGGTTTGCCCCTTGATTAGTTTTCATCTATCGCTTTTTGTCCTGCTTTCAGGTGCTTGCAAAAATAGGTTGACCCCTTCTTCTCTGTTGCAGCCCCTTAGATATTGGAATGCTGATATCATGCCACCACTAGTTCTTATTTTCATTAAATTAGACATACTCAATTCCTGCAAACCTGTTTTGTAAATAAGCTAGTTTGATGTAGCAGTTAAAGGGATCTGGCTAGGAAGTGGGAGATTGCTTTTCTAGTTGCACCTTGCCAATTGGGTAATCTTAAACCAGTCAATCTCTTTTGGTTCCAAAAGAAGAAAAAGACCTTTTCTGAAAATATTGCCAAGAAAACTAGGGGGCTTGCTCTGGTAGTCCTCAAAAGAAGACTGACATAAGGGCACACATTTATTTGAGGGCAAAAATGCCGAGTGTTGTTTCATTCCTTCTTACAGATGTCTTAGAACCAAGATGCCACTACATGGACTACATGAGCCCTAGTAAGATTCTCTATTGCCAGAAAGGCGGGGGGAGAGTCTAATTGTGTTAGGTGACTACAACTGATAATATCCTTACCTTTAGATTTTATTGTAGATATTATTCCTCTTTGATTTTCCTCTCTATAAAAAAAGAAATATATATCAGTGCTCATTAACAGGTGGACAGATGGATATATTCTGCTCAGTAACAAGTGGACATGTGGATATATTCAGATATAACTTAAGATCAGAATGAATTCTAAGAACAATGGACTAAAAACTTCAGAATTCAGTTTTAACCAAGGACAAGAATATTTGTATTTCACTGTTTAAGACTTCCTAGTTTCCAGACCATTTTGCCATTTTCTCTGGATTAAGGTTTTTATACATTTTTGTGTATGTTTATACAGAATATCCAGCATGTAGCAAACCAACATTGTACTCCAGAAAAACAACAGTATGAACAGCATTTTTAAAAATTAGCAAAGAAACGTAAGTTTGTAAATAGTTTAATAAAAGTATACATATTTAGAAAATTACTAGCTTGGAAGAAATAAATTTCCACTGAAAATAAGTTCTATCTATAAAATATCCAACAAAAGTCACTATATATTACAGAAACACCTTCAATTGTGTTGATCACATCAAACTGTAGAATGTGCTTAGAAAAATGGGAATCCCAGAACACCTCATTGTCTTCGTGTGAAACCTATGTACAACTGAAGAAATTATAGTCTTATGAGAACGCGGAAAAACAGAGTGGCTGTATACTCTCCCTTTATTTATTCAACTTATATGCTGTATATTTAATATGGGAAGTCTACTAGTAAAAGTCAAAAGAGTACAGTAAAAAAATGGGACTAAAATTAAATATGAAGGAGAGTAAACTAATGACAACAGGTAGAACTGCCAACCTTTGAATATACAGTGAAAATATCGAAATGGTGGATAGCTTCTGCCTTTTGGAACCAATTATTAATATAATGGAACAAGCAGTCAAAAATTTACTAAGTACAACAGCCATGAAGGCCTTGGAAAAGAACTACCAGGATGTGTAAATATCTACAATGATCAGATTTGTGCAAGCAATGGTATTCTCTGCAAAACTCAATGAAAGTGAAAGTTGGACTTTAAAGAACCAGAGTAGGAAGAGTATTGATGCTTTGAATGTTGATATGGGAGAAAGCTTCTATAAATTAGGTGGACAGCCATGAAAACAAACAAAAGGATAATTGAACAAATCAACTAAGAATTCTCACTAGAGGTACAAATGACCAGGTTCAAATTATCCTACTGTGGATATACTATACTAAGACCTAACTCTCAAGAGAAGGTCTAATTTTGGAAAAGCTAGAAGGAAAGAGAAGAACAGGACAAGTACGTTGGATGGACTCATTTACAGAGCATTGTTGGAAGACCTAAAAGTTCAGGATAGGGACAGATTATCATGGAAAAAAATATCTGATTAGGTGTTCAGATGGCAGTAACACTACAATTATGAAAGAGTGTCCAACTGAAATAAAGTATTGTTCTTTCTCAAGATTTCCACAGAACTGCTATAAGCTTGTTGAAAGAAATGTCACATACTTATCGTAAGATGTCTGCATAAATAATAGCTAACATAAAGAAATTCATATTGTACAATGGTGCAGCAGCATCTGTATTATTCATATTTCTAGATTTAGACACGTCTCTTCGGATATAAGAAAACTGCTTATATGCATACATGTATGCATATAAATGTATAAATATACATACTGTATTTTTCGGAGTATAAGACGCACTTCTCCCCCCAAAGAGGGTGAAAATTTGGGTGCATCTTATATACCAAATGTAGCCCCACCCACCCGCCGCCCGCCCGGAAAATGGGGCGTGGGGAAGCAGCAATAGGCTATAGCAATCCCTGCAGCCTGAAACAGCTGATCTTCGGGAGGCTGATCCAACCAACAATCAGCTGCTTGTGCTAATCAGGCTGTGCTGAAGCTGAAATGGGCTGTTTGCTGCAAGGAGACAAATTGCTGGAAGGCAGAGGCAGGTTTTTTTTTCTTGTGCTAATCAGGCTGTGCTGAAAATGAAAATGAAAAAGCTGTTTGCTGCAAGGAGGCAAATTGCTGGGAGGCAGAGGCAGATTTTTTTACTTGTTTTCCTCCCCCAAAAAGGTAGGTGTGTCTTATAGTCGGGAGCATCTTACACTCCGAAAAATACAGTATGTATCAATTCAATATATTAAAATTATTATTATGAATGATACTTCAGACTATTTTCTTAAGTCATCTATGATAGGATTCCAATATCCTTCCATCTGATTGGAGTAAATGCCCACCCCTACTCCATTTATTCATCTCCCCTCCCCTCCCCCCCCGGTCTTCCTTTGCCACTGCTGTATAGCCACAATTGTTATACATTCTGATGCCACAACTTGTGTTAGGAGGAGTGATTTGGCGCAAACAGGTAAGAGTTCAATTCTAGTCACAGACATCAAAATAGAGTTAAACAAATTATTGCAGAAAAATCTTCCATATTTAAAAAAATTATCTCTGCAATGTTCTACAATAAGCCATCTGTCAATTCGTTTTATGAGTTCTTAACCTTAAGTGGTGTAGGCACAAACTACACAGATGAATTCAAAACTGTGTTCATTTTCCAAGGAAGCTTGGTACATGTCTACTTTTTCCACAGCTACAAGTATGCTACAATGTCACATAAATCCATTTTGTATATAAGATTTATGACTTCTTCATTACTGAAATAAAGAATACCTTGTCAATCTTCAAAAGCTGATTATATCACTTCGTCTTATGGATTTTTACACTATTTACATAAATCCTAGTTGGAGAAGCTAAATGAATCCAGAAATGAGGGGTTGAATAAGGAATTGATTCTTACTCAAACCACTCAAAAGGAAGAAATCTCCCTACCATGCTTTTCAATAAAAGTGTTATTTCATAATGTATTCTATTGTTAAAAAGTTTAAAACATCTTTCCTTTATGAATTACTCCACTTTCTATAACATTCTATAGTTGTACTATGTGAAGAAATACTAATTTTTTCCAGTTTCAAATCTTCTACTATTAATGCACAATCCACAAGCAAAAATACAAAAAACAGATGCTTATTTACCTTAAGTTAATGGCAGGTACTCCATGGACCTCATCTACCCCTTTTGCAAGCCCCCAAGGTAAGACAAGGCAACAGTTTTAGATATGGGGGTGGGGTGGGGTGTTTTTGTTTGGGTTAAGTATGAGAAAAGAGAAAAATAAAAATATTACTAATTTCCAAATCTTTGAATGATCTCTCAAAACATGCCAGTATCTTCAATAGGGAAGAAAATGGTAATGGAGCACCTGTTTACTCTAGACGAGTTCAAATCACCAGGACCAGATGGATTACATCCCAAGGTTCTGAAGGAACTGGCAGATGAGATCGCAGAACCACTGAATTATATTTTTCAAAGATCCTGGAGCACCAGGGAACTGCCAGAGGTCTAGAAAAGAGCTGTTGTGTAGTTCTCATCTTCAAAAAAAGGAAAAAAAATAGATCCAGGAAACTACAGACCTATCAGCCTAACCTCAATACCAGGGAAGATTCTGGAAAAGATAATCAAGCAACGAATCAGTGAACAGCTAGAAGCAAACAAAGTAATAACCAAAAACCAACATGGGTTTGTCAAAAATAGATCATGCCAGACTAATCTTATTGCATTCTTTGACAAAGTGACAAAATTAGTGGACCAGCGGAATGCTGCGATACCATTTACTTGGACTTCAGTAAGGCATTTGATAAAGTAGACCATAACCTACTACTTGATAAAATAGAAAAATGTGGGTTAGACAGCATCACCACCAGATGGATTCATATCTGGCTGACAAACCGCACTCAATGTATAGTCCTCAATGGAACTGCATCTACATGGAGGGAAGTATGCAGTGGGATACCCCAAGTCTCTCTTTTAGGCCCAGTTTTCTTCAACATCTTCATCAATGATTTGGACAAGGCAATAGATGGGGAACTCATCAAATTTGCAGACGATATCAAGCTAGCAGGAATAGCCAACACTCCAGAAGATAGGCTTAAGATACAGAAGGATCTTGACAGACTTGAACATTGGGTGCTATCTAACAAAATGAAATTCAATGGTGCAAAAAGTAAGGTTCTACATTTAGGCAAGAAAAAACAAAATGCACAGGTACAGTATATGTGGTACCTTGCTCAATAGTAGTAACTGTGAAGGGATCTCGGAGTCCTAGTGGACAATCACTTAAATATGAGCCAGCAGTGTGCTGCAGCTGCCAAAAAAGCCAACACAGTTCTAAGCTGTATAAACAGAGGAATAGAGAATCAAGATCATGTGAAGTGTTAATACCACTTTATAATGCTTTGGTAAGGCCACACTTGGAATACTGAATCCAGTTTTGGTTGCCACGATGTAAATAAGATATTGAGACTCTAGAAAGAGTGCAGAGAAGAGCAACAAAGATGATTAGGGAACTGGAGGCTAAAACATATAAAGAATGGTTGCTAGAACTGGGTATGTCTAGTCTGATGAAAAGAAGGACTAGGGTGACATGATAGCAGTGTTCCAATATCTCAGGGGCTGCCACAAAGAAGACAGAGTCAAGCTATTCTCCAAAGTACCTGAGGGAAGGACAAGAAGCAATGGGTGGAAACTAATCAAGGTGAGAAACAACCTAGAACTAAGGAGAAATTTCCTGACAGTTAGAGCAATTAATCAGTGGAACAACTTACCAGCTGTAAATGCTCCAACACTGGAAGTTTTTAAAAAGAGATTGGATAACTATTTGTCTGAAGTGGTGTAGGGTATCTTGCCTAAGCAGGGGGTTGAACTTGAAGACCTCCAAGGTCCCTTCCAACAGTTATTCTATTCTATTCTAATATTACCATATCTCTTTCAACAATTCTTATATTGACATTTATACTAAAGAAATAGGAGTATTATACCATCAGAACATTAGTTTCAGTAAACTTTCCTTTCTTTTAACAATTTAAGGACTTCAACTATTTTTGCATCCATAAAGCATTTTTCTTTTTATCACCAACTATCTATACATATAAGCATTTTAATTTCTAAATTTGCACTTTAAAAATCTGACCCTGACATTGCCCCCTTTCTTCTAGTTCAAAATTAGTGTACACAACTGAGAAAAAGTATATTTAAAGTCCAAGATAATTCATTTATGACCAATCTTAAAGGACTATTTAACCCTTACCTCATTCTCTAATTTGGAGCTGATGTTGATGAACAAAGCCATTGTCTTTCTAAAATTAATTTCAAAATTCACTACCTCTCCATATTTTAATATGTCTTCAATGATCAAAGGGAAAAGCTTATTTAACTTAAGCAGTATTAAGGCAATGTCATCTGCAAAGTCATTCATCTGCTTCTATCTATGAAGCTATTACTTTTATCAGTGTTTTGAACTGTGCTGTGCTGTAGTTTCAGTAGACTATGTCACAATCATCTTTGGTCACATTTATTCAGAAGGTTTAAGGAAGAGAAGAATAAGTGCCACAACTATCTCATTCTTTTATATTGCTAATATGGGGGTAGTATAGATGAGAAACAGGCTGTTTATAAACTACCAGAAATCTAAAATAATGATTTTCAATTAGAAACCAAGACAGCGGGCTTAGATAATTGAGCAGAATTGAAAAAAATCAAACATCACTAAATATCTGGGCTATGTCTTCCATGAACAGAGAATCCAGGAAAGCTCACCTTGACCATCTTATACAAATGACATCAAAATCTACAATGGCCATCAAAAGATTCTTCTATTCCCCAGAAGATAAACTGATAACAGCAGCATTGAAGTTTTTTGAAACTAAAACTCAGTCCATATTTGAATAGTTGCTAAAATATAAATTTCATTTGGAAATAGACTGAGAAATGCAACTTGAATTTAGCAAAGAAACAGTGACCCCTACTGGTCATTGTAGTTATTTGTGAAGATTAAAAGGAAACATTTATCAGAAGCTATATTTGAAATCATCAGTACAAATAGCTACAAGTGGTAACTAGTAATTTATTCAAGTGGATAAAATATTTAAAGAAAAAGACACTTCTGTTTAAAAAGCCAATTTAAATAGTCAATCAGATAAGAATTTTATGAAACTCAAAAGCAAGTCCTATTGTCCTTAATAGATAACTTGGTAAATAAAAGAATACTGAAATCTTAAGGCATACTTCAGGAAGCCAACTTAAATATTTTGGGTTTTATTTTTTACATTCAGATGTTGCAAAAGAAAAGGCTTCTAAGAAAAGACATTGCATCTAGCCCAAACCTGCAAGGACAGTCTGCTACTGACATCCACTGGCTGATTGTATTGCTACAAAGCAGTCAAATGCCACACACATTGCTGCAACCATTGGTTTAATAATTATGCTATAACTACTAAGGATATGTTACTTTTGGATCATTTGTTTCATATAAATATTTTTCCTTTAAATGTAATGTAATAATTAAGTTAGAAACTTTGTGTCCAAGTTAAAGTGTATTTGTACTAAGCAGTGGAACTCTGGCAAGAAAATTGTTTTCAGCTAGGATACAACAGGGTAATATTTGCTGGAGAAGAGGAAGCTGTGGCATGCACCTCCATACAAAAGGGAACAAGTGGCCTTCAATCGGAGAGCAGCTTTCTATTAAGACTCACTCCTTCGTACATTATGCCTTTCATCCCCACTCAACCACAAAATGATTTTGCTGTTGGACACACAATGGTGGAAAAGATTTACATTGAAAGAATCTTTAATAATAAACTGTTGCAGGTCTGCCTACTTCCCCCACAATTTATAATACAATAAACATTGGATTCTATTAAGTCTCATGCACTGAAGTTGCGCTGGAAAAAAAGAATATGAAAGCACTCAATTCTTCCCATCTCCAGTGCCATAATAGTGAAATGAGCATGGATAAATGTGCTAAGAGTATCTCTTTGCATCTTTTATAGCTTGTGTGTATTAATCTGTAAAGCTTATTAAGAAAGTCATTGCTATGCAAAGCAGCACCCAATCTCTTTTACTTGCTTTTCAACAGAGTGCAGTGTTTAGCCAATAGGACTTGTCCACTGCCCCTCATTCTGCATTCATAACATGCAACATTTGCACAATGTATCTCTCAAAGACTGCTGAATAAAAGCCTTAATACTCATGTAAACAACTGCAAACCAATTACTTAATGAATCAGGTCCACGCATAATGAGGTGCCAGACAAAGAGCTATAAATGCATTTTTGCGCCCAAGCCTCTGCTTTAAAGTAAAATCCCTCAGCTGTAGTTTGGGCTTAACTAGCACATCATAATTATTGTCTGTAGGACATCAGTGGAAGCCATTTTAAAAAAAAAATTAGGTCCATCAGAGAATTTCACGAGTCGCTCATCAGCTCAGTGACTAAACACTATGGGAAGGGGGGGTGAATTAAACATACCACAGCGGTACTAGACTGTTATGTTTATTTTCAAGTACTGGTTTTCAAGACCACTTGTAATAGCACGAAGGTGCAAGAAGTAACAATAAGTGGAACCTTTAGACATCAGCCTGTAAGAAATTTCTCTGTATCCAAACTGCAAATAAATAACTGAGTCTTATCCCTTCTTTCACACTTTATTGGTAACATCTTTATAAAAGAAGCATCCAATATAAGATTGGAAATGTTACTAATCAATGTGGTTTTAAAAAGCCTTTATTTTCCTTATAGAGAAAATTAAAATGCAAGTGTTTTTAAAAATAACTATTAACTCATGTTATACTGTGCAATTAATTTTTCCCTATTAGAATAAGAGTGTTCCTTGCTTCTTTATGCTATACCGTGCATTATATGAACAGTAATTTATATGAAACTGCTTGTTCATATTATAATTCAAAGCATGTTTCCAGAACATTTTTAAAAATGTTGATAGTGTTTACAACATGTTTATTCTTTTTATATAGCAAACAGTATTTGAAGATACTTCTTTGACTTATTATTCCTTCAAATAGCAATAACTTATGAAATTAAAATGTAACCAATATATTTTAACAAATTAACTTCAGAAAGTATTATTCTCCAACTTCAGTTCCTGAAAATCAGATCTGAAAATAATTGCACTGTACAGTGTATAAAGTGCATTACTATTTATTCTATAGGCTGCTCAATTAATTTTATTCCATGACTACATAGTACCAATTTTACATAATTATATAGTTAAAATTTTAAAAAATGTATAAATGTTACTAAGTAGGGACAGGCATATTATTGTATAACATAATCAAAAAGATCAGAAAATACAAATGAGGCTTTCAAACACAAAGCAGCACAATCAGGCTATGGAAGTGTGTTGACAATTATTATGTAACAATCTAAAGCCAATTTAAAATTCCAGAATTATTTACTATGCTTCATTTACTTATACCTCTTGATTGCCAGCAATTTGAATCATGCTGCTGATAGAAAAAAAGTGTAACACAAAATCACCCAAAGGACTGGGGGGGGGGGGGGAGTAGATAAATTGCATCTCTTTAGGAAAAACAAGGGCATTAATTAAATGCTCTCAATTTGAAATTACAAAACAAAAAACAAAAACCAGATAATCTAGCATTTTAACGAATATGAAAACAGGAATTGAGCTGAAGTTCATTTACATCTCAACTCCATCCAGGAGATGACACACCATTTTATTTCTTGAAGACTTTATGTTTTATGTCTTGACAACTTCCATTGTCTAGTCTCTAAGTAGTCCTACTGAGAGCAGCTGTACATGCTAATCTGTGGTTCACTGAGATGTCAATGGAGTCTTAAAATAAGAGAACAACAGCTGCAAAACAATACCTGGCTTTAGTACAAATATTTTTAAGGTGTTCTTGTCTTTAATGTTATTACTTTAGAAACACGAATCTGAACTGAAGCCCAGAGATCAAAATATTGTTGTCAGGATTCCATGAAATTCCCAGAGGCATTTAGTTGAAAAAATTCAGTAATGAAACACTTTAACGATTTTACCTTGACAAAGAGCTTTTCCTCTCCAGAGATGAAAAACTGGGCTCAGAACTGGTTCCATTACTTTTTTGTTCCTTTAAGCCACTGATGTTCAAACCTGAAAGATAAAAACCAAATACTCCATTAGTTGTTGGCTAAAATAAATGAGAAATTATAATCCTGCACTATAACTTCTGGTCTGAAGAATCCATAATAATAGATGTGTAGCAAAAAAAGTTTAAAATTACATTTAGATTTTACAGTGTGTTATTAATAACCATAGTTCCCTTTAGTACATCTAGGCAATTTAATGGTTCCCTACAAATAATGTGCCTATATTTTCCACTACTACTGTTTATACTGTATCAGAATATTATATAATGGTAGAAAGTAAGGTGGAAGTTTTAATAGTATTTTTATAAGACCTTATTTTCTTGTTAACAAAGTATTCTAACATTGGGTTTTCTTTAAAATAATGATTTTTCATCCTTGAGCTTTCCCTAGAATTTATTCTTCTTTATATTAATGTTTGATACTTATTTTCAGATGCAGAAATGGTCTTAAATCTGGATTGATAGTAAGGCATTAGAAAACTGGCATTAGTTGGGCTGTAATAAACAAATGTTGTACATAATAGTAGAAAACAAATCACAAATATTAAATAAACAGGAACCTAAATAGAGAACATAATGTTATAATGTATGTCTTCTAAATAGAGGACATAATTGTAATTTGGTTTAACATTATACATTGTCATGTCCTTATATATTATATCATATACTGTCAGTGAGAAGACACAAAGATTGCAAGACCAAAGAAGTTAGCAACCAAATCCTATTCATACCACTATGTATTATAATTAGTAATTAATTAAATTAATACCATAATTATACTATATAATATTATATATTAAACCAGAAGCTAAAAAATTCAAAATAGTTTATAATTCACAAAAACATCTTTATTTTGACCCTATTTATATAAAACTTTTGGAAAAAATTTTGGATTAATGAAATTTATAACCAAAACTTTTCTTCTAAAATATGTTTGCTTTATGCCTGTCATTATAATACATAAAATATGTTTCACAAAATACATTTCCATTAGATGGAAAAAAATATATTTGTTGGAGTTTTCCTAGCTACTGTAATCTGCCACAATAATACAAGTAGTACTTGTATTTCTTTTAAATCATCTACTCACTGAGGCAGCTGACAGCATAGTTGTCCCTCAATCTGCCAAACCCTGCAATATGACTTCATCTGCTATCTGGCACTGAATTGCCAAATATACTGAACCAGATCTCAAAAAATGTGAAACTCAAAATGGAATATTGTTTTTCTTCAATGTAGTGTCCTGTCCCGTCCTTGGTGAGTTTTAGTTACTTAACATAGATGAATTCTTTGTGAAGTTTCTTTAATACACTCCTGAGTGGTACCCGAAGTTTTGCTGAGCATATGTGTTGTATGTGACTGAAACTGAAATTAGTTTTGTGATTACAAGAAAGAAAGGACACTTTAAATGTTTTAACTGTTCTATGAAGATAGTTTCAATGATTCCTTAAAGAATCCAAATATTTTTTTACATTTTGTTCTCTGTGAATAAATTAATTATCCTAATACTAATTGTATGTCCTCATTTTTTGGGATAAGGTACACTTTTGTCTAATTCCTTCACCATACATTAAAATTAATAATTCTTTGATTGCCAACAGCAGAAGATATACACTGCTCAAAAAAATAAAGGGAACACAAGCAGAAGACATGAATGAAATAGCCTTATTAAATACTTTGTTCGTTACATACAGTAGTTTTGTGTTCCCTTCAGTTGTTTGAGCAATGTATAAACTACTGTATGTAAAGAACAAAGTATTTAATAAGGCTATTTCATTCATTCAGATCTCGGATGTCTTCTGCTTGTGTTCCCTTTATTTTTTTGAGCAGTATATATAAAAGATGTATCTAGTTAAATAATCCAATTGCTGTCCATCCCAGATATATTAGAATAACTTTCTAATTATCCTTAAGTTTCATTTAGAAATATGTTGTAAAAATTCTTTCCTTTCACTATATTACATGCAGTTAGTAGCACAGTTAATTGAAAAGTCATTAAAATTAAATAAAACAAAATGAATGTTTATTTTAAATGGTAAATGTTTATCAATTTTTTGCTTGTGCCAAAAGGGTGAGTCAAGAAAGCAAACAACTAATAATTTAAAAGTTGATGAGTCAAAATGGGGGGGGGGGAGGAGCTCATTGAATAAATGATCCCTTATTATATTTCTCAGACTTTTCACAATGCAGGCATTTAAGCTAAGATTCAAATCAGATCCTAGCTTTAAGGCATATTGTAAAGCTGAAGGTGCTTAGATAACCAGAAAACAGAATATTCAGAGAGGAAAGAAAATACTAAGAATTTACAAAAATATCTCCTCCTCTGATCTACAGGAAAAATGACTTCTCATAAGTTTGTGACTAAAATTAGCCATTGCTTCCAGGTCTCCCAGGCAGATAGACCTTGTAATTAAAATGAGAGGTGAGCACAAATGCCTTTTTGAAATTCTTATAGGAAAAGATATTGGGTGACATACTTACATGGCAGGGGAGATACCATTGGGTGGACAATTTCTCTGAACTTCTCAACGGATAGATACCTCTCCAACCATTTCTTAGGGGAAAGATTCTACCATAATAATGATAGTAGCAACGCTACTTAAACAATATTTCCTCCATACTATTTCCCATCCTAAAATATAGAAAGCCAGGAAGGTGCGGCTTTATAATATAATATAAAGATTGTTATATAATAAAGGATACGGGAATTGCACCCACCCATAGGCTATCTTTTAACAAATTCCGACCATGAGCAAATTCACTTTCGTAAAATAAAATGAGAATAGTAACAAATGCAAAATTTTTTTTCTGCTAGGCAATAATTATTAGGACTTCACAGCATTTCAGAGTCATAAACAAAAAGATGCTTGGAACCTGTAGCACCTGTATGCAATTTTAAATCAAACCAAATCAATTGAATTAAAAAAAAAGATGAATTTAATTCAATTTAATTTGATTTGAACTTCTTAAATTCATCTTTTTTTCAAGATCACGAAACCCTCCAAACAACATGGAATTCAATGGGTGAAAGACATTAATTACTCTACTGTATATAGAATGTGCTCTAAATGTTTCTCTTGTATGCTTTCTGAGATGGCCTTAACTAGGAGAGTTTAGAATGAGTTATGATGTACAAGACTCCTATCCAGTTGAAGAGTTTTCAAGATTACCTATTAAGTAACATACATTTTTCCATGTGAAAAGTTAAAAACCAACATATTAAGATACTGCGTTAGATATATGATTCTAAGTCATATATTTCAAATATATGAACAGTCTCTAGAACATGGAATTGAATAATCGGACACAACTGAATGGATAACATTGTCATGAGAACACAGAGACAGAACATACAAGAGATAAATATCTCCATTAGAAATGAAAGCAAACAATAAAGAAACAGTTTAATAAAAAACAATAATGACACAATTCAGCCACAAAACATTATTGACTATTACCAATTTTTATAAGGACAGCCAATTACTAGTATTGAAAATAATAATCTGGGTTGAATATGGCTTCACACTTAATAACTATTTTCTTAGATAAGAGTCTGTCCACTATTTTTCTAGAGTACAGATAACTGTCAAAAATGTTACTGGGAGATTGAAAGAAGAGCTATGAACCTATCTAAGCATGATTTTCAAATGGATATTTACTGTGGCTATAACTGCAGTTTAAAAATCCCAGCCCTTCCATGGTTGTATAACTTTATTCTCCTTATATCTCTACTGTTTTTCTGCTAAATCTATTTAACATTTCTAATAACTAAGGCTGGTAAAATATGCACTTAATTTTTCAAAGATGGCATAATTTTAGGCCTATGCAAAGTGAGGCATACAAAAGTGGTCATATAGTACTTATTGAGAACTCCTTAAAGTACTTCTTTTTTCCTAAGATGGCATTGTTCCGTTCCACAACTCAAAACTGAACCAGGAAAACATCTACTTTGTTTAAAAAAATGCAAATAGATGCTAAATGAACACTAGCATCTGCTCAGTAGCACCTGTTTTTTTCCTTCAATATGCTACATAGGCCAAACAGTAAATAATTTACTGGTAACCGGAGGGCAACTTTATAAAACTACTACTTTAATCCAGCAGCTTTTTGGCTAAAATCAAGTATAGTGTACCTTTAGAGAGACAATAAAAGGACTCTGACTAAATCAGACAAGTAAATAAATTAAGGTTATTTAGTTGCTAGTGAAGACTGTAGGATCACACATGAAAAGCATGGCTATCCCAAATTTTCTGATGATTTATAAAGGAAAAAAGCTAATACACACACACAAGCAACACATACAGAGAGATGTTAAAGTTTGTGCATTAAAACACTAATAAAAATGTTCTTTTTATATTATCTGATAAAGTAGGTATAGAACTGCAGCCTAAATTATTCATAATTATTTATATTACCCGTTGATAAATCAATAGTTTTGGAAAGGCTATAGTATTTTTGTACCACACTTCTTAATTTTAATACATCCACTCTATTTTATTCAGTCAATTTATTTCTAATGTTAATGTATCTTCACCTGATATTTGAAAAATGTCTTGAATATTTCTCAGAGGAAAGAAATAAAAAATAGTCATGTCCCTAGGTCTGCCAAACTTATATTTCATTTCAACTGAACAATTTACATTGAAGTAAGTTTCAGTTCAAAATGTATCTAGAATCATATAATTAAAAGAAGACCAGAAGGTAAATTTCAGCCTCATTGAACAAGAATTTCACTAAATCAGATATCACATATTTTATAAATCTTATTTAAGAAAGCATTTTACATCATGCTATACATCTCATTTACTTATGACTTGCTCACTAAAGAAAAAAACTGATATTACATGTTATACTTTTCTCCACCAAACTTTGGCAATGCATTTGATATATCAGCTTAATTAACTGATTCTCATAATTAGATATATATGATATAACATAATTAAACAAAAAGTAGACACCTAATTAGATATCATAAGCATTTGATGTTATACTGAATTGTTTAGCT